GAACACAAACACAAGTGTTTCAAAACAGTAAAACATATTATAACAATATCATCAGTAAAAGTGCCGTTCGTGTATGAAAAATGCAAAAAACTTCACTTGTACTGAAAATATCATCGTTGTGTCCAGCAAAGTCTCTCGAGTAAAGCAGTACCCCCCATGTACAGGTTTTATGGTGTCTTGGAAAGTTACAGGGTTAAATTAAATTCTCTGCACTTTCTGCCTGGGTTGTCAGTTATGTCAATCAAATTTTAATTAATAAAATCACATAATAATGCTAAAAGATTACTTAAATATACATGTAGAATTTTAATATATATACATATATATGTATTTAAATTCTACGTGTATATTTATGTAATAATTTATGTAATTATATATATTTATCTATATAAATATATTTGCGGTTATTTGTATTTTATATATAGATAGATATAGAATGTCATTCTAAGTGTATTTTGTTACATATATATATATATATATATATATATTATATTAATAACAAAATACAGTTAGAATAAATTACATATGTATATATAATTTATTTTACATTTTTTAAAAATATTTTATTTATATATTTTATTATTGTATTTATTTATTCTTGTAAATATATGTATATATATATAAATATAAAATATATGTATATATATAATATATATACATCATATATATATGTAACTTCACTCTAAGTGTATTTTAATACAAATATATGTACATATATTAACATTAAAATACACTACATATGACGTTACATATATAAGATGTATATATATACGCCGGCCCTTTAAATGCTGCAGCCGCCTGAGCGCTCTGTCAAGAGCGGTCAGGCGGCTGCAGTTGGTTCTCACCTCCCCTCCGCGCGGAACAGGAGTTTCTGTTTCCTGTACCCGATTGGACTGACAGGAAGGTGCACACTGAGCGTGCACCTTCCTATCAACTCCGGCCGGGCACCGCGGACAGCAGAGCAGCTTGGCCACGCTACAGGGGAGGGGGTAGAAGAGGGTAAGAAGAGGGGGGGGTAGAGAGGGAGGGGTAGAAAGGGGGTAGTAGAAGGGGGGAGGGAGTAGAAAGGGGTAGAGAAAGAGGGGAGGGAGTAAGAAGGGGGGTAGAGGGAAGTAAGAAGGGAGGGGGAGTAAGAAGGGGGTAGAAAGAGGGAGGGAGTAAGAAGGGTAGAGGGGAAGTAAGAAGGGGGAGGAGTAAGAAAGGGGGGTAAGAAGAGGGGGAGGGGGAGTAAGAAGGGGGTAAGAGGGGGAAGTAAGAAGAGGGGGAGGGGGGAGTAAGAAAGGGGGGTAAGAAGAGGGGGAGGGGGGAGTAAGAAAGGGGTAAGAAGTTCTTTATTTGAAATTTAAAGGACCACTCTAGGCACCCAGACCACTTCAGCTTAATGAAGTGGTCTGGGTGCCAGGTACCTCTAGGATTAACCCTTTTTTTTTATAAACATAGCAGTTTCAGAGAAACTGCTATGTTTATACTGAGGGTTAATTCAGCCTCCAGAGCCTCTAGTGGCTGTCTCATTGACAGCCGCTAGAGGCGCTTGCGTGCTTCTCACTGTGAAAATCACAATGAGAGCACGCAAGCGTCCATAGGAAAGCATTGTAAATGCTTTCCTATGCGACCGGCTGAATGCGCGCGCGGCTCCTGCCGCGCATGCGCATTCAGCCGATGACGTCGCGAGCAAGGAGGAGAGTAGTAGTACAGCTCCCTCCCGGCGCTGGAGAAAGGTAAGTGTTTAACCCCTTCCTCTCCAGAGCCCGGCGGGAGGGGGTCCCTGAGGGTGGGGGCACCCTCAGGGCACTATAGTGCCAGGAAAACGAGTATGTTTTCCTGGCACTATAGTGGTCCTTTAAGTTTTTTTTTCCTGAAATTTCTTTCTTAAAATGAGGTGCGTGTTATACGCCGGTGCGTGTTATACGCCGATAAATACGGTATATATTATATATACAGGGAGTGCAGAATTATTAGGCAAATTAGTATTTTGACCACATCATCCTCTTTATGCATGTTGTCTTACTCCAAGCTGTATAGGCTCGAAAGCCTACTACCAATTAAGCATACTAGGTGATGTGCATCTCTGTAATGAGAAGGGGTGTGGTCTAATGACATCAACACCCTATATCAGGTGTGCATAATTATTAGGCAACTTCCTTTCCTTTGGCAAAATGGGTCAAAAGAAGGACTTGACAGGCTCAGAAAAGTCAAAAATAGTGAGATATCTTGCAGAGGGATGCAGCACTCTTAAAATTGCAAAGCTTCTGAAGCGTGATCATCGAACAATCAAGCGTTTCATTCAAAATAGTCAACAGGGTCGCAAGAAGCGTGTGGAAAAACCAAGGTGCAAAATAACTGCCCATGAACTGAGAAAAGTCAAGCGTGCAGCTGCCACGATGCCACTTGCCACCAGTTTGGCCATATTTCAGAGCTGCAACATCACTGGAGTGCCCAAAAGCACAAGGTGTGCAATACTCAGAGACATGGCCAAGGTAAGAAAGGCTGAAAGACGACCACCACTGAACAAGACACACAAGCTGAAACGTCAAGACTGGGCCAAGAAATATCTCAAGACTGATTTTTCTAAGGTTTTATGGACTGATGAAATGAGAGTGAGTCTTGATGGGCCAGATGGATGGGCCCGTGGCTGGATTGGTAAAGGGCAGAGAGCTCCAGTCCGACTCAGACGCCAGCAAGGTGGAGGTGGAGTACTGGTTTGGGCTGGTATCATCAAAGATGAGCTTGTGGGGCCTTTTCGGGTTGAGGATGGAGTCAAGCTCAACTCCCAGTCCTACTGCCAGTTCCTGGAAGACACCTTCTTCAAGCAGTGGTACAGGAAGAAGTCTGCATCCTTCAAGAAAAACATGATTTTCATGCAGGACAATGCTCCATCACACGCGTCCAAGTACTCCACAGCGTGGCTGGCAAGAAAGGGTATAAAAGAAGAAAATCTAATGACATGGCCTCCTTGTTCACCTGATCTGAACCCCATTGAGAACCTGTGGTCCATCATCAAATGTGAGATTTACAAGGAGGGAAAACAGTACACCTCTCTGAACAGTGTCTGGGAGGCTGTGGTTGCTGCTGCACGCAATGTTGATGGTGAACAGATCAAAACACTGACAGAATCCATGGATGGCAGGCTTTTGAGTGTCCTTGCAAAGAAAGGTGGCTATATTGGTCACTGATTTGTTTTTGTTTTGTTTTTGAATGTCAGAAATGTATATTTGTGAATGTTGAGATGTTATATTGGTTTCACTGGTAATAATAAATAATTGAAATGGGTATATATTTGTTTTTTGTTAAGTTGCCTAATAATTATGCACAGTAATAGTCACCTGCACACACAGATATCCCCCTAACATAGCTATAACTAAAAACAAACTAAAAACTACTTCCAAAAATATTCAGCTTTGATATTAATGAGTTTTTTGGGTTCATTGAGAACATGGTTGTTGTTCAATAATAAAATTAATCCTCAAAAATACAACTTGCCTAATAATTCTGCACTCCCTGTATATAAATACTTGTAATTGATTTTAACATGTTTATTAATATTTTTATTATACTTCCTACCAGCAGGGGGACTGTCTGACATTTCAGACAGTCCCCCTGCTGGCAGATCCACAGCCAGCTATAGGGGGCCATGTGATCGCTCTTTGAGCTATAGGGGGCCTAATTTGCCATGGGAGGGCTGTCAGGCAGTCCTCCCGAAGAGGATCGCGGTGGAGGTGAGTACTGCCAAGCTCCTGGGGCAGAAAGCCGTTACGGCGTTCTATGCCGCCACAACTGCTTTAAAGCCCATTTAAATGGGTATGGCATATAACGCCGTAACGGTGTTAAAGGGTTAATTTAGTTTGCAAATAATGCACAGAGCTCACAACGCAGTGGCACAGGGAGCCACAGCACCGCAAGTCTCTTAATAATAATTACAGAGAAAAGCTCTCTGTATCCAGCATTGCAAGCCTGCCCTTAAAACATATAACATAAGCTATAATTTAACTACAGCTCCTTATACACACAATGTAACCCCTATTTTTATTCATTATTGGTGTTAATGGGGGCCTCATGTTTAGTTTTGCCAACGGCCTCCCTATGTCTAGAGCCGCCACTGTCTGAATGACTTTAGTGGTCCCTTAACATTCTAGAAGTCCAGTTAATGAGAGATAACATTCAAAAAGTCAAATTTGTAACCACCAACATTGCAAAAGGCTAGTTTACAAGAGCTGACATTCTGAAAGTTTAGCCCGTGAAAGCTAACATTCCATGAGATCTAACTTGAGCCCAATTTGTGAGCATCACCTTTGTTAAAGACTAAGTCATGAGAGCTATCGAAGTAAAAGTCTCTAGTTCGCAAAAGCTAACATTTCGAAAGTCTAGTTTTTGAAAGCTAACATTCCAAGTCATTTGCCAGAGCTAGCTTTCTGAAAGTCTACCGGTAGTTCGTGACTCTGAAAGTCTAGTTTGCAAAAATCAACATTCTCAAAACAGAGTTGTTGATCTTTAAGAATGGCTGACTTTAAAGTAATTTCCTTAATAACACTTTAACAAATGAAACGTTTATAGTTTAACCACTTCCCTGTCTTGTGGCGTATGATCATGTTGCACAGCATGTTGCAGCTGTCTGCAGTGGTTAACTCTTACAGCGCCAGAAGGATAACTGTGAGACTGCATGGGAATGACAGTAAAAGTGATGAATTCCCAGTATTTAATAAATAAACATTTGATCTGTAATACTCCAGAGGAATAGCACTGATTATCACTAATGACCTCACAGTATTTCTGTCACAAGCAGCTGAAGAGTTAAAGGGATTGCTGGGCCATTTACCAAACCAAATTCTTACAGTTTGGTTTCAGAGGAATGGGCTCTCTTCTGAGTCACTTTGAACTGGCAGGTCATGTAGCCAGTCTGGAAGAGGGGCAGGAACCTGTTCAGCCAACCAAAGCTCTGTTTGTCAAATGCCTGGGTCTTTTTAAAACAAACCTCCCTTCCAGTGACATACTGTATTTTTAGAGAGAGCACAGGACAGAGCTAGAAAAAGATTGGAATGATGTCAGGACAGGCTGCAGCCAATTGGAAATGTCAAGGGGAGGTGCTGGAAAAGTTCCTTTCTTCTTTTTGGGTTTTCCCTGCCCTGGAACAAAAAAACAAAAAAAACTATAATAAGTTTCCTATTAAAAAAAAAAAAAAAAAGACAGGGAAAAAAATCTGGGAGTGAAGGAATGCTAAGGACAGAGTAGTGTAGGGTGAATAGCAGCACTAGGGAAGCCGGGGATACTGCAGTGTATAGGAGGATTACCCTGTGTCTGGATCTATGTACATACAGTTATATATATATTTATGTATCTGTGCATAGGCAGCAGCAGTCCAGCACGGTAACTTTGTGCTCTGCTCTATGTCTCAATCTAATTCACTTTTCCTAAACTTCTTTTTCAGTGTGGATCTTCAACTTAATCAGCACAATCTTTTTCTGTTTTAGTTCTTTTTTTCCTTTTACTGTTAGCTTTTTTTTTTTACTTTTATTTGACTGCCTCTAAAATATTTTTTTCCACTTCTATTCTAACTAGTGCAACCTCATCATATTGCATTTTTTGTTTGAATCTTTGCTATCCCTTTATTAACTGTATTCTCTTTCCCAGTCTGTTCTACTCCTCTGTCCTTCCTGTCTATTCTCCAGTACAAAACCTCTCCCTCCACAAATGGGTGCTGCAATATGTCAGGATGGAGACTTGGATTTCCGACTGATTTTTGGTGAAGAAGATTCTGATTCGATTACCCCCAGGAGTACCCTGCATTCAACCGGTGAGTAACCACACAGACGAATCAAAGGGACTTATATGACAACCTAAAATTTTAAGCATCTGGATGAGTAATATGCTGAATATAATCTCTAGGCATTTTTAAGCCTACCAAAAAGTGTCTCTTGGTGTGTTGCAATTTTAGAATCATGTGGCAAAAATATTAGATTGTACAATAAGGCTTGCTAAACCTTTTAAACTGAACATCACAAAACCCATTGTTTTGTTATAAAAAAATGTACAGAAATAGCATGTAGACTGTAATGTACGCGTAACTCTTGCAGAGTTGTAGAAATGTCAAACATATTGCAAAGATTAACAACTGAGGCACTCCAAGTGTTAACAAAGTACAGTACAACAGGAGGACATATTTGGGAGCTCGAAGAACGGGTCATGGTCTGAAGATGGAGTCGTCCAAATCGATGAAACTTATGTAGAATTTTGAAGATACAGAAAGGACAAAACTATGACAAAAATACTTTGTTTATTGGATGGTGTCTGTTATATTTATTATAGCATATATTTTACTGAAAGAGGTCTAAATGCAGGAATCCAGCTGTAGCGAAAATTAATACTTTAAATTATCACAAAAAAAGATCTTCCCCAAAAATTAATGGGTTGTTTTCCTTTAATATATAAACTATTTTCCTAGTGTATAATTAGCCTCCTTCACAAATTGTTGGTATAGTGGGAATGTAGACATTAATTTCTTATTTTCACTGAGTTTAAACTTTTTGGTAAAAATCAGGTTCACAGTTTGTTCCAACCAACACACTGCCATCTCTTTAACTGCTAATGAGCATTTATTGTCAATGGTGGCAGTTGACGGAGTTGACAAAGTATTTACAAAGAATAGTAAATTCTAGAAATACTAGATTTTCATGCTTGGTGCATCCCCTCACTTATAAATATCACCCACTACAAATCTGCCAATTTGGAGAAAAAAAAGTGGTCAGATTCCATGACAACTGTGACAGACAGAAGGTGTTATGAATGTATATTAAGTTATATTGCCTGTCGTTTACTGATGTGATGCAGAACCAGAAGACACTATTGTGAAGTGATCCTTTACTTACACAATAACAGATACAATGTTCCTGTATATCTGTATATGTGGAAGTCAAACTGTTAGAGACTAAACTCCTGTATAGTCACAGCTGTGTTTATACAAAGAAATAGAATTTTGTCAGGACTGATACCGACCAGGTACAGAGACCAGGGAACAAAATATCCACTATAGAAATACCTATGTGTAATATGCTAAACATGTGACTGACTGTGTGAGTGATTTAGGTAGACAGACATGCCTGATGTTTCAGTGACTTGCTGGGTGCATTGTATTTCATAGATACTGATAGACTGTGGTTCTGGACATTCAATTACAAATGTAACCCCTATGGATTACACACTAAACTGGGAATGGTCAAATTTTAGAGCGCAATAACCAAACTAGAGACTTGCTGAGAATTTTTACATTTCAGCAATTTGTCCTAACAGTTGAAGTGATCTGGTCATTTATTGGGTAGTCCTGATTTGTACACCTATACTACGGGTACTGGGTATTAGTATTAAAAATAAATGCACCACCCAAACTAATCAGAGCCCTTACCACTTGACTCTTGGAAATACATGATGCCTATTTGCTAGTGCAATATGAAACATATATTGTGAAAACTTATACTGGCAGTCCAATATATTTTCACTACTCCTTTTGTCAGTTAGGTAGGGATGCCCGCATTGCTTTCAGCGCTTTAAAGTCATTTGAATTATAATTTGTGGTGGCACTGGCTATTAAGTAGTGTTCTGCTTGATCTTTGCTTTATATGAGTGAGTATCTGGGACCATGATTTTAATTAGTCGGTGTAGAAATGGTATCCTAGTTGGATGATGGATCACGATGATAAAAACTTTGCCTTAATCGTTGCACATGTGTTGAAAGGAATAAGGACACCACTACCTGGTTGAAAGGAAAAGCACTCCCCTACATTAGTAATATAGAACACTAAAACAAGCCATGGCAGGAGCTCTGGTCCATGTTAGTTCATCTACAATATTTACTATGGGTGCAAAATGTTGTGCTATTCAAATTATTCTTTTTTTTCTGTATGCATATATACACCTGTAAAAACACCACTGTCTTCATGGGACAGTAAGTTTAAAGGATATTAAAATGTCCACTAAAAAGCAAGGATAACAGCTCATTATAGTTATAAGACATCCTTCCTACATTTTTACTTGCTTTCTGACTGCTCCCCCCATGTTTTACTCAATCATGATATGATTGAAACAACATCAATTAAGTTACAGATATCGAATTGCCATTTTGGATTCAAGGAACAATGTGTCCGAGTTTGTGGCACAAACTATTTTTTTTTTTTGCCGTCTTTTGGATCAACCTGTTAGATGTGTGGATAGTTGTACTTGATGGACGTAAGTCTTTTTTTCAACCTAGATTACTATGTTACAGAAGGTACCCATGTTTATAGGCACCACAAAGCATTTCCGAGAGCCATGTGACAAGAGCTTTGAGTACTGTGTATTAGCTTTTATTGAAATACTGTACAAGATTTAAAGTATTATCATACCTTGCCATAGTAAGTTTCATTATAATTTTCTTTCATATACTCCACTATTATTTTTAGATCATCTTGCATCAAATTAAGTTTATTAAGCTTGTATCTTATCTCACAAAAGCAACCCACTTATTTTGCTTGGTTAGGAGAAAAGAACAGTGTTTCAACAACTTTGTGTGATCACTATTGTATAATCATCTTGGCAGTGAACACTAAATAAAAAAAAAAGATATATAATGTATACATTATAATTCAAAGTATTTAGTGATGGCTTTGTTGTATGATGAGTCACCAAAAACCTTGCAGATTGGCTTTAATAATAACAGCTATTTGTGTATGTTATCAAGGAAAAACACAGATTTGAGATATAACATACAGGGCTAGGTTCCAATAACAATTTGCGCACCGTTGCAGTGTCATTTACACCTCGTGTCGTTATTATTGGCATTGGTCATAGCAAGATTTTAAGCAATCAGAGAGTAGTGTTGTGACACAGGTGTTTCCATCCTCGCCACAGACACAGTATGACATCTGACCTGAGCTGGCTTCTGTTTCCTTCTGATGTGGGTTGTCTAAAATGACAAAACTAATCAGTATCCATAAACATAAAATAAATACAGAACACCACACCAACGAACCATTCAGCGCTATTCAAAAATTATTGTTGATACCGGGCCCCACCACACTACTGCACAAAAAAATATACTTAACCCTTTCTGGGGCACTGAAGCTTAACCTGTATAATTCTTTGGATTATAGTGTAATTTAGGCCAGGGGTAAAGCAACCTTCAGCTCTAGATGACATGGTCTACATCTCCAATAATGCTATTACAGCCATAATGCTGGTAAAGAATCATGGAACATTTAATCCACAACGGAATGCCGAAGGTTGCCTATACCTGGCTTAGGCGATCAAATCCTGCAACTCAAACATTAAAGGAACAGGCATTTTATCACAGAAAAGTCAACTGAAATTAGACTTGTATTACTATATATTATTTATATTGCCATATATAGTAGTGTTGATCTTGGTAATGATCCTGGCTGTACTACATTTGTTGGTGGTGGCTCCTAAGCCTTCCTGATAAGCTTCAATGCCATAAGCAACAATAGAGTACTGCATGGCTTTAATGCATGACAAAACACAGACAAAATGGGCATGCATCCTCACCCGTTTTTTTCTGGTTGACTGGGATTATTTCCTGAACCTATAGTTAAAAGGTAGACAACATTATTGATGTACAGTCATATCAGATGTAACCCAACTTATATTACTATTTTGTAAGAAAGTCTATGGATATATCCCTCCATAGGCTAATAGATAAATACTTGGGATTTCTGCTTAAAAATGCTGATTAAATAATGAAAAAGATTGCTCAGTTTAGCAAATCATATACTTGCTAAGTAAAACCTACATTCTCCTGCACCCCCGGGCCACCACAATGCAAGCAGAGAAGTCATCATCGGGTCTCTTTAAAAACATGCAAAGCTGCCGTTTTAGTATATACAGGGTTGTTTTTTTTTGTCAATCTTTGTTTTATTAAGGCAGGTTATAGTTGTACAACAATTGGAAAAGGAGTCACAATAGATGTACAGGTTAGCATGACATTTTCAGGAACAGTCTCAAATACATGTCAGTGATAGGCCTCGGTTGCACTTATGTTTCTTATGGGGTCTGCCTCGTTTTATAACTTTGTAAAGAAAATAAAGGTAACAGGTGTGGCCTGAACAGACAATCAACACAAGTGTGCTATGTTTGCATGACTTGCTGTTGATGTGAGACTAAACTATCATGTGCGCATCAGTGGCTTGACTATAGAAACATACTTCAGTATAAGGTGCACGTGTAGTGTGACGTCAAGTTAATGAAAACATTTATGACGGAATAGTACACAGGCTATGTCCACTACGTCTATCCCCACACCCCAACACTTGCAACAGAAAAGTAACTGGGGGTGAAGATATAACTTAAACATAATGAAAAACATATAACACTTGAATAGGTTGGGCTATTCCCGGCTGCGGTAGGCATATGAGCATTCAGTAAGATATAGTGGAAACCAAAATAGTAATCTCTTGTGCGAGTATGCTCAACTATTCAAAATACCCAGTGTACACATACACTAGCTATTAGGCTAATTGCCCGTGCTACACCCCAGTAGGAAGGTTAATCTGTGAGGTATGAAGAGGCACGGGAATGTCGGGAAGTAGAAATCACTGCTGAAAGTTAGGGTGCTCTAAGGTTACCAGGGCAGGCTTTATCATAGTAATACTTTTGATTTACAGGCAAGCAGCCAATGCCCTAGGGAGGTAATTCCCAGCTGCGTAAAACTGTACTGCTACTCGGATTAAGAAAATCCTTATAACAAGAAAAAGAAAATAAACCTTATCAAGAATACTAAACTAAGAGAGTGTCGATAGGTCTGACTTAGCTTTGAGAAGATGCTATCGGCCTACAAGCTTCATGTGATAGGTTCAGGTTGCTATATATGGGGCCTATGGCTAAGAACGGTGGATTTAACCCTGCTCACACCAGAATTTTCCATCAGGGATTTAAATCCCAGATGACAGAGGTTAGACCCAGGTATGATTGATACCTGGGACTCCCTGGTGTGAGCAGGTATTTAACTCTGCTCACACTATGTTGCTGCCACCGGTATTTAAATCTCTATTCAAAGGGTCTTCCCTTTGAGCGCTGCATACAGCTCATCTTTCAGTCTGGACCCACTAAATATGGCCCCAGGTGACAGAGGGGGCCCCAAGTATCACTTATAGCCTGGGACTCCCTGGTAGAGATGTCGCGAGCCGGCGAACTCCGGTCAGCTGACACATCCCGGCCAATCTCCAGCAGACCCTCCTACTTCCTGGACAGCATCCATGTTTCAACATGGATACTGTCCAGGAAGTAGGAGGGTCTGGGAGGGAGGGTCTGCTGGAGATTGGCCGGGATGTGTCTTCTGACCGGAGTTCGCCGCAACTGCGGCGAACCGTTCGCGAGAAGTTCGCGAACGGTTCGCGACATCTCTACTCCCTGGTTTGAGCAGGTATTTAACTCTGCTCACACTATGTTGGTGCCACCGGTATTTAAATCTTTACTTAAAGGGCCTTCCCTTTGAGTGCTGCATTCAGCTCATCTGTCAGCCTGGACCCACTAAACATGGCCTCAGCTGACAGAAGGGAGCCTCAAGTATCAGTTAGGGCCTGGAACTACCTGGTGTCAGGAGGGATTTAAACGTGCTTGTACTAAAACGTTCGGACATGTCATTACATCCTAATGTCATTAAAACCAATGCTTTGTATGGCGTAATGACACATACAAATGTCTTTAAGGGGTTCAAATTATTCCAAAAGTAAAAAAGTCCATCTTTCTGAAGACCACCTAAAGCACAAAAATAATGCTGAAGCTTTTCTCATTTTACTCTAAACTCACTATGTGACTCTTATAGTTGCCAACTGTCCTGTTTTTGCCATGACAACCCCATGTTTTAGGGTCCTGTTCTGGCAAAAATGAGTCCCAGGACATGTCCTGCATAGTTGACAAACTGGCACCTTGTGTCTGCCATGCTGGAAGAAAATGATTACACTTTACTTCCCCCAAGCGCACAAATTAAGTAAATTAGGGCGCTCTGTAATAAGAAGGGAAGGATGTCTCTGACTGGGAACAAAATGGGGCTGCTTTCAGTGCTCCCAGCCCATACCTGAGTATGTGAGAGATGACAGAGGTCTTCCTTTCATAGTTTGTGATATGTATTGGGCATTGTGTGTGTATTAGGCATTGTGTGTGTGGATGTATGTATTAGGCACTGTCTCTGTATGGATGTAGGGAATAGGCATTGTGTATGTATATATAAAAGTCCCTGGAGGACTGAAACGTTGACACCATTTACTGGAAATTTGATGCTTTGAATAAACAGCACGATTTGAAATAATTGAGTCCTGTGAGTGCAATTCAAACAAGGATTTATATATATATATGGATGTATTGAATAGTTTGTCTATGTGTACATGTTTTTATTATGCATTGTGTGTTTGTGCATATGGATATATAGATTAGACAGTGTATACATTTTCATCTGGCTCCTTTCACTACAAGTGTCTACCTCATGTCTCCTTTCCCTCTTTCTTACTATGTGCATGTTTCGTTTACAAATATCAGATTTGATAGGTCTCTTTTAAAATTTAAGTTGGAATAGCAAAGTTAGAAAAACTTTCAGGTATACTGAAGACTTTTTCCAACCTTTCTATTTTGGCCTTATTTTTCAACACATTGTTTAATGAATGACTGATTTGAGAAAAAAGCACACAGGAAAAGAACAAGAGACATGGCTACACCATTACAACCCCATCTGTAGCGATTTCCAATAATGCCACAAAAAAGGGAAAAAAAATATTATTGACAGCAACCTATTCACAAACATATTAACTATATACTTGAATATTCTGTTTTTGTAAAACACCACGCAGGCCTTAAAAAAAAATATATCAATAGAATCTGATAAGATAACATCTTCAAGTAGTGAATGCCACATTTTATTGTTCTTTTTTTAAAGAACCTTTTCCCCTGTTGTAAGCGAAAAAACCCTTTCTTACAGGCTCAATGGGTGACTTCTTGTCTGTTGTATATTCCGGCTAATGAATAGTCAGTTCGTAGCGGTTTGTACTGACCCTCTGGAATGCCTTATTTTGTAAAGAAAACAAATGCAGTTTTTCCAGCCTTTCTTCAAAACCAATATTTCCATCCCGTATTAATTTTGTATCTCGTCTCTGTACTTTTTCTAGTTCTGCAATATATTTCTTTAAAACGGGTACTCAAAATTGCTCCACATATTTAAGATGGAGTCTTACCATTGAATTATATGGAGGCAAAATTATATTTTGATCATGTGAATCATGCCTCCATAAATATAGCAAAATCTATATTCAAGCCTGAAGCTGTAACTCTGCATGCTGTTTGCCTCAGAAAAACAAGCAGTCTGCTGACATCATCAGAAGTGGTGGCCTGATCCAATCACAATGCTTCCCCATAGGATTGGCTGAGACTGACAAGGAGGCAGATCAGGGGCAGAACCAGCATGATTCAAACACAGCCCTGGCCAATCAGAATTTCCTCATAGAGATGAATTTAATCAATTAATCTCTATGAGGAAAGTTCAATGTCTGCATGTAGAGGGTGGAGACACTGAATGTTTGGATGCATTTTAGGCAGCCATGACCCAGGAAGGACCTCTAACAGCCATCTAAGGAGTGGCCAGTGAAGTTATCACTAGGCTGTAATGTAAATACTGCATTTTCTCTGAAATAACCAGTGTTTACAGCAAAAAGCCTGAAGATAATGATTCTACACACCAGAACAAATGCAATAAGCTCTAGTTGTTTTGGTGACTATAGAGTCCCTTTAAGAGAGATGAATGGAGCATAAAGGGAAAAAACTGTTAAAAAAAAAAAAGATGTTAATGCTTGAAGGCTGTGAAGCATAAAGATGTTAAAGCATGAAGTATTCACTAAACATAAAATTGTAGCAAAATGAAAACCAAATAGCAAAATATAGACCACAACAAACTACTAGTACATGGTAAGGGATGACCTGAGGGGCTACACAGCAAGGGAAGCTAAACATTGTAACCATTAAGAGATTTAAAAAAAAAAATAGCAAATGTAAAATAATACTTTGATTTCTAAAACAATCACTGCAAAAAAAGGATAGATTCTGGAAAAAAGAATCAAACAAAACAACGTATGGCCATATTCCGATACCTTTATTGTGTGAAGGATGACGTTTCACACCTCTTTGTCTCCCCATCTCTATTTTAAGTTAAAACACGGCTCACAGCAAATAGGACACATTTAAAAATTCAATACTATTTAGCCATGCAGTGCAATTTATTTTACATCTGATAGTCCGTACATTATTGGAGCAGCATTGGCTAAATACTTTATATTTTTTTCTGCTTATAATTATAATTAATGGAATTAAGAGTATGATATCTGCCAATAAGAATCCAACAAATCACTGTACTGAGCTTATTCCAGACAAGCAGGTTTACATCCTACCACATATTGGTTACAAACTATAGACTACCACTCAAACAACCTTCCATAAGTCTCTCACATACACACAGAACACCACATCCACTCAAATCCTAGCTCTTTACAGCATGAAAATAGTAGAAACACAGATGGCATGAATCTCCACATGGCAGCTAGAGCTGTAAATAGAATCTGCTACTAAAAAACATACAGGTCTGACATTTCTAAGGACACTGAGTATCAAACTAAAGTATTGAAATGTGCAGATCCTTCACCTAAAATGCCAACATAGCCAGGTGACCACAAAGCTCTTTAATATACACTGATCAGCCATAACATTAAAACTAGTGACAGGTGAGGTGATAACATTGATTATATTGTTACAATGGCACATGTTAAGGTGTGGGATATATTAGGCAGTAAGTGAGCAGTCAGTCCTTGAATTTCATGTGTTGGAAGCAGGAAAAATAGGCAAGCAAAAAGATCTGCGACTTTTACAAGGACTAAATAGTGATGGCTAGATGACTGGGTCAGATCAACTCCAAAACAGCAAGTCTTGTGTGCTGTCTCCAGTATGCAGTGGTTAGTACCTATCAAGTTTGAGGAAGAACATTGATGCACGTGGGGAGTGAAGGCTAGCCAGTCTGGTCCGATCACACAGAAGAGCTACCATAGCTCAAATTCTGAAAAACATAATGCTGGCCATGATGTTTAGGTGTCAGAACACCCAGTGCATCCCAGTTTTCTGCGCATTGGGCTGTGTAGCGACAGGCCGGTCAGAGTGCCCACGATGATCCCTGTCACTGCCTAAGCGCCTTAAATAAGGACATGAGCGTAGAACATGGAGCAATTAAACAAGTTTGCCTGGTCTGATAAATCATGTTTTCTTTTAGATCAGGTGGATTTCTGGGCAAGTGTGTGTCGTTTACCTGTGAAAGAAATGGCAGCAGGATGCACTATGGGAAGAAGGCAGGCAGGCGGAGGTAGTGTTTTGTTCTGGGCAATGTTCTGCTGGGAATTTGGTCTTGGCATTCATATGGATGTTTCTTTGACACACATCACCTACCTAGAGATTGTTATCCTCTTCATAGCTTTGGTGTTCCCTTCAGGCAGTGGCCCCTTTCAGCAGGATAAAGCACCCTGCCACACTGCAAAATAATGTTCAGGAATGATTTTTAGGAAAATGACAGAGTTCAAGGTGTTGCCTTGGCTTCCACATTTACTTGATCTCAATCCGATTGAGCATCTGTGGGATATGCCGGAGGCCCTGCCTTGCAACTTGCAGCACTTAAAGGATCTACTGCTAATGTCTTGGTGGCAGATATCACAGGTCTTGTGGAGCCCATGTCTCGATGCATGAGAGCTGTTTTGACAGCACGAGGGTGATCTACACAATATTAGGTGGTTTTATTGTTGTGAATGATCGCTGTATCAGCTTGGTTTTCAATAAGATGCATCTTGCAGGAAGAAAAACATCTGACTGTACATTTTCTGTGCATACGGAGTGCTGTAGTCAAAGCAACTACTGAAGTTAATTATTTTTTTGCATATATACCAACGCAGGTATTTTGTACATACACTTTTAAATTGTCTAATTTTCCTACCTACTTTGAAATACTAAACTTATATAACCATTGGCCTTTCTCCATGCTTGGAAAGCTGTCTATTGGCTTTGTATCATGCTTAGGCCAGCAATCTGTCTCTCACATGCTTTCATGATTTGCCATGATTCACTTCCACACTTGGTGGGAGGTTATTCCATTTATTTACCATCCTTTCCATTATGGGTGCCACCAAGTTGGCATTTTAAAAGCAGCCTCATGAAATGAAACACATGTCCAAAGGGAGGAAAAACATGGAAACAATAATATGACCTGTCCAGTGTTTTGTTTCCAGAAAATGTCTCAAATCCCACCTATTATGCTTAATGCTTCCCTTGAATCAGTGTTCAGCTCTACAATAGGAAATGCCACAATTATATAATCTTATACACATAACTACCCAATTTATTAAGTGATTTAGGCCTTATTGCCCAGGCACACCCTTCGCACATAATCTCCTATCTTGTTGCTGTAAAACAGTTCATTCTCTTACTCTCACTTTTTTGTATGTGTTTGATTCTTTCTCAAAGCCAATAGTTTTGGAGCTTTGGTATTTATTCACTAAACTGTGCATTATAGTGATCAGAAAAGCAGGTAGCGCAACATGAGCAAAAATAGCCCAGTTGTCATTTTAGCTATTTTAGAGAATTTCTGCGTATCTGCTATTTTTGCCCAAACTTTGCAGCTTGGTTTTCAATTCACTACAATTTATCGGTCAAGAGAAGAAACACTTTTACAAGAGCTGTAAAAGATTTTTTTCACTAAAGTGTACATTTTTGTGAATTCATAGTGATTTTCAAATTGTAGTCCAAATTATCTCGATTGAAAACAGGGAGAATATTTCCAGTTCAGCCATTTTGGTGTAAGAATTTAAATTCACTTTCCATGCTCAACAATTCTCACTGTAGTAAATAACCAACCCTGTTTGTCTCTTTTTTTTCCTTTGCGTTGTTTTTCTCTGACTTGTAATTAAACCCTTGATTTCTTGTTCCCCTTTCTCTCTCTCTCTCTCTTCTCTTTGTTGTTTTTAATCCATTTCTCCTTCTCTCACCTTCTCTCAGTTTCTGGCGTTCCCCCTCTCCCTCCCTCCCTCTGCCTTGTTTAGAATATCATTCTTATTTAGCTATTCCAACATGTGGTATAAGTTAGTCCCTCGGAGGTTTGGCAGGCGAGCGTTGCCATGGTGACGGTGATTTCGGCTGGCGTAGTTTGGGCTGGTGGGGAGGTGAAGGGGGAGTAATTGGGTGCACATGTCCCTGAACTTCTGGATAGCTTTATGGGGCTGAGGGGGAGGGATCCCGTGAGCTGCAGAGTGTCTGTGAGGAAAGATCTCTGCTTGAAATAAAGGTCGTTTGAGCTTTGAATGTCAGCAGCACCCAGGGCTCCCCCTTACACAAATATCTCCAACTTTTTACGCTCACCAGCACTGCTCCCCACGGCACTGATTTTTATTTTTAGATAGATATAGATTGGATTAGCCATATTAGTCCAGTAGACAAGATGCCAAAATTACAGTTTACCTTTTGTTTATTGGACTAATATAATACTTAAAAGACAAGCTTGCAAGAGTTTTCCTCTCGTCTGAAACAATACCTGAGGAAGAGAGGAAAACACTCAAAATGTTGTCTTTTAAGTATTATGGTAGTCCAATAAAAAGGAAGCATTGCATACTGCAAAACTCTGATATTTTTTTGCATTATATATAAAAAAAAATATTTTTTTTTGCTGCACCACACCACACTATGTGCTCTTATTACATAATCTATAACTGTTTACTTTTGTATTCGATAGTCTAGTGCCAAACCTTCACTCACTTCATTACAAAACTGCACTGGATTTTACTTTTCCTGCATCTAGTGCTGCCACATAACGTTAACCTACATTAATTAAATATTGATATTTTATATACTGTATATAAATGAATCTCCCAAGCTTCTTGCTGCACTCATATTTATATACATATATTACAGACTTGTGTATAAAAGAACTCTGGGGCTAAATTTAAAACTGTATCGCTAAATATGGACGTTTCATTGGTGCCCATGGTGATTACTCCATATTTAGTTTGCCCCAGATTTGGAATTATCAGTTTCCTTTAACTTTTATTACTCCTACATGTCAATGACTGGTACATGAATAGTGCTGCTCTTCAAGAATGTAGAATGCAATGATGTAGGGAGGCATTACAATAAAAAACAATCACTAATCACAAATAATCTCAAATAAATTGATTTGGTAACTCACAGTACACCATGCACTTACATAAATACGGTACACATTTAAAGAGCTATCATTTAAAGTAATATTGCAAATATCAATAATGTTGAAAAGGATTGAAAATGTTGCCAATAATTTTGAAAAGGATGACAACTAATCTAAGGTTAGGGTTAAGGGGTTTGAAGGGTTTAAGGCTGTAGTAGCCTTTTAGAATTAGGGTTATTAATCTGGAGTAACATTGGCGGTATTTGGCATTTGAGGGGAGTAGGTGAGTGGGATTTTTTTTAAAAATCAGACTGAGTGAAAGAGTGATATGAGTTACAATGTAGAATACACTACAGTGTCATTTTTGCACAGGTTTAAATGCAATAAAGTCATACAAGTGCGTGCTGTGTCATCATCATCATACATTCTTAATTCAACTTTTCCATGTTGAGATTTTTTAAGCAAATCTTAAATTAGTAATGGTATTGTGGAAGATGTTGATGCTTTATAAATGATAACAATAATAATATTACTGTCAAAATGCACAAGTTTAATAGGTCAAGCAACGTTATAGTAATTGTTCAAGGGAACTGCATAAATTAGAGAGCAGTGTCATCCTAGAGAAGGTAAAGTTGGTTGTCAATTACCCTGATATATAGTCCATTAGTCTAACACTGAACCCAGTTGTTCTAGTCTTTAACTCTCATCACTCTGTTAGGCTTCTCTAGGCAAAGAATGACAGGAGTTGTAGTCTCCATCATATTGCATACAGTTGTAAGCCTTAAGTAACAAGGATAGTCCACCTAAACTTAAATCTGCTATTACTGCACCTTTAAAAATTCAGGGATTTGTATAAGTTTGTGATTTTGTTCCCCCCTGGAACCAGTGTGTTACTCAATAAAGTAAAAATTCAGATTTGTATCAGACTAAACTTGTCTGTTACCTGCTGAGTGTCATGACCCTCTAGTACTTAGCTTACAATTTTTTAAAAGGGCATTGTAAGCGCAATAACAACTATTGCACATGTTACATACAAAATGGTTTGGCAAGACCCTTGGGCCTCAGAGCCCATGGTTCTTTCCAGTATCAGCAAATTTCATATTGCTATAGAAGAAATGGAACTTCCGTTATAGCTATATCAAAGCTGATCAGAGGAATTAATCTCCCAAGGGACCGTGGTAGGTGTCAAACTGTCCGAAAACAGTTTGACTACTTATTGTAAAAGAATGTCAGGGGAGTTCTCCTGGTACCATAAGTACTAGAGCCCGCTGTAGTGGTTATGGTGCATTGACTGTCTTTTTAACTACATGTGCATTTACAGCTTTGTCACAGATGTAGCAAACTCAGATGTCTTCAATGCAATAAAATACAATTCCCTCTCTACTTTCTGCTTTGTTTCACGGAAGTGCTTATAATATCCTCTTTCCTGTGGCAATTTTATATTATCTGTCTATGAGGATGAAAAATTGAGAATTTGTGTGTTAGCTCTCTAATGGAAGTACAAGTACAGGACATATTTTAAAAGCAGGGTGTGCATGGTAAGATCAGTGAGACAGATTGGCAGTGCAGTATGAGATTTAGTGACACAACAGCTTTGAGGTTGCTTTAACTAATCAAGCTATTTTTGGTATCTTGTGGGATCATGTGAAAATACATTGTCAATCATGGCTTTTATTTCTCAACAGAAATCATTGTCCCAAGATTTACTAAAGTATGGAGAATAGTTTAGCAATTCATAGAAATACCACAGCTGAAAATTCACATATGACCATATACTTCTATGTGCAGACTCTACGATCGCTTTCTTATGTTGATCATACAGCCATGTGCTAAATTAAATGAACCTTCACACAATGTATTACATTCAGTTCATTGGTAACATTGTGGTGAATGTTTCCAACATCTTCAGTATGTAGTAAGTCTCCTAATTGCACAATCACAGGGCCAAGCTACCCATCCATTTATCTAGGTTCTTTGTGGTTTCATTCAGTTTGATAAAGGGTTAGGCGCTGCAAGAGTGACTAGCATTCCTACTATCCTAACTTAAAATTAAGGGGTTTCAAATCCATAAGTGTTTTATGACCTGCAATAATGACCTATTTTTTTTCAAATAGGATTCAAACATTATGCATTCTAGGATAATGCTGATTAAACACTGCATGACTAACATCTAATATTTTAACATGATATGTGGTTAATTATTCTGACCATTTAGTCCATGTTTTTAACAAAATTACGATTACACACAGTTCTTTCTTCCTTTACATGACTGTTTTCAACAACCACAGAGATCATACTTTAAGTTGTTTTCTTCTCGTTGTCATACCATTTGCAGATGTGGACTCAGAAGAAACCTCCCTGAGCCATGATGTTATCTCTGACACTACAATGTCTCTAAATGCCCCCAATAACTGTGTCATCGGAGGTACAGGTGGTGGAATGGGGTGTTTAACAAGGGCTGGCATGCACTCTCCACCACCTAGACGAGCTTCAGAACATGACATAAACGGGACTTTTCTCAGTCAACCTTCCCGGTTTATTCCTCTTGGTGGATCACGCTTCTTAGAATGTCCCAGTATACGAATCACAAGTGACTCCCCTGGAAATAGTGATGGTGAACCAGAAGAACAAGGAAGAAATGACCTGTGGGATGACAGGCCACATCGTGATCAGCTTTTTCTCCCACCAGACCCTTTTGGCTATCGAGACTCTTTCTTAAGCCCTAGTCCAGCAAGCAGCCATTCCTCCTGGAGTTTTCTGTCCTCCGAAGCAAGCTCATGTGATTCACTGGGGCAGATGTGTGAAGAGGTGGAAAGAGAGCTTAATGAGGCTACTTCTCGATTTACTTTAGCTTCTCCTCTTGGCTCCCCGAGAGGGTCCCCAAAACCTTGGGGATGCCACAGTGATGATTTTTGGCCTGCAAACTCTATTTCAGGTCTTTCATCCTCACCCCGTGAAGAGTTACTTTCACCATACCCACAGGGGCAAGTATCTCGACCTACCTCTCCCTGTGGAAAGAGGCGCTACTCAAATTCAAATGAGGATAGTAACCATCAAATTAGTTCTCCTTCCCCAGCAACATCTCGCAGAGGAAGCTTAGGAGAAGACAGCCTAACATCAGAAAGAGAAGCTTCTCCCAAACCGTGTGAACAAAACCAACAACCAACACAAACCACATCTGAGAGAGGAGACAATATTCCACAAAAGGCCCGCAGAACTTCTGCAGAACAAACTGTGGCACCTGTTAGGAATGAGGAGCCCTCAAGTCCTGGGAAAGCATTTCCTTCATCACCTTCTAGTGAAGATACCTCTGGAATATTTACTCAAACGAGAAAGGAAAATGTTGGAATGGATTACCTCTCTGTGCCTTCAGCTCTAGCCTGGTCCAAAGCAAGGGTTGGCGGGCAAAGCCCAATATTCAGGTAAGAGGAATGCATTAATACGGGTTATCAATAAAGAGCAAATTTAGGTAAGATTCTAAAAGTGGAGCAGTTACCAATAAAGTCACTACACTTCTAGAACACTGCCCAACAAATGCATTAACATTTTTCTTACAATACCTATATACATCTCACCTTTCAGGTGGTTGAGTTTGTGCTGTTTGAGGAACCTCATATTTTTTAATTAAAAGCGCCTCTAAAAATTCAGCATTCCATTTTTCTCAAATAATTGCTCAATGACCAACAGACAGATAGATTGCAACGGAGTTATCTATAATTCTTAAGCATCTCCTAGTCCTTGACAACAATATTAAATTCTAGTACTTGTTTAGTAGTAGTAGTAGTTACAGTAAAAGTATTTTTTTTCTTGTATTCTGACACAAAGGAGATTTAGAGGTGCCCTTTCACCTTTGTTTTCCCAGACAGCTGATTATTTTGAGAGAAGAGTATTGTCACACAGAAAAATCAATTAGTCTATGGGGTTCATGTAGGATCTCCTTTGTTTTCTCTGGCAGCATGCCAATTTAACATATTGAGGGACAGCACTTTTCATGAACCCTCCTGAGAGTATGTAAAAGTTGTAGCTGTCCAGGAAAAAAAAGAAAACATAGTCAAACTGGTAACTAGGTGACGTTCAGCAGTACATACCCGGAATTGTGCTAGGATAAATGGCCTAAAATTCATTTTTGTATATGTTTAGTGTTTGATGCATTGCATTTGTTGAATTCACAATTCAAAGCAATGTACATTTTCCAAAAGATTATGTATATTTTCATGAAATTATTGAAGGGGTAGTTTTAGAGGTAAAGAGGGGTATAATCAATCATCTGAGGTGGAATAAAGCCACAGTGATAGATTGCTGAGGAGGAAAATTGTCATTTTGAAGGAGTTTTGCACACATTACATACATTACTACATTTATGTACGGTTTTTACAAATAAATGATCTAAGTTAAAAGATGTTCATTAACAAATTATGTGTATAATGTTCTATAGCGAAAGTAATAATTTTTGTATAAAGCATTCTTTATCAAAATAAAGAAAGAAAATAAATCCTGTTGATGCCATTGTGCTTAGATTGGGAATGTTTATGAGTGACAAAATCCTTAGTCCCTTACACTAACAATGATTCCAGATTTGCCTGACAAAATATATGCTAAGGCCAATTTAATATCTATGTAGAGATAATGGTAAAATTCTTAGTGCAGTGTTGAGCTGTTACTAGTCCAGTTCTGCTCTATTTGAATAGCCATTGACTAGATCACCAAAAAAAAAACCTGAGTGAAAAGATCCTAAATTTCCACACATGCAAAGTACAACACTACAAAAACAAAATAGTAATAAACCAAAGCGGGCAATTGTAAAAAAATTTACTTTTGTTATTCTCTCTTAGATCCTCCTCACTGCCACCACTGGACTGGCCTCTGCCATCTCAGTTTGAGGGCTTGGAGTTAAGAGTAGAGGTTCAGCCTCGAACACATCACAGAGCTCATTATGAAACCGAAGGTAGTCGTGGGGCAGTGAAGGCTTCACCAGGCGGTCATCCTGTTGTAAAGGTAAAATTTGTTTGTCATCCACTCTCACTTTATAAGCTCACCAGTGTTTTTCCGAGCCATTACTAATCCAACCTGTGGTTAAAAATGTGTGCTGTTTATGCTACTTGAGAACAGGTTTATATTAGGCATGTGCATGGGAAAAATTTTCGGTTCGGCATTCCGAACTTCGGCACTTCGACACTTCGGATCTTCGGCAACTTCGGCACTTCGGAAGTTCGCCACTTCGGAATTTCAGTAACTTTGACTCTTCAGAACTTTGGCACTTGGGAACTTCTCTTGCCTCCGCTTGGTAGATAACTCCCTAATTCCCAGGGTAGCCTGTGGCTACTCACTGTTAAAAAAAAAAAGGGTACCCCCTCCCGAGCCGCCACCCCTGAGCAGCGGATGGGGGCCCTAAAGTAAAATAATAATACTAATTAGGGGGGGACCTAATGTCCTCCCCCTGGCCCCCACCCCTGAGCGGTGGGTGGGAGCCCTAAATACTAATTAAGGGGGGGACCTAATGTCCTCCCCCCTGGTCCCCACCCCTGAGCAGTGGGTGGGGCCCTAAATACTTATTAGGGGGGGCCTAATGTCTTCCCCGTGGCCCCCACCCCTGAGCGGTGGGTGGGGGCCCTAAATACTAATTAGTGGGGGACCTAATGTCCTCCCCCCTGGCCCCCACCCCTGAGCGGCTGGTGGGGGCCCTAAAGAAGAGTACCTGAAAAAAGAAAAAAAAACTTACAATTTGATGTTTTCTTTTTTCTAAAATCTTATTTTTTCAGCCCCAAAAAAGGCCAAATAAAAAGCCATAAAAACCGACTCACTTAAAAAAAAAAAAAAATCCATCTTCACCCGGTGAGGGCTCCACGCAGACTGAGCTCTCCAGGGCGGGGGAAGGCTTATAAAGCCTTGCCCCGCCCTGCACTTAGGCTCAGAGCACTCTGATTGGTTGGTTTGAAATCCACCAATCAGAGTGCTCTGTGTCATTTTACACAGCGTGGAAAAGTTCTTTGGAATTTTCCCACGCTGTGTAATTTGACTCAACTCTCCGATTGGTGGATTAAGTAACCAATCAGAGAGTTATGAGTCAAATTACACAGCGTGAAGATTACCTTTTTTTTTTTTTTGCTCTCTTTTTTTTTTTTTTAAAGTGTGTAGGTTATTATGGCTTTTTATTTGGCCTTTTTTGGGTCTGGAAAAAAGATTTTAGAAGAAAGAAAACATCAAATGGTAAGTTTTATTTAATTTTTTTTCAGGTACTTAGTTAAATGATCCCCCCTCATTATTTTTAGGGTGAGGGGGATAGGGACCCCTAGTCACCCGTGGGAGGGGGGATTAATTTTTTTAATTAGGTCCCCCCCTAATTAGTATTTTAGGGCCCCCACCCACTGCTCAGGGGGCAATAGGTCCCCCCTTCAGGTTAGGAGGGGGAGGGAGACTTTTTTTTAAATTTTTTTTTAATTTTTTTACAGTGAGCAGCTACAGGCTGCTCACTGTTTAATAGACATGCCCCTACTCGCGGCATAATTTACTAATACTAAGTAATCTTTTTAGGTCTTTTAGCCTTTTAGTAGATAGCTCCGTAGGAATTAGGGAGTTATCTACTTATTCATTCCTGTCATTACATTGACTGGCTAAGTAACTTACATTTTATATGAATGTGTGTAACTTCATTGTTGTAAGTGTTGCAAATGCTTACACCTGAATCCTGGCTACGTTTGTATACTTTTTATTTAAAATTGAATACAGTTTAACTGTGCTTCGGAACTTCGGTAATTTCGGAACTTCGGGACCTCAGTAATTCGGCACTTCGGCAATTCGGCACTTCGGCTATTGCCCAAAATTCGTCCGAATTCACATTCGGACAGAAACGAATTGCACATGTCTAGTTTATAACATCTATAGTCTACATGAGTTAATTATGTATGTATTAGAAGATATCGGTAAGAGATTTTGCACATGTTCGGTGGGTGTGAATGGACTTCTGCATGGAATGTACAAAATATTTTGCCAGGCTATGTTTGTGCTTAAACTCAGGTGTGCACACATGTTTATATGTCTGAGTATCATGCTGTATTTCCTTGAAGGAGTACATTTATGATGAGTTGTGCAACAGTGCACAGTCATGCTTGATGGCACAAGAAATATTGAAACAATTTCCTCTCATCCTCCCCATCACTTAAAGATGTAGATTATAGCAAGAGAGCAGACACAGTTAAAGAAACAGCCAAAGGAGATTCTCATGTGAAAGGAACACTGCTCAATCTTAAAAAACAAAGAAAGTTATCAACACTAACCTAGCAATTTCAGGAACTGAAAATGAAATTATAGGACAAAATAGATTATCTAAGAAATAATCTGCAAAATTATTTGACTGAAAAATTTTTCTAGCCCTGCTATTAGGACCTAAAATGTGCAGTTCACTTTGCAATTCCTCATTCAATAAATGTCCCTTACAAATATATTAGTTTTATAGTCGCACAGGTTAAGTACAAGATTAAAGCATAACCTATGCATTTAGGGGATATTAGAAAGTGATCCACAACCTCTGCTTTGTGTACAGAGTAAAGTTAAAGAAAAAAAAAACAGCAAAACATTTTAAAGAACCAATCTAGCATTACAAGTTAAAAAAACGTATTTGTAACGCTGTAGTGTTTTGATGTCTTTTTAGCTTCTTGCCTCCCACCCACCTCGCTTTGCACATGGCTATCATTGATCATTCTATTATCATTATATGTTAAACCTGGCCATTCTAAGACTGCTAATACATTTTTATTTAGTGTTCTTGGTATATTATACTCTGCGTGTTAGGGTAGTTATTCATGACACATAGCATTTATATAACACACCTACTACTGGTCAAGACAACGTCTGGCCTCCTTTCTGTGTGATTGTGATGCCACATATCTGGCTTTGAAGCTGCACACACAATATAAAACCCAGCCTCCGTACACAGAAGAAGCTGAGCCGTACACAGAATAAGCTGAGTACTGGGACACTGTTAAGAAAAAAGATAGTTTGATATTATTGTAGTACCACTGTATTGGCAACAACCAATTATCATAATAAATACATTATGATTTGAAAACTGATAATTTACTTTGTGGCAGCTTGAGCCTGTTTCAAAGCCTGGTCCTGTTACTGCCACTACACTTGCCCCTATGGTAATCTGACCTTGGCTACTGCAGATAAATTTGTTATAGACATTTGCCTGGAGCCTGGTGAATATGATATGACTACAAGTCCCATAATGATCAAATATTGTCGGTTAGCCTTTCTACCATGCATAGGAACACACATCAAGGTTGATGGGAGTTGATGTCCACAGACGATGTAGCCTGTACAGGAAACCACTGATTTAGCTTGCATTGCTGATAGTCCAACATTGACTAAGCATGATGAAAGTTTTAGACTACAGTGTACTGTCACTGGCGTACCCCTCCAGGGGGCCCAGCCGCCCTGCGACCCGTTATGTATGCCAGTGTGGCCACATTTTGCCAGCCTATTCTCCTGGGGGGTCCAGGAGCTGGCCACCTCAGGGCCCCCCGAGGCTGGCAGTGGCGTTACATGGCGCGCGCGCGAGGGAGCATTCTCCCCTGAACACTCTCTGCCCAGCTCCCTCGCACGCACCGCAGTGATGCAGGAGCCGGAATATGATGTCATTCCGGCTCCGTCATCAGTAAGCGGCACGCAAGGGAGCTGAACAGGAGGATCAGTGCTCCCTTGCCGCCTGCAGGACCGGCCGCCCAGTAGCCCCACTGGACCCCAGGGAGAACTGGAATCCCCTCAGCACTCCCAAAGGTAGGGAGGCTGGGGGATTAAATAAAAAAAAATGTGAGTGTGTATGTGTATTAGTGTGTGTGTGCGTGTCAGTGAGTGTGTTAAGTACTGTGTATGTGTCTGTTACTGAGTGTGTTAGTTTGTGTGTGTCTGTTAGTGTGTGTCTGCTAGTGAGTGTCAGTAAGTGTGTTAGTTTTTGTGTGTCAGTGAGTGTGTGTGTTACTGTGTGTGTGTCTGTTATTGAGTTTGTGTCAGTGAGTGCATTACTGTGTGTGTCTGTTACTGTGTGTGTCTGTTACTGAGTGTGTTAGTGTGTGTTAGTTAGTGTGTGTTAGTTATTGTGTGTCTGTTAGTGAGTCTGTTTGGTGTCTGTTAGTGAGTCTGTTTGTTGTCTGTTAGTGAGTATGTGTTTGTCAGTCAGGGAGTGTGTGTGTCTGTCAGTAACTGTGTGTGTCTGTTTTGTTCTCTGGCATCCTTGCTAGTGTGTATGCGTCTGTTCGTGACAGTGTGTGTGGTTAAAATCCCTTCAGCACTTACCTTTCTCCACGGATCTATTTTCGCACCGGGGCCCCATGGGTCGTGTGTACGCCACTGGGTACTGTGATAATCACTATTATTTTCTTGCACACCATTTACAATAGAATGCAACATTCGGAACATTTAGATCACAGGGCCAGTTGATGAAAGTCATAATGGAGTTTGCTAATGCTTTTCTAGTCATCCTTTAAACCAGTAATGGGCTGTAAATACATACTGCTTGTGATTTTACCATGTGATTTGAGAAACCTATTAAAAGCACAAACCTTCACCGTGCTTTTTCTACTTCAGAGGCCACCAGACACTGTGACCTGTCCCCAAATGATCACCAAATCTGTGGAGAATAGGGCCGATGAAATCAGTGCTATTCTGTACATATACATATGCATCCATATATATTCATATAGCCAAACACACAGACAGATACACAAAAATAACTAGTCAAACACATACAGACGTATATACATTCACAAAAATAATTTGCAAATTGCCAAACACAGGTTAGTAGACGACACACATAAACACATTCACTATTTCTCTCCCTCTACGCTCATCAGCAAAGAGGGAGGTTGAGAGTCACAGTCATCACTGCCTAGTAACATGCAGAGGTCCATGGGATGTAACCTTATATAACTGTTTTTTTTTTACTAAGCAAGACTAGGGGGCAGCACAGGTGCAGAGAAGCAGCCACATGGTGTACAAATAAATTATAATAATATTATTGCCACCTAGCTCTTTGCTTAATCAGTCTTAAAACAACCTGTAGGTTTTCCTTTTAAAGAAACATTATGGACACCCAGACTCATTCATCTCATTGAAGTGGTCTGGGTGCACTGTCGCTGTCCCCTTAATCCTGTAGCTGAAAACATTGCAGTATAAGAGAAAACTACCAACAGCTACTAGAGGAACTTCCTGCAGTTTCTAAGAGCTTTGCATGAGGACATCCTGCTGCAGCTGCTCTGCCTCTTACCTCCAAATTTCTAGCTGCTCTCCAGTGCAGTGATTGGTAGTGCTGTGCAACGCTCAAGTCCTACAAAATTAGCTATACGCAATGCTAGTATAGGCCAGTATGAGAGCCGGGTTCTCTGAAGCAGATAGCTTGGGAACTTGGCTAGATGCCTAAAATTGCCATTCCGATGTTTTGTTAATAACCCTGTTAATGGTAAAGCTGGTATTTACATACCTCGCAACTCTAGGCGTTCTGAGAAGCGGTACACCATTGGTGGAGGGTAGAGGGGGGCCTTACTGGAAAGCATGTCAATCATCTAAGATCAGACCACTGAGGACAGATCCGACAGGGAGCACTGTTTCAGTGCTCTCTGAAGGATATTAGTGCCCTGAACATAGCGCTCGGCAACTAATGAAGTTCTTGAACCATGCTTGTTGGGGACAGTTCCCTGCTGTCCCCAAAAGCTGGATTGTCCAAGGATGGCAGGAGAGAACCCAATAATCGAGACGATTGAGAGACTTGTATCTATTGGCAGTTTGTTGTAGAATAAGTAGTGGTGATGCTGATATTAAATGGTAACTCCCGGTGCACCATTTAATATGGTTCAAGCAAATTGATGATATAGACAAAATAGTGATATTACTGATATAGAAAGGGTTTTATCTATAGTCTAACCAGGGATTGTGCCAATACGGTAGATTGCTAGCTACAGTTGAAATTGCCAATACAGACCGATTGTTGTAGGCTTTAGTTTGTCATGAAAGTGGTGATGATATTAACAGTACTTTGTAATTAAAATCTCATTGAAAAATATAATGCTAATAAAGTTCATACTCTGTCAGTCCGTCGATACGTTGCTATACCTCAGCTCACATTACAATATCACTATTTGGTGAGTTCAAACCGAGTAAGTGCTCATCGTAGTAAAATTGTATCCCTGTAGCTCAGTGTACACCTAATTAAATCCACGTGCCATACTCACCATATGATAATTTCCTGATGTCTAGATGCTATATCACCCAACTTCATCACTTGAAGTCAAATGGAGCATCATTAGCAGCTCATTTTGTACAGCAAGAAAAAAGGCAGAATAAGGCATAAAATGACATACTGTTACAAATACAAATTACATTAAAAAAATGACAAGACTGTACAGGGTTAGATTTTCTACGCCAGTGACATTTTATATAATTGAGCTGCAAGAGAGAACAACTGTTTAGTATAGTGTTTTAAAAATATTTATGGGAAGACATCTTCAGATGACAAGGCTGGCTTTAATAACTAGTATATAGAGCACATGGTCTGGAGGAGCTTTAACTGTTTGCACTACTAGATCTGTTGGAAAGAGGTTGCTCAATTTTTATAGTGAGTATGTTTTAACCCTTTTGCAACCTATAATATGTAAACATAAATGTATGCATCTGTACCCTAACACTGTGTATATACAATTGGACTAATTTAGGGCAGCTCCAGACATATGCTTTTCACCCCCTTGTGAATGTTTTGGTCTTTTGTCTTACTTATTTATCAGAAAATAGACTGCTGCCACTACATACTACAGTGGTGCTCCACTTGTATCAAACGGCCTTTTTGACTTAGTAATGACTATCCTGTACATAATGGGTTCCATGTTGTGTGCGGAATCTCAAAACCAGGTATATGACATCACCATCACACACAAGGCAGAGCCCAGGGTTGTGTGGACAAGTGCTTGGATTGCTATAATATACATCACATATGTAGCACGGAACTACTACAACAATGGAAATAGAAATTTATTAGGCCCACAAACATTTTTCAGCTTTAGGACTTTGGAGCACTAAATCCAGCAGTGATAAGATTTAGTTTGCTAGATGTTGTGTACTATAACTCCCATGATTTAGAACCCGGTAAAGATATGCAAGGAGGTTTCCTGCTATTGTACCCCCTGTATGCTTTGTTTTATAAATTCAACAATTTGCTAATTTCTCTAAAGCCATAAACTCCCCTTTTCTGAGATTATGTTTAATATCCTGAATAAATTAAGTTGAGGTTTGAATTTATGTTTTCTTCTGAACTAAACTGTATATGAGACAATACATGTTCCTTACTGAGGTACCAGCTCCTTCATTACGGATGAGGCTTTATGGAGGGGAGAACATGCTGGCAAACTCTATGTAATTACATAAACAGCAATGGGGGAGTATAGTCATGGAGTCCTGGAAAAGGGACAAGTACGCCCAAAAAACAAGCATGTCAGCCTGGCATGAATGTACTGCCAGTTGACTGCCAGTCATGCCTTGAAGGACAGGCCTTATAGAGAGCACAGCCCCTCGCGCATAATGCTAGGCTTTGTTAGGATAGTTCCCTGGTGTCCCCAAAACTGACCTTGAAATATTGACTGTTCACTGAAATTTGAACAGTTGGGAGGCCTGATATAGCTTCTGCCTGTGATGTGTGTGACTGTGTGTGTGTGTGTACCAGTGCCGACTTTAATATTAATTGTGCCCTGGGTAAGATTCTGCTGATGGCCACCTCTATCCTCTGCCTCTATCACTTGGCCCTTACTGTCCACGCATCCACCTACATCAATCTCCCCTAGAAAAAAAAACCTGTAAAATGTGCACGTTTAAAGCACTTTTAGTACTAAACCACATTATAAAAGAACTCTATTTAATCTAAGGCAAATGCTTAATGATGTTAAATTCTGTGAAGTGATTTGGTTTACATACATAATGTTCAGTTGAGATGAAATATCCATGCAGTAGTTATGGTCACCAATATCCTCCCTTTGAGTAATAGCTCATTGGAATGCTGTTGCACAAGTTTTGGCCACCAGCACAAGAGTTGCCAAAAGGTAGTTCCCATCTGCCTTACAACCCCTACAATGCTTGGCCAGTTGGGGATCTACCATTTGCCCATCCTTGCAGGGTTGTATTTGTGAGCATATTTTGTATGGGATATGTATGTGTGCATGCAATGGTGCATTTGAATGCAGTTGTACATTTATATGTACTAATGCAATTTGAAAACAGTGGTGTATTTGTGTGCAGTGTTTGATTTCAGGTGTGTGTTTGTATGTAGTGTCAGCATTTGATTGCTGTTATATATGCACACATACACACACATTGCTACACACGTACATACTGATACAGACACACACTGACAAATGCATTCACAGAAACACACACTGACACATACACACACACACAAACAAATACACACACAGATACACACTTACAAGTAATAATTCCCATAGTTTAAGCCACCCTCCTGTTTTAATACCTTTTGGGTGCAGGAGAATGATGTCACGTGTGTCCAGTGGGATCCTGCTGTTGGCTGCTATCTCAGTTGCACTGTTAAAGGCCCACAGCCCTTGATCAGACTTGCCCATCGGGCAGCCCTTAGAGCATTGGCCATCTGATGGGCTGCCTGCAGCTTGCAGGACTTGGTGGTGCCACGTCAGCTGCACTCATCAGTAGTTCAGCTGCTGGTAAATGACTCTGAAAGTTTTAAAAAGATGAAGTGGCATAGTACAATAAATTATGTGAATACTCAACAATAAAAATAAATTATATAAGTGACATAAAATAAATATATTCAGTGCAGCAGCCATTCAGATCCTGATAACAGACCAGTATTTATTTCTGTTTTGTCTCATTCTAGCTTTTTTTTTTTATTCTTTATTTTGCTTGTGCTGGTGGTATAAAGTGTCATCACGGTGAAATAACAGGTAGTTAAAGTGGACAAACATAGTTTATTGGCATTAAATACGTCTTGAAATCAGCACTTTTCTTTTTTAAAGAAAACAATAGTTGAACATTATGTACCTGAGACAGAAAATATTGGCATGCCCGAATCACCATGAGTTCTGTAAGGCTCGGGATAGGTATTGTACATGCGTTAAATAACCTGGGGTGATTCCTAAAATAAGGGTGATGTGATGAGATGGTAAGGTACATTACCAGCTCAATGGGCTCTCACGGGTACATGGGGAGCCATTGAACTAAGAAAAATTAACAGAAGGGCTGATGCCCTAACAGCGGGTATTAATATTAATACTTGACCAAAGTGGGTTAGGGGGGAATTAGGTGCTTGCCAGAGGTAAAAGAGTTGATGTATACCAGTAAAATATACCCCCATCCGCAGGGGAAAACGCTAACTGATCAAAACCACACAACTCAATCATAACTAACACACACCAAGATTACTAGACTCGACACAGAGACCAGATCTCCAGAGGACAACCCTAAAGAGGAGACTGTAAACTGGATACTCACCTACCCCCTCCCTAACCTCAGCCCACACCTCCATCCCCAGATAAACAAAAGACAAACCACAACCTTCACTAACCTCACGGACCACAGTGAGGAATACCCCCACAGAGACCAAACAGAAACCACACAAGAGTCACAAACCCACAACAATCGACTCACTCAGCCACAGGACAACACCAAACAAATAACTTAGGATAACCAAAGCATATGGTAGACCACTCAAACCCTCCCCCCTATCCACACCCCCACCCTAACCACATGACCAAAACGTATACGAAAGACTAGTAGGAGCATAGAAATTAGTGCGAACTAGTGTGATGACACAAGCCGCCCTCATCAAATAAACCAAACGCACTAACAAACTAAATATTGGCAAATCAAAAACGAATGTAGAGGACACATGATATCCATCCTTCCCCATTTATCCAATACCGGCTCCCCACACTACTAGACGCTAACACCGAATCTAGCTATGCAAGCTCTAACGCAAGCGATCACTAGGACCACACTACAGACAACACACCATTAAGGTTAAAAATAACACCCCCCCCCCACCCCTCCCACCTCAGTACCAAAAGGATCAATTATCAACGAGGCAATGCAAAATGTAAACTTGCAAACAATACAAATAGATTCCTAAGGAGCACAACTGTTATATGAGCTTAACCTGTTTGTTGACCAATATTGAACAATATGTATGTACTGTGATACACATCTCAAGAATTCTAATCCCTTGTTTTCTCTTCTGTACCCCTACCCTATAAATACAAAACTTTTCAAAATAAAGAATTTATAAAAAAAAAAAAAAAAGTTGATGTATAAGAGCAGCAGGTGGGTAGATTACTGCCTGACTGGGCCAATCCACTGTAGATCCCTCAGAGGGTCATGAACATGAGATGAATGTGCTATAACATGAGTCAAGCAGACAAGGGCATTCAAAAATGTATAAATAGGTGTTAGAGGGGGGGCAAGATCAAGAAAAGAGATATAGCACTGAAAGCCAAATTGTGCAGTTAAAAGTAACAATACTATTATTATTATTATTTATTATTATGTTATTATTTATATAGCGCCAACAAATTCGGTAGCGCTTTACAGTGGGTGGACGAACAGATATGTAGTTGTAACCAGACAAGTTAGACACACAGGAACAGAGGGGTTGAGGGCCCTGCTCAATGAGCTTACATGCTAGAGGGAGTGGGGTAAGGTGACACAAAAGGTAAGGATAATATTAGACTAATGACAGTTGCAAGAGAGGAATCAGTCGGGAGCTATTAAAGGACCACTATAGTGCCAGGAAAACATACTCGGCTCTGGCGAGGGGAAAAGGGGTTAAACTTACCTTTTTCCAGCGCTGGGCGGAGAGCTCTCCTCCTCCGATCCTCCTTCTCTCCTCCCTGTCGGCTGAATGCGCACGCGCGGCAAGAGCTGCGCGCGCATTCAGCCGATCACATAGGAAAGCATTCATAATGCTTTCCTATGGACGCTTGCGTGCTCTCACTGTGAAAATCACAGTGAGAAGCACGCAAGCGCCTCTAGTGGCTGTCAATGAGACAGCCACTAGAGGATTAGGGGGAAGGCTTAACCCATTCATAAACATAGCAGTTTCTCTTAAACTGCTATGTTTATGAAAAAATGGATTAATCCTAGCTGGACCTGGCACCCAGACCACTTCATTAAGCTGAAGTGGTCTGGGTGCCTAGAGTGGTCCTTTAACAATTTAATTGATACGCTTTTATGAAGAAGTGGGTTTTTAATGATTTTTTTTGAAGGAGTGGAGACTGGGTGAGCATCTAACGGGAAGTGAGTTCCACAGGAACGGTGCAGCCCTCGAGAATTCTTGAAGGTGAGCATTAGAGGTGGGAGTACGGACAGAAGACAGACGTAAGTCTTCAGCAGAGCGTAAGGGCCTAGACGGGGCATACTTGTGTATTAGGGAGGATATATAGGTGGGAGCAGCATTATGTAGAGATTTGAAAGCAAGAACCAGAATTTTTAATTGAGTTCTATATCTTACAGGAAGCCAATGTAGGGACTGACAGAAAGGTGAGGCGTGGGCGGTGCTGGCAGACAGGAAGATGAGCCTTGCCGCCGCATTCATTGTGGACTTTAACGGTGCAAGTTCGGAGCACCTTAGACCACTGAGAAGCAGATTACCGTAATCAAGGCGAGAAAGGACAGTGGAATGGACTTGCACCTTAGTCGCTTCTGGCGCGCGCAATGTTTTTGAGATGGAAGCGGCAGGATTTGACAATAGACTGCAGGAGGGGTGAAGGAGAGGTTGGAGTCAACGAGAACACCTAAGCAGCGAGCCTGCGTGGTGGAGCTGATGGTAGCACCATTGACTTGGAGGGAGACAGAGAGTAGCAACACTTGAGGGAGGAGTAGCAACACTTGAGAGAGGAAAGACCATAATTTCAGTTTTGGTTAAGTTGAGTTTAAGGAAGTGGGCAGCAGGCCCGGACTGGCCATCGGGCACACCGGGCAAATGCCCGGTGGGCCGCGGTGTCCGTGGGGCCGAGGCCGGCAGGGGAGGTCCCAGGATCTCCCCTGCCGGTCTATGCAGGGCCGGCACTATCCGAGCGCCGGCCCCGCTGTCTGCCACGACGGTCCGGTGGGGAGATCAAAGCTCTCCCTCACCCGGCCCACATGCGGCCGCCGGCGGGGAGGGAGACAGGCAGCCAGCCAGGCTGGAGAGAGGACCCGGCGGAGCTCTAACTTGCGGCTCCGCCGGGTTCCTCTCGCGAGATCCGGCGCGTTGCTATGGCAACGACCGGATCTCGCGAGAGTGAACTCTAGCCTCACAGGCTAGAGTTCACTCACCCACGAGGACCACCAGGGAACACTGCCTCCCGGCCTCCCAGTCACCAGCATGCCGCCCCCCCCCCTCCAAGGCTAAAGGTAAGAAGGGAGAGGGGGACATAGTGTCTGTTTTTTTATTTTATTTTATTTACCCCCCCTACACACACACAATAACATTTATACAGCACTCACACACCCATCACACACAGCAGCACTCTCACAGAGCACTCTCTCACACAGCACTCACACACCCATCACACACAGCACTCTCTCACACAGCAGCACTCTCACAGAGCACTCTCTCACACCCATCACACTCACAGCACTCTCACAGAGCACTCTCACAGAGCACACTCTCACACAGCACTCTCACAGAGCACTCTCTCACACAGCACTCTCTCACACAGCACTCTCACACACACCCATCACTCTCTCACACAGCACTCTCACACCCATCACACTCACAGCACTCTCTCACCCATCACACTCACAGCACTCTCTCACACCCATCACACTCACAGCACTCTCTCACCCATCACACTCACAGCACTCTCTCACAGCACTCTCACACCCATCATACTCACAGCACTCTCTCACAGCACTCTCACAGAGCACTCTCACACACAGCACTCTCTCACACACAGCACTCTCACACCCATCTCACACAGCATTCTCACATCCATCACTCACACACAGCACTCTCACACCCATCACTCACACACGGCACTCTCACACACACACGGTACTCTCACACACATCACACACACGGCACTCTCACACACACACCGCACTCTCACACACACACACACACACACACTACACTCTTAAAGGACCACTCTAGCCACCCAGACCACTTCAGCTTAATGAAGTGGTCTTGGTGCCAGGTCCTTCTAGGGTTAACCCATTGTTTTATAAACATAGCAGTTTTTCAGAGAAACTGCTATGTTTATCATTGGGTTAAGCCTTCCCCCAAAGCCTCTAGCAGCTGTCTCATTGACAGCCGCTAGAGGTGCTTGCGCGCTTTTCACTGTGAAAATCACAGTGAGAGCACGCAAGCGTTCATAGGAAAGCATTATAAATGCTTTCCTATGCGACCGGCTGAATGCGCGCGCATCTCTTGCCGCACGTGCGCATTCAGCCGACGGGGCGGATCGGAGGAGGAGAGCTCCCCGCCCGGCACTGGAAAAGGGTAAGTTTTAACCCCTTTCCAGAGCCGGGCAGGAGGGGGTCCCTGAGGGTGGGGGCACCCTCAGGGCACTATAGTGCCATCAAAACGAGTATGTTTTCCTGGCACTATAGTGGTCCTTTAACATACACACTCTGGATCCCCTCTACACACACACTAGATTCCTTGTAAGCAAACACATACTACACCCCTAAACACACACACACTATAGCCTGTATGCACACACTTGCTATATCCCCAATACACACATTCTCTACAGCCCATAGCCACATATGCATCACATTACACCACAAACACAACACGACTAAAACCGACCTTATTACACAATACCACACCACGACCAGCTCACTCTACACACACGCAATACCACAAGCAGGCTCCAAACACATGCACAATACTCTTTCCTGGCCTTTTGTCTCCTGGTATCCATTTATAGACACCAGAGACAAGTTACAAGGAAACACAGTGCAAGCATGTTATTAAACTTGCTTGCACTGTGCAGAACAAATACAGGACTTTTTTCTCATGCTAGAGCTCTTCAGCAGAGCTCTGCGCATGGTCTGCCCTGGAAGAGCATTGAACCAACATGCTCACTTTGAGAGGAGGCGTGTTTGTCATTGGTGATGACAAAACACACCTCCTCTGCCCCGCCCCCTTTTTAGTGGGCCGCTGTGTTAAAAAAATGCCCGGGCCGAATTTTTCTCCCAGTCCGGCCCTGGTGGGCAGCCATCCAGTTAGAAATAGCAGAGAGGCAGTTAGAGACACTAGTCAAGAGGGACGGGGAGAGATCAGGAGAGGACAGATACATTTGCGTGTCATCCGCATAGAAATGATATTGGAAACCAAAGGAGCTAATGAGTTTACCAAGGGAGGCAGCATAGATGGAGAACAGTAGGGGACCAAGGACTGAACCTTGGGGGACACTAACAGAGAGGAGTTGGAGAGAAGAAGTAGAGCCAGAAAAAGAAACACTGGGAGAGGTAGGAGGATCACCAGGAGAGAGCAATATTTTGTTGACCGATATTGCGGAGGATGAGAAGAAGCTGTTGATGATCAACAGTGTCAAAAGCCGCAGAAAGGTTAAGGAGAATTAGGATAGAGTAGTGACCACGAGATTTTGCAGCAAGTAGATTATTGGATACTTTGGTCAGTGCCGTTTCTACAGAGTGCTTAGCGCGGAAACCAGACTAAAGCAGGTCTAGCAGAGAATTGGACTCGAGGAAGTCAGGTGGTCGAAAGAGTAGATCCTCTATTCCTATGCACGAAGGGCTCTATGGTGGCACGGACTCAGGTATGAGTTGGATGTGGATTGGTCTCGATGGAGGCCAGCACAGGAAAGCCCAGTGTCTTCAGGAGTGTTGGTGCCTCCATTGCAAAACCAAGTCTGTGTACAGTACTGTTTTAGGTCATCAGCAGTGATCTCGGTGCCCCCCGCCTGAACGCAGCTGGAACGTGATGTGGCGAAGGAATCTACACCACTGCACAGTAGCTCTTGGTAGAGAAACAGCTGAGAGTCCTCAAATGTATAGGGCATTTTGCCCCACATTGCCACTCTGGGAATTTGTGCAGAGGAGGATAACATCACGTGGGGCAATCTTTTTTGTCCCCTTTATGCTGAATCTTTTAGCTACCTGGGGAGGTAACACGATTGCCACAAGGCGGTGTATATAATGGGGCAGTTCTTCCACTGTGATCAAGGCAGGGATACTTTGGATATTCACATGGTTGTGACTAAGCCGGTCTTCGATAGTAGAGAATTGAAATGTGAGTAGCTGTTGGGTAGACTGGAATGAGTCCTTGATATTTGAGACTTCTGTACAAAGGTCCATGACGTCCTCTTCTGGACGTCTGCATGTGGTCGTGGGCATGTTGGAGGTCCGTTCTAATCACAGCTAGGTCTGTTTCCCATAGCTTTTGCATGTCTTGCAAGAGAGTCTGGATATCTTCTTTTGTGGCAAGGTTACCCGTCAGGGACTAAAGGTGATTAGCGACAGCCAGGAGGCAGTCAGGAGGAGTGTGTTCCGCTGTTTTCTGGCCAGTCCAAGGGCCGACACAGCTGTAGCGTCCTTAGTCACCATCTTGGGTTGAGATTGTTTTTGGAGCATGATACCTATGTCTCTCCAATTAGGTACTGCCCCGGTGGAGGTTTCTGTGTTTTTTACTCCTTAGTTAACGTGGGGGTTATGGCTGGTAACGGGTGTTGAGCTGCAGCATCATTGGCATCATCGTGGAGCGCTCCACCAAGGAGGCATTCCAAGTAAGGAAAGGCCAATACTCTTTTAGGTCCCACTCTGGCATTTCAGTTTTGCGGTTTTCAGTGCCTGTAAGAAAGGTATCAATAATCTGCTGTGTCAGATGGGATATTAGTCAGTAGTTTATAGCGGGGGATTTTACTCAGATTCGTCCAGAGTCATTGGGACCCAAGAGAAATTGCGTCTGCTCAAGTTCATTTTAGCTTTTAGTCTGCTGGACCTGTTTATAGGAGTTTATGCAAGTATTTGTGTGTTTTTGTTTTTTTTACTGTGGATTGCTGTGATGACATATTTTCATGCACAGTACCACTGTATTTATTTTGAACATTGTATGGTGTATGTGTCATTGGTATACATTTCAAGTTAGTAGATACTTTATGGTGGTAGTTTTTATGCGCACCATTGTTGTATTATTTTGGTGCCTGTCTCTGCCAAGAGGCACCAGGAACAGCTTCTGTGGGCCCCCTGCAGCAAAGATGGCTCTGGTGTGATGTTTGTAAAATGTTTTTGAAATAACAGAAATATATAATAAATGTTAACAATAAATACCATGTTAATGAGGTGGTTGGGTTATTGCTGAAACTGTTGGCAAATATCCATAGGTTAGTATGGGGCTTGGAGTGTCCCTTTTATGTTATTTTATTCTAACTAAACTAACTACATAACTACACCAGTGTCCTGCCATTGGTTTAGTAAGGAGAATGTCATCTTACAATTGCTTCTTGATGTCCAAATTCTCATATAATACTAAAAAAAACAAAAAAGGCTTCAGATGACATGTGCCATCAGCAGCCTATCAGGAACTGGGAATTGCTGAATTGCTCCCGGATTCCCATTCTGTAGGAAACAGGAAGATGTTATTATTCAAGGATGAACAAATGTTAGCAATCCTTTATTGACCTTTTTTTAAGGAAGATTTTAAAATCATTAAAAAAAAGTATAGGTGCTTTGTAAAAGTGCAATAATATACTGTAGTATTTTCTAAAGCAATTGCCACTTTAATGGAACATGCTGATGTTGTTGGCAGGGGCTGGCTGCACTGGGGCGGTTTTCATTGGGTGACTAGATGGCTTCCAGCTGTTTCCTTGTCCTCTCTTTCCCACGCTCACTCTCCTGACAACACGAAGATCTGAAAAAGACACTGTCATCGACCTCAACTTGGAATTCATGTGTCCCTAGCTAGCTATATGTCTCCCTATAACAGTATATCTACTCTTTGCCCTATGGATGAATCATCTCGTCATACAGTATACAGAAATGTGTGCACAAAAAACTAATGCAGTACAGGAGAAGATGTTAGATAGACAGACAAGCACAGGAGAAGGAAATGTGAGATGATTTGGGGAGGAGGGGATGAAGAAATTTAGTCCCCCCCTCCTTTCCATGTAAACACATGTCGGAGCTTTTAATAGAGAACTAGAGCCCTGCTGGGTAATATATTAGGCCTGACTTGACAATGTCTTAGTATAGATTTGTATGTGGATGATTGTAGTTTTGTACTATTTTTGTACATTTCAGTGGCTGTGTGTATGACATTGGGCATGTCTGCATGAGAACATTTCTGAGTAGATTTACAAATGGTTAAACTATGGAGACTAGTAAATCCAGTGTTATTTGACATAACCCTGTTTTTAAGGATAATAAATAGGTTCCATGTATATGTTTAACTATAATTTAAAAATAAATGGTCATGTCTTGTATGGGAGGCTGTGGCACAGATCTCTAAAGGGTTTTTATCTATTTCCTGTAATCACATTCTGAAATGTCTTAATTCACATTTCCCTACTGCTGGTATGGCTAATTTTGGCACCCCTGATGTTTTGGGAACAACTTGAGACGCAGTCTGACATTATAACAGCTGTGTATCATGGGAAATATTATTCATAAACATATGACATATCAAGTATCACTGCCCTGTTGCTTTTTAGAATTGAAGGACAATGCTTAATAGAGGGATAATTCTCTTTCTTCTCTTTCTTAATTCATAATAAAGCAGTGATATGTAAAACAAATATTGTCACCGAGGGGCAGGTAGCAGTGACAAGTATGTACTCTTAAAAGTGCAAAGCAAAAACAAAACCTCAATACAACTTCCACGCTAACTTTAATCAAGATATATATGACTGCCCTAACACCTTTTTTGTTTGTAAAGCCTTACCTCAATCTCACTTTCCACTTCATACAAGAACTAGTGGACTCTTCTGATTTGATTTGTCATTTACATCGATGCCGAAGAACCAGGCCACTCCAAATGGAAATATATATGTTGTGTTTTAGCACATTAGCATGAACACTGAATATCTTCTTGTGACATTTTTATATGTGTGAGTGTGACAGAGGTGCTGGCTGTGAGCATCCATCTTTGGGAAATGAAAACAAAACAACCTTAATAAAAGGGCCTACCCAAATTTTAATGAGCTGAGCTAACTTTTGTAATTTAAATGAATGTATCTTTTATGACAAACATACAATTTAACTGAACTTAAATCTCTACTTTAATTCTATGACACATTATCGTAATATTCGCATCTCTTCTAAAGAACACAAAATGCAATGCGATCCTCTAAAAATACTCACTGTATTTTTAATGTAATACAATAGTAATATATATTGACCATTTCATGGAGAATGTACATTAATGGTATTTAGTTGCATGGAGGGATTTCCTAAATTGCTGCTTTTGGAACGTCAGAGCTTCCTACTTGATGGTATTTGCTGCTCAGATGTTACAAAAGAACATAATTTTCTCAAAGAAGAAATGCTCCCAACAGTGTACATAACACAATTTTATTGAGGGAAGAGTAAGATATTGTCCATATAAATGTAATAGTTTTGCATTCTATGTTTGTCAATAAGTTTTTCTTAATATGGGAGATTTGGGACATCCATTCCTTTAGCTAATGAATTGTAACATAAATTATTATAATTAGCACGTTATCATGCAGTCTCTTCTTTCCTTTCAGTTGCTAGGTTACAATGAGAAGCCACTCACCCTGCAGATGTTTATTGGTACAGCAGATGAACGTAACCTTCGACCACATGCGTTTTACCAGGTTCATAGGATTACAGGAAAAATGGTGGCCACACCAAGTTATGAAGCCCTTGTAGGAAGCACGAAAGTGCTAGAGATGTCTCTGCTGCCTGAGAACAATATGTGTGCCAAGTAAGTTATGTAGCAAAATGAAACATGGGACATTAAAATGTGAAATAAGTAATAGAGGACATGCATACCTATTCTTGATGCTTTTTATTTCTTAGGAACCTATTGCATTAGTGAGGATCGACATATCACATGCCTCACCTGGGAAAGGTGCACAAGGCACCTGGTCATGCTAAGCTATAACTGAGTGCGCCATGACTTAGTCAGTCCCGCAATAGCCTCTGATTTGTTTTTTAGGCAATAATCGTGATTAACTCTTAAAAGAAATTGCAGTATCCAGGTGTCCCAGTGGCAAGAGTCTTTTATTAATCATGCTTATTCTTTAGAAGATAACTGTGACTCTGTGAGAGAGACTGCCCATTGCAATAGGATAGTGGCTACCTTTCGGACCTATCACTATGAGATTTCAACAGACCAGATTTATTTTGTTTGACATGTTTTTGCAGCTTCTGATGCTATATTTGGCTTTAAAGTTCTTTACAGTTGTCTTGTATAAATACTGTCACTTGTTCTACTCAGTCTGACTTTATGTCCAAATAACTTTTGTGTAGGTATACGATGAAGCAAGGACTCCTTCACCATATTAAAGGAACACTATAGGGTCAGGAACACAAACATGTATTCCTGATCCTATAGTGTTAAAACCACCATCTAGCCACTTGGGTCCCAGTAGCCCCCCTAAATATTGCAGAATCATACTTTTAATCAAGTCTGCTGCTAGTTGTTCTGCCCCTGATCTGCCTGCTTGGCTGGCGTCATCAGAAGTGATTCTCTCAGCCAATCACAATGCTTTTACATAGGAAAGCACTGGATTGACTAAGACTGTCAAGGAGGCAGATCAGGGGCAGAGCCAGCACAAGTCAAACACAGCCCTGACCAATCAGCAGCTCCTCATAGAGATGCATTGAATCAATGCATCTGTATGAGGAAAGTTCAGTGTCTCCATGCTGAGGGTGGCACCTCTAATAGCCATCTGATGAGTGAGCAGTGGAGGTATTCCTAGGCTGTAATGTAAACACTGCATTTTCTCTGAAAACACAGTGTTTACAGCAAATAGTCTGAAGGTAATGATTCTACTCACCAGAACAAATACAATGAGCTGCAGTTGTTCTGGTGACTATAGTGTCCCATTAAGAGACTTCGGTTTATAGTTACCAAATAAATTAATGATGTTTGTACATTTAAGCCCATGAAGCCAACCTATATATTTTTTTCAGTATGTTGGGGCCTTGATAGGCCACAACTGTCCTGTTCTAGTCTATTATGCTTTTTTTCTATTTGACAATAAATTACAGGCTGGTGTTTACTGTGAATGAAAGGAAGGAATGGCATAGGCAAAAAAAAAATTCAAACTGGAAGAGCTTCAGTTCCAAACCCAGCTAACGATTCATTTCCATGCTTGTGACTAGAGTTTACCAGATGGAACTATCTCTAACATTAAAGACCTGCCTTTGACTAGCGGACAAAAGTTAAAAATTTTTTCACACATCCTATAGTAAAAAATACATGTTAGTTATATGGCATACATGAATTAGGTATATGGCATACATGTATATATGTGCATGTATTTGTAAATGGATATGCGTGTATGTGTGTATGTATGTATATATATATATATATATATATATATGTGCTTTTGGTTTTTCTTTTGGTGCTGATCCACTATAATCTAGAGAGAATTGTATGAAGCATAATTTATCTGTATGAATCCTTATCCTGAAGTAATATAAGTATGCTTTAGGTTTGATTTAACATATATATATATATATATATATGTGTGTGTGTGTGTGTGTGTGTGTATTTGTATAGGTGTATGCATGCGTGCTTTTGGTTTTTCTTTTGGTGCTGATCCACTACAATGTAAAGAGAATTGTATGAAGCATAATCTAACCGTTTTAATCCTTATGGCAAGCTGAAGTAATATAAGTATGCTAGGGTTTTATTTACGTATATATGTATATATAGGTGTGTATTTGTAAAGGTGTATACATGCATATATATGTGTATGTATATGTTTTGGGGGTTTTTAGTTTTGTTTTTTTTTTCTTTTGGTGGATATCCGGGTTGAAAAATGTAAACAGTTTTGGAATAGACGGGGTGGATGGTTTTAAGGAGGATGGAAAGAGAGAAGGGGGAAGGAAAAGAAGAAAAGAGGGATGGGAAAGGAGAGGGAAGAGAAAAGGGAAAGAGAGGGACTGACTGATGGAAAGAGAGAAATATAAAAAGCTCGGATGCCAGAGCTACTCCCACAAAGTATGCCAAGAAGGCTGGGAAAATGGATTTATGGCTGAATTAAGAGTTAAAATATTACCCAATTGGAGCTTCATACCGGGGCTCTATAGTATTATTATTATTATTTTTTTATCCTCTCTCTCCCCCCTCAAAGTGCTTTGGAGATACCAGAAGCATTGGGCCTCTTGGATCAGTCACTATGGTCAGATAACTTTTTATGATATAAGATGACATCAAAGTTACTTAATTTTGTATCTTTTAATGTTAGAGGATTAAACTCTAAAGTAAAGTAGGCAAGGTTATTATATGATTTAAAATCCTATAAGACAACGGTTGCATGCATACAAGAAACACACTATGCTGAAGAAGTAAACAGGTCATCATCGCATCAGATTTTTCATTCTAAATCTAAAGGAGTTATGATTATGGTCTCAAAAAAAAGTCCCCTTTGAACTTAAGGAGAGTTGGTACGACCAAGAGGTCGTTATTAAAGCTTTATTAGGCACCCGTTATTAAAGCTTTATTAGGCACCCATTTAATAACTCTAGCCGATTTCTATGCCCCAAATACAAAGCAATCAAATTATATTTGTCCAAACGCAGTTTCAAGAAGGGATTATTATCGTTGCAGGAGACTTTAATCAAGTAATCGATCCCAGATTAGATACCTCAGATAACCGTACATATAGAAATACAATAAACAAGTGAAAAACGTGGCGCTTACAATTTCAAACACAAAATAAAAAATCTTTTAAAATAGAGCAGCACCTATATTGTGTATTAGCGCAAGAACACTCCAATCATAGTAAAAACCGAAAAGGTGCGCTAAAATTTAAAGTGCAAATTCATTTAGCAGCATCAAATGTGTAATATAAAGTGCAATATACTGCTTCACTCACAAGTGATAAAGTGTATATAAACAATCAGCACATATATGTGATAAATCTAAAAGTCCAAATTGCAAAGAACCACTTAACGTGATATAGTGCATAAATTAATAGTAACTTACACTAACAGTATTTCTGAGGTAAGCCGCAACTACAATTGTAGAACATAAATAAAAGGACAAAAAACACATGTAGTATAATATTGTAGGATAAAGAGTACTAAATTGATGGAAAAAATAGGAAATTAACTAACAAACATAGAGCAGATAAGTCTGCTCCACCTTTAGTAGCCCAAATGTAGATTTCCACGGCAGCCAGTAAAAAAAAAATGAACATCATTTAATTCACATTAGCAAGTTAAAAATGCTTTGTAGCAAATATCACCGGATACCTTGTAGCAACAGTCCTGCCTAGAATACGTGTAACCGTCGGCTGTTCGTTGTGCTCGTACACGCTCCAGATGAGGCTGTGCTTGCAGTCAGGATACTTCCAGGAGGCGGAGTGTACATGATGAAGTCTACTCCTGGTTAGATGACGTGTTTCGCCGAGTGCTCAGCTTCTTCAGATCTGACTTCCCTCATACACACAGTCCTTAAATATTCACCCAAAGGGCGAAACAGAACCGTACATATACCCCGTATGCCAACCTAAAAAAGGTAAAGCAAGCTTTTATGCTTACCCAATTGGTTAATATATGGCTTATAATATATCCAGATAGAAAGGACTATACATTCTGTTCATATCTTAATAAAAAAAATGTACTAGAATAGATTTAACATTAGTATCACATTTTAATTTAGATTTAATTAAGATGATAGTGATTGGGAATATAACCTGGAGCGACCACGCTCCTGTAATTGCCACTCTTGAAGGGGGGGACGTAAAAGATGCACATGGAAATTAAATGATAGTCTACTGTAATGGAGCTCCCTGTACCCCTGGCTGGGTATCTCCGCCAAGGACCGCTTCCTAGCTGGAACAGGGGACAAACCACAGCACTTCTGCCCACAGTTGCCGTGGCTTGACTGGGGCCTTGGAACCGCTCCCTCCTGGAGCCCAATGGGGAATTTGCTCTATCCACCCCCAGGCACTGGACGACACTCAGTCCTGGGAGCTCTAGTCCTTACAAGGACTTTCCCCGTTGAATCCTCCATGTTGGAACAGTGATTTATGATTAGCCCTTTCCCCTCCCACAGACAACACATCATTCTGGGAGTGCAAGCTGGAATATTTTAATCTGGCGTGCTTTTGTACAATTTCAGACACAGTTAAGCATGCCCCAAACACTCTCACACAAACAGTATAATCCCTCTCTTGGACCTGAGAGGGGACTAGTTACAAGTACAAAACTCCTCCTCTGTGCCTTAGAGATAATTGAGGCAGGAGCTGAACTAACTCAATTATCTCCAGGCACAGAAAAACATACAATATTACAAAAAAAACAAAATACCTTTAAAACACATAAAAACCCCACAAACGTTCTATCCCCTGATAGCCCCGATCTGGGTGACCAACATATCCAAAAATTACCCAGATCGATTCAGGAGTTCGGAATTTCCCTGGAATTCATAATTTTGACTGACCGTGCACATGGTCTTATGCCCCAAAAAATGGTTTAAAAATGAACAAACTACCGAACGGAATCCATAGTTCTACCCTGGAGCTTGTTCACCTTGTTTGTGGAAACGTTTCCACTGAACAGTGCCCTTCTAAGTCTTATAAAACCGAACGCAGGCGATGATGGAAGTTCAGCGGTGTTCGGGAGTTTCTGTGTCCAATTTCAGTTCCATGAACTTGACAACCAAACACCGCTGCCTGTGTTCATGCGAACAAGATGGCTACCACCTCGTGGTCGTTCATGCAAACAGCGACCACCCAGAGGAACAATTACAACACTGCGGTGGAACATGTTACAAACTGTCAATTAACAAGCTCCCGTATGGTCCATGGTTTGTGCACCTGTTTGGTTCCCGAACAGAATAGAGAAAGGGCATGAACCAAGCCAGTTAACTAGTCTTTTACAGGTTTCCCTACAGAGCCCATAGTCTGTGGGCAGGAGGTTGGCAAGCAAGCTCCTTCCACGTGGGAAGGGGAGTTTGTCACATCTACTTACTCAAAAAGAACATGAAGAGAAAATAATGACTGTAATTACATTTTATTTTAGTGAGAATAATACCCCAGGTAGAAGAAGTTCATAATCTGGGAAGCTCACAAGACTGTAATTCGGGGACACTTTATTGCATTGGGTTCTTTTATTAAAAAAAGAAAACAACAGAAAAAAGTTATTAATAAATAACATAGAGAAAGGGCATGAACCAAGCCAGTTAACTAGTCTTTTACAGGTTTCCCTACAGAGCCCATAGTCTGTGGGCAGGAGGTTGGCAAGCAAGCTCCTTCCACGTGGGAAGGGGAGTTTGTCACATCTACTTACTCAAAAAGAACATGAAGAGAAAATAATGACTGTAATTACATTTTATTTTAGTGAGAATAATACCCCAGGTAGAAGAAGTTCATAATCTGGGAAGCTCACAAGACTGTAATTCGGGGACACTTTATTGCATTGGGTTCTTTTATTAAAAAAAGAAAACAACAGAAAAAAGTTATTAATAAATAAGATAAATATATTAGAACAGGAACATAAACTATCATTAAATCTTGAATCACGGAAGAAACTGGAAAAGTTAAAAGATCACTATAGTGTCAGGAATAGTGATGTCCCGAACGGTTCGCCGAACGGTTCGCCGAACGGTTCGCCGAACGGTTCGTGAATGGTTCACCACGGTTCGCCACGAACGGTTCGCCACGGACTCCAGTCAGCAGACACATTCCAGCCAATCAGCAGCAGACCCTCCCTCCCAGATCCTCCCACCTCCTAGACAGCTCACTAAGAAAGCAGCTTCAAAATGGATGCTGTCCAGGAGGTGGGAGGGTCTTGGAGGGAGGGTCTGCTGCTGATTGGCTGGAATGTGTCTGCTGACTGGAGTCCGCAGCAAACCGTTCGTGGCGAACCGTTCGCGAACTATTCAGCGAACCGTTCGGAACATCACTAGTCAGGAACACAAACATGTATTTCTGACCCTGTAGTGTTAAAACCACCATCTAGCCGCCCTGGGCCCCTCATGCCTCCATAAATATAGCAAAAGCTTACTGTATTCAAGCCTGAAGCTGTAACTCTGCATGCTGTTTGACTCAGAAAAATAAGCAGTCTGCAGACATCATCAGAAGTGGTAGCCTGATCCAAACACAGTGCTTCCCCATAGGATTGGCTGAGACTGACAAAGAGGCAGATCAGGGGCAGAGCCAGCATGATTCAAACACAGCCCTGGCCAATCAGCATCTCCTCATAGAGATGAATTGAATCAATGAAACTCTATAAGGAAAGTTCAGTGTCTTCATGCAGAGGGAGGAGATACTGAATGTTTGGATGCATTTTAGGCAGCCATGAACCAGGAAGAATCTCTAACAGCCATCTGAGGAGTGGCCAGTGAAGTTATCACTAGGCTGTAATGCAAACACTGCTTTTTGCTTTTTCAGCAAAACGCCTGAAGGTAATGATTCTACTCACCAGAACAAATTCAATAAGCTGTAGTTGTTCTGGTGACTATGGTGTCCCTTTATGAGGAGATTTGGATGGGTTAATAGGGAAAGGGATATCTAAAGAATACTTGTTATTTAATAAGACACGTCATTTACATGCAAATAAGCAAAGAAAGCTATTGGCACAATATATCAAAAATCAATATATTAAAACATGTACAGTATTCCTAAAACAAAGGATAGACAGGGACAGTATTGGCATAAATAAAAGGATATAGGATGCTTATTTCAGACCTATTATCATATTATTAAAATAAAACTGGGAAAATAAACAAAGAATTAAAAGAGGACATGAAGATATATATAGACTTTTTTTTTAAATATGAAACCACAAATAAAGAAAGAAAGGAACTGGGAAAGCTAATTACATCAGAAGATATAGAATAGGAAATTATGGATTCCCCTAATGGGAAGAGCCCAGGACCTCTCTTAGTGAGCACTTATTTTCAGTCCAGCCGGGTACAGGAATCAGAAGTTCCTGTACCACGGTGCGCACTGCTCCACTCGGCCACACTACAGAGAGTGCCTGGCAGGAGGGAGCGCTGTGCGCCCACCTCCTGCCGGTCACTCCATCCTAGAGCCCTCTGGACCGGTGCGCCCTAAGGCGGCCGCTAGTGAACCCTTATGGACGCTCCGGCCCTGGTGACTGGGAATATGTCCTTGGTTATCAGATTTCTGTATGTGGGATGTATGTGAGATTTATGGACAATGACCCTGACAAACAGTCAATGAAGGAAATGTAAAGTGGTAAACAAATTGTGAATTTTCGCTGATTTTGTTTTCGGGCTGATAAACAGGATAGCACAGGAGTTTTACAGCAAAGTGAATTCTCTGAAACCTTTAGTTAATTCCCCCCCAAGCATCCCTCTTTCCAGCTTTACATTATTTGACAATACTGTCATACTATATGTTACTTTGGACAGTTAAATATTAACAGAAGATATGTCTTCACTTACAAAAACAAAGAGATGCACCAAAACTACTTGGATGAAATGAAGTAACTGTTAGGGTAAGGGTATTGGTTACCAATGCGTGGTTAATAGTGATGTCGCGAACGGTTCGCCACGGACTCATCATTGAGTAAACTTTGACCCTGTACCTCACAGTCAGCAGACACATTGCAGCCAATCAGCAGCAGACCCTCCCACCTCCTGGACAGCTCACTAAGAATGCAGCTTCAAAATGGATGCTGTCCAGGATATGGGAGGGTCTAGGAGGGAGGGTCTGCTGCTGATTGGCTGGAATGTGTCTGCTGACTGTGAGGTACAGGGTCAAAGTTTACTCAATGATGAGTCCGTGGCGAACCGTTCGGTGAACCGTTCGGGATATCACTAGTGGTTAATATAAGTTAGTAAATAGTGTGTGTCCAGCACTTCAAGGCAAATTCCAAATTTTGGTGCTAGAATATGGAGTTCCTGTTCACCTGGACCCAAATAATAAACAAAAAATAAAGTTTCTCAGCACTCAGCAATAAATTTAGGTGGTTTTTTCAACCATCAAACTGAAATGGCAACTAATCCACCTGATTCCAAGCTTTGATGGCAGAGGAAACCAATTGAATGTATTACTGAGTGCTAAGGACCTTTTGCTTGGTTGATATCAGTGCTGGCACCCATGTGTGATTCATACTGTGTGTTAACTGTGTGATTCACTATGTGTGTTACAAGAAACAGTCAACTGCCTAAATGCAAAAAATAAAATAAAAATTACTCTTTAGTAGATATACTGACAATCAACACACATGGTTGATTTTTTTCATGAGTGTTATATCTAAAGCAGCTTGCAAAATCTTCAGATTCTTTACCTGCAGACTTTGCAAGCATCCCTTCTTCTGCAGCCCAGAGCTCTGTGGTTGTCAAATTACACACTTTCAAATGTAGCGCTGGGCAATTGCCAGAGTCTTGAGGTTAGTTCCATGGAGCAAAACAAACAGGAAGTAACAGGATTGCAGTGGTCTGACTGACAGCCAGGGGGTACGTGACAAGGTCAATTTATAAAAGTAAATTTTTATTGAAATCTGCACTTTTTGTAAAATGAAAAAGAGGACAAACTCTTCACAGTCTACTGGAGTGTCCTTTTAATATTTTATTATCCAGCACTGATGACTTAACATGGTGCCTAGCTTTTGTGAAGTACGTTGTCTGTAATGCCTAGTAAGGGTAGGATGCAGTTGACAAAAATTTGGGGTAACAAGCTTAACCATTGGTAATATAGACTGCAAGGGAAAGGGTGATTTATAACTGTGTGTTAATGTTTCAGTATAGACTGTGCGGGTATCTTGAAGCTGCGGAATTCTGACATTGAGCTCCGGAAGGGTGAGACGGATATTGGCCGGAAGAACACCCGTGTTCGACTTGTGTTCCGGGTACATGTCCCACAGGGAGCTGGAAAAGGCATTTCTTTGCAAGTGGCATCAATACCTATAGAGTGCTGTGAGTATACCTATCAAGGTCAAATGAAAAGAGCGTTAGCAAAACTTGTCAGTTATGCAGAGGCACCTATAAGCCTACCATGGATAAATTAAAGAATAGGCAGGAAAAGCCAATAATCAGATTGAAAGAAGAATGTTGATAAGATAATTAGTTGTAATTACATGTACAGTACACACTGTCTTTACATATCAGTGTGGTGCCATAATAATTGTTAAAGACTCTCTGATAAACTAGTTTTCTGCTGATTCTGGAGCTGATGGTAGTAAATACACAGAACATTACATGCTGCCAAAAGGACTTTAAGATGTTCATAATGGTGTGCATTACCATTCATCAATAAAGAACTAGAAAAGACCACCTGCGTGTTCCATGCATACACCATTACTGTGGTACGCGCACATCTATGTTTAGAAGCATGAAAAATCATGTTCCTTTTTTCTTGTTTTTCAAATATTATTATATCTGAGCATGAAGGCACAAACCACACCTCTCTGATCCAAGTTGCCTGAAGTTATTATATGCCAAGTACAGCATTACTTAGTTTTTAACTTTGTTCCATTTCTCAAAGATAACTTTTGTAAACAATGCAATGCTTATCACAATGTTTCTATGATGTCCATCTATTTTCTCTGTGATAGCGGCATGTTTGATAATTTAATATAAACTACACAGGAATTAAATAAATATCACATATATACCTATAAATAATCAAACCTTGATAAAACTATGTGATATGTGTAAAGAAAAAATATTTTCTTGGTTGTGACCATACTCAATATGTGTGTCTTTCTCAGCCCAGCGTTCAGCTCAGGAGCTCCCTCAGGTGGAGAATTACAGTCTCAGTGCATGCTCTGTCAATGGAAGACAAGAGCTCCTGCTATGTGGTGCCAACTTTCTTCCGGACTCTAAGGTGATCTTCCTTGAAAAGGGTCCAGGTAAGACTGCTGCTATGCCCATTATTAATACTGAACCAGAAGTTCATAAGTAAACAATAGTAGACTTCCCAACTGTCCAGATAAATGATCTTTGTGAGGTTAATGTAAATTAACAGAGGGGTCCCTCTTGGGGACCTTAAATATAGTAGTTTGTGGATTTCCAGTGTACATGGCCAGGGTAATACCAAATACTCCTCACATGAAAAGTTGCCAAAAATAATATGCATTCACACATTTCATTATATGAGAGAATATGATGTTTATGTTTGGTTTACAATTTAAAAAAAATATATCAATAAAATAATTACAAAATGTAACAAATTCATGTTTATAAAATGTTGTAATGAGTCATTAAAGGGACACAATAGTCACCCAGACCACTTCAGCTCAATGAAGTGGTCTGGGTGTCAGGTCCCTCTAGGGTTAACCCTGCCTAATGTAAACATAGCAGTTTCTGAGAAACTGCTATGTTTACATCTGGGGTTAAGCCAGCCTCTAGTGTCTGTCTTCTGGACAGCCACTAGAGGCGCATCGGCAATGATTGAGGCATATTATGCCTCAATCACGCAGAGCGTCCATAGGAAAGCATTGAAAAATGTTTTCCTACGGACACTTTGCGCACGTGGCAGTGCCGCGCATGCGCATTCGGCGCCAGTGACGTCAGACAAGGATGCTGACGTCGGCGGGGGAGGAGAGGTAAGGGAGCCCGGCGGGGGAAAAGTGTGAGTAGCTGAAGGGGTTTTAACCCCTTGAGCGCCACGGGAGGGGGACCCTGAGGGTGGGGGCACCTTCAGGGTACTATAGTGTCAGGAAAACCAAGCGGTTTTCCTGACACTATAGTGTCCCTTTAAATTATAATTTATTAAATATATATATATTTTTTTATTTATGTTTTATTTATTTTTTTCACTTCATCAGTAACTATGGTTTTGTTTATTGACTTTACTTTTTAAGGTTACTTTTACTTGCAATTGGGCCCATACATTCAGTGTGTATATATATATATATTTATAATCTTTAATGAAGTGATTGTATACCCATATTTTTGAGTTCATTGAAGAGTTTCACATAATTGGCCTTGTGTAGAGTGTTACTCGTGGGTGTAATGTTTGCTCCTAAGAATCTGATGTGGTCTCGTCGTCATATGTCGTGTTTTGGGATGTTTATGTCTAGGGCTTGTGTTTTGGCAACATTCAATTTGTAGTAGGAGCATTTGCTATATTGGACAAGAATGTTGTGAAAGTTGGGTAGGGATATGTGCGGCTGATAGTTTGTGTTCGCGGCCTTGGAGTTTTATGCCGTGAATATTCGGGTTGTCTCTTATCATTTGGGTTAAAGGCTCCAATGCGAGTATGCAAAGAAGGGGGCCTTTTGAGATATCAAAGTGGCGAGAAATGAAATGACCACGCTAGCTGTTGGGCTGGATTAAGGGCCAGTGCAACCTGTCAAAGGCTATTTCAGCATTCAGCGAGAGCCAGACACTGCGGTTCCCTCCTCCCCGCGATCCATGCATTATGCCAAGCAACTTCCTCATGCCGTCTGTCCTCTGTCTACCCCCACAAAGGTCCTCGCCTATTAATGAAGCAATAATGGGCACTATGCAGTTGGAGTATATTTTAGCCAGCAGTTTTACTTCCATGTTTAACAGAGAGATAGGCCTGAGGTTCTGACTTCTAGTCGGTGGTTTACCTGGCTTCAGAAGGGTGACAACATGTGCCATTAGTATGTCTGGAGGCATGGTGCCTTTGTGGATAATGTGGGTAAACGTTTTTTCTAGATGGGGTGCGAGTGAGGGGGCGAATTGTTTATAATACACGTTCGATAGTCCATCTGGACCTGGGGATTTCCCAGATGGGAGGGCTTGAATTGTGTCTAGTATTTCTTGTGTAGTGATAGGATTTTGTATAGCTGCTGCCTGCGTGTCTGTCAGAGTAGGTAACGTTGTTAGTTGTAGGAAGTTTGCGATTTCTTGGTTGGTCGGTTGGTGTAAAGCCCTATCCTCCTTAAGTTTGTAGAGCGTATAGTAGTAGGCTGCCATTTCGTCATTAATATCTTGGGGGTTATGTAGTTTTGTGCCCGTGCCAGTGACAAGGTAGCGGATTTAGCTTGATTTTGGCGGAGCATGTTAGCTAGAGTTTTCCCAGCCCTATTACCTTGGGAGTAGGTTCTCTGTTTTTGTTTAGTTAGCGTGTGTGGTCTTGTTTAAGGATAATTCATTGATGCTGTCGGTTGTTTCTGCTATAATAATTGTATTGTGAAGTGGGTGCCCTGCAGGAGAGTGTCGTTGAGGCGCCAGGGTGGCTTGCCTCTGTGTTGGTAGTAGTCCCTTAGGGTTATTGTTGTTGGGGCATGATCAGACTAGACTATGTTGCCTATGTTACATTGGGAGATGTTGGGAAGGGGCGTCCCTGACACTAGAATGAGATTGATTCTGGAATAAGTTTTGTGCACTGCCGAATGATAGGAATAGTACCTATCAGAGGGGTGCTGCGTTCTTCAGGCATCGTACACCCCATGCTCCATGAGTAGTTTTGTGAGTGCTTTGCAGTCAGTGAGCTGTGGAAGAGGATAGAGACCCCTCTAGATTTGGAAGAGTGAGTTGCATGGTATTGTGCTAGGTAGTCTTTGAGACCAAACTTGGAAACCCTGGATGTAACAAAGTGCATCTCTTGTACGCACACTATATCTGCTGTGCTGCGTTTGGCATCCTCCATTAACATATGCCTTTTTTGAGGGGTGTTTAGACCTCTGGTTTTGTGAGAGTATATCTTCATGGTCTGGATGTATGGTGTTGCGTAGATTTTTGTCTAGTATTGTTGAGGATTGTGCGGTACCAGCTGTGATCGGGGTTGGGACTTGTTGGAAAGGGGGGAGGTTTGTAGGAGAGGGTGAGATCGGGTCAAAAGGTATAGATGAGGTTGACCTAGCTGGTCACAAAACTAAATTATTAGTTATGTATAGAGGACCTCTAGAGGTCGGGGTATGAGGATCATACCATGGTTCTTTTTTTTTTCTAGACATCTGGCATCTTCTGATGGAGAAGACTGGATGTGGCTTATTTGTTGTGGCCCACTGGATAAGTTGTGAAACTGTGTGAAAATAGACATAATGATACCAGGGCCATGGCACTCCTGGAAGCATAGCCACTACAGTGGACTGTGGTATTTATAGTGCTTTCATTTCAAATGGAGCTCTTATAGTCATATTATGTCATTTTATTGATATGTCTCACCTTCCGTGATAAAGGTGGACTCCCATGTATGTATACTTTCTGACAAAACAAAAGCAATGTCAAACAGGCAGTGGAACTCCTGAAAGTGGGAAAAGAAAATTATGTTTTATTTCTTATTTTTACTTATCTTACAATAAAAGATTCAGGATTCTTACTAACACTATATACATTTTGCATGCTAACAAAGATTTAGTCTCTGCTATGCACTATTTATTACTATAAAAAAAAGGATAGAATATTATAAATGTAAAAATATTATTGGCTGTTATTTTTGTTAAAAAGGAGCCTAATTAGGCAGATCGCTCACAGATCTCTCTATGGAGATTTTAGAAAAAAAAGTGAGTCTGGAGCGTTGTGAATAAGTCAGTAAGAACATTTCATTAGTTTCCAAGGCGACAAGTGCACTTTCAGAACTTTGTCCCACTGTTACTTTTCATAAATAACCTACAGTTCTTTATCATATATTTGTCTTGATTTTTCATAAGTGAATCACCTTCATACTTCCCATGTGACCAACCATGTTCTTCCTACATTGGTCTGCTATGTGTGATTACAAAGTATGGAGATATATATTTAATGATAATGAGACAGTGAACACAGCCTTTCTGTATTTCTGACACTGTGAGAAGTTTGTGTCACAAAGTGAGCTCCCTTGTGGTACTTTTTATAATAGAAATGTTTTCTATATTTTTACAATCAATAGACGGTAAACTGCAGTGGGAAGAAGAAGCAAAAGTCAACAGACTGAAAAGCAATGAGGTAAAAATTCCCCCAGGCAATAAGCAAGTCACTATTTTATACAATTAAGATACAAATTAACACAATGTATTGAACTTAATGCGCTTTGTATTTAACTTTTACATTAGAAGGTGGCTTTGACGGTCCATTCCTGTGAGCTAAGGAAAGGAGTCTCAGGTTACAGCAGGCACAAGGTTATCAAAACTAGACAAATAAACACTGGTGAAATATCACCAGACCTGAAAAATCTTAAAGGGACACTATAGTCACCAGAACTACAGCTTAATTTTCAGAGAAAAGGAGAGTTTACATTGCTCCCTAGGAACCCCTACAGTGGCAGTCACTCAAACGGCCACTAAAGGAGCTTCCTGGGTCAGTGCTCTGCATGGAGGCACTGAACGTTCCTCATAGAGATACATTGATTTAATGCATCTCTATGAGGAAATGCTGAATATTGCAGCACAGAGTTTTGTCGTACGATCGCATTAGCCTCCCATTGCTTTCCTATGATCCTTTGATGATCTCAGTCAAAGAGGCGTAGCAGGGGTGGGACCAGCCACGGTGAGACCCGTGCAATGTTGGAAAAAAGGTCAGTTTTACACTATTTTAAACCTAATTGACAATTGCAAAACTACAGAGTCAGAAATAATTGTTTGTACTTCTGACACTATAGTGTTCCTTTCGTTTCTGCTGCATCATGCAGATAATAGGGTTTTTAAATTGGCATAAATTGCAAGAATTAATGGGTTCTTTTTGCATTTCAGAACATTCTTCTATTGTTCAGTTTAAATGTGCCTCCGTCCACTGTACCCTAATTTTCCTGCTCTTAGCGGACAGGACTGGAACTCAGTGTAGAGTTCTGTTGCTGTAACCTACTCACTTTTTTACATGTTGTGCATTCACAGATGCTCTTCTATATAGTACTGCAGTAACACATGGTTATTGTGGTTATTGTGTGGCCAAACAGCAATGTTGTTGGACAAAGTACTATTTGTGTTGGTATTATTATTATGATTTAGTACTCTGGCCATAGATGATGGGAATGTGTACATTAAGATGTATCAAATAAATAATCAGACCCCGTACTGAGAACACCAATACCTGAAGATACATGAAGAAAAAAACCAACACACAGTATATATAAATGGCCCAAAAGTAGGTATACAGTTAAATCAATAACAACAAAGTGACAGTTACATTTCATGCATTTACATATCAGTGTAGCAGTTGGAAAGAATAGTGGAGGGCAAATAAAAGAATTTATAACGTACGGTGCATATGTTGCTTATAACGTAAGCTACATATACCGTATACCAACTTTTGGGCCGGCTTGTATATATACTCATTATGCAAATATGAATTATATTGGTTGACAGAGGGAATGAGAAAGGGAGCATGAAAAAAGTCTGACATATCATACCTGAGGACTTGTCTGTGACATAATTTAAGAATAGAATAATTAGTTTTTTCATACATCCTCGGATGTACGGTGATTTTGTAGGTGTCTCACTTAAGGGTCCAACTATTTACATGATAAATTACGTATGGATGAGGAAACCTTGCTCCAAGCCTTCCTAGGACTATGAACATCTGGCTTTCTAATGTAGGAGAAATATGGATTCTGACATGAAACCTTCTGTTTCACAGCTTCATGTGATTTGTGTAAACTTGGGATGTAGATTTACAAAGATCTTACATAAATCTTTAGCTTCCCTGGACAGATCTCATAATGTCCTTCACAAGCTTAACATTCCCACCCACTTCAGTGTATAAGGTGTACAGAATGTGCCTTGGAAACTGTGTAAGAGAATATGAGATCTTTACAATGAATTTAAAGAGATTATGCACAGTATATCACAGTAAGACAAATATATTACATTTAATTGAGCAAGACCTTCAGAACTCCTTCGTGTCTGTCAGCATAATTTTTGTTTGTCAATTATTTGTTAGACAAACCTAATGTATAATTGTAAAGTGCTGCAGAACATGTTGGTGCTAAAAGAATTCATAATAATAATATTTAGACTGGACTGTCTCTTTAACAGAGTAATGCAGTTCTTGTTCAAAAGAAGAATTACTTAGGTTATGATAATGTTTACTGCTTAGTACTGCCATCTAGTGATTAAAATGTAAATTATTAATTTTCCTAATTTTAAGTGGTTATGCAGCAGTCCATTGAATGTAAAATTTATACAATTTAGTAGTAAATCATGGACAGTATACTCGACGTATACTTCTATAGTATACTTTGCATTTCTAGATCACCAATATTCCAAGTTCTATAAATATCTCCACAAGAAGAGAATCGTGTAATCTCAAAGGCACTAAATCCTGTCGAATGGTGAATACTCAGAATTAATTTGAGAAGCAGTGTTTATACATCACTTGATTTGCATAATTAAATCAGAAATGTCATATCAAAATTAAATGAAAGGAACAGTCTGTTCACATCAAGTCAGAGATGGCTGCATTTGAAATGTTACACTCAGGGGATGGAGGTAAACATTAAGACATATGTTAAAGGGACACTCCAGACCCCTAAAGCTTGCTGAAAAGCTTTATGTATGAAGAGTGTGTCCTCTTTATTTCATTTTGAAAAAAATGCAAACAGTTCCTGATACTTCTTGGTTTGGTTAGCTCAGTGGAAATAAATTCAAGAGGCAGCAATTGCTTAGAGCACCTGCCTTGCAAAGACTTCTCACTGAGCTGCATTGGAAAGTCTGTGATTGGACAGCCACAGAAAGTTTGAGCGGAGTTAGAAGGGGAAGGTTTGCAAAGGCAGCAGACAAAAAAACTGCAGCTTTTCCAAGCTGTTTTAATGCATAGTTAAATGCATGCAAGTTTTCATTTGGGGTATATTACTAAACAGTTATTTTTTATTTATTTTTTATTTGAATAGTGGAGTTTACCTTTAATTGGAAGATCGATAATTAATATTACATGAAAGGAAGGGGCATGCTTACACCTAACGCAATGCAGCAATCTGAAACTGAAAGATAATTTAACATAAAACAAAAGGCCACGATTTACATTACAATCAATAGTGCTTTTAAATTAACATTTTAAATTAAATTTTAATTGCTTGTTCTGAACGCCATAGACAAATGTAAGCATACTGACCTTTGTTTCAATTACTGTCCCTCTCCTCAGTCAATGTTGTCTGTTCAAGTTCCTGAATACTGTAATAAGGAGATAACGCGACCCCTGCAGGTGTATTTCTATATTTCTAATGGAAGGAGAAAGAGAAGCCCTATGCAGAGTTTTCGATATCTGCCCAGTAAGTATTTATTCCATTTATTTATTCCATACGTAATAATAACTAGTACAGGGATTGACAAATTGCAGACTCCAGGTAGCCATGGCATCCCAGAAACTGGCTGTATTTCGTGTGAAATGTCACAAAACTCAAAAAACTGAAAACAAATCTACCTCCAATTATTTTTAAATTATGGCTCATTACCTTAAAGTTTGTCAAACCATGGACTAGTAATAATGTAGACCTTTTTATATACAGGTACTTTTTAATTTTGCTTAGTGGTAATTGCATTTTTTTAATTCCCTAAGGAAGTGAGAAAATTTGAATGCTTTTAAAAACAGCATATATATATATATATATATATATATATATATATATATTAGTATACAGCAGTCTATCAGCTTAATCATTTGATCATATAAATATAATTTATTAATAAAATACCAAAGTATTTCCTGGAGCATAAGTATTACAAAGTTTATTTGGCATAGTTACTTTGGATTGTGAGAGCCCTGATGGGAAGCTAACAATCTAGAGACATGACTATCATGGGAAGTGCCACTGAATGTATGGGTGGAAGTATTCTTATTAAACTCTTCTTGTGCGTATTGATATTTTAATCTGAAAGGATTTCGCTGAGCACCATAAACATTTCATTGTTTTGACACAGCACCCTTTTCATGCCTGTCACTCTTTGTAGCGTGGTCGTACTGGACATGGGTAGAGGAATTCATTATCCTCTACTTGGGCCTTGAAGTAAGGAAGCTGCAACAAATATACGGGCAGTGGAGGCAGAGTTATATGCCACCAGCACGCGCTGCCTAGTTACAGCCACATGCTGAGAGGGACACTAGACACCTTGGTCTGTCATACCTGCAGATTCTGCTCCTCTGCTTATGTCCAGGGCCCATAAGGGTTAGCGATTTAATCACTGAATGCCTATGTCCCTGTGATTGTCTGTGACTGAGTGCATGTTACATACTGTATGCGCATGACTTTGTCAGTGGGTGTGAGTGTGGCCCAGATTAAGAGCCCAGTGGGCCTGGTGCTGACAATTATGATGGTGCCTAATTACAGAATCTTATCGACCAAAAACATAAACAGTCATACCTCCTAAGCATCATGTATCTGATGGATTTGGTGTTGGAGGGAAACTCAAAGGATGCAGCTATAGGAAAACACATACTCTATTCTAATGTCTTTTTCTAATTTATACTTTCATTTTTTTCAAGTAAATCCATACCCCCTAACAGCAGTGTCCAGTGAAGCAGGAAGTCAATGGGCAGGGTAAAAGAGTGGGCCGCTGATGCGAATCACGTGACCAGAACTGCCGAAAGGGGCGAGCATGGCCAAAAAGGGGGTATGTCTGTCCAAAGAATTGGAAGGCCAGCCTGGCATCAGTGTCCCTTTGTATCACAGTGTCAGTGTCCCCATGTCGCCCAGTCCCCTGGTATCCCATTGTCTGTGTCCCCATTTCTTCCAGTGTCCCCATGTCTCAGTGTGTCCCTTGTCACTAGGATACTAGGGCACACTGAGAGACCCGGGGACAATGAGACACTGGGAGACATGTGGATACAGACATGGGGACACTGGGAGAAATGTGGTCACAGACACTAGGGAGACAGAGACATGGGGACACAGACATTTGGGGAAACTAAGACCCTAGGGACACTGAGAGACATGGGAACAAAGACACTGAGAGACTAGGGGACACTGGTAGACATGGGGACACTGAGGCACTAGGGACACTGGCTGGGAGGCATGGGGACACAGACACTTGGAGACACTGGGAGACATGGGGGCACTTGTGGACATAGACATGGGGACACTGGGAGACATGGGGACACAGACACTAGTGACACTGGCTGGGAGACATAGGGACACTGGGATACATGGGGACACTGAGACACTGGCTGGGAGACATGGGGACACTGGGAGACATGGGGACACTGGGAGACAAGGGGATACTGGGAGCCATGGGGATACTGAGACACAAGGGACACTGGCTGGGAGACATGGGGACACTGGGAGACATGGAGACACTGTGTCCCTAGTGTCCCCATGTTTCCCAGTGTCCCATGTTTCCCAGTGTCCCCACGTCTCCCAGTGTCCCTAGTGACTTAGTGTCCCCATGTCTCCCTGCTGCCTTCCCCCCCCTCCTTCACATACCCGAGCTGTAGTCTGTCTCTGCAGGCTGGGAGCTGCTGTCTGGACTCTCTGTGCTGTGTAGCTGCTCCCCTGCGGATCAATGATTAGAGAGAGGCAGGGAGGGAGATGCTGTAACTTCCTATCCCTGCCTCTCGCCATACACAGTGACCCCTACTGGCCAGTTCTGGTATTGCAGAGTAATCTCCGTTTCTACTGAGAAAAATATTTGCATTTGTATTGCCGGTATTACTGAAATACCGGCACGGCCAGGCAGCCTCAAATACTGGCTGTCCTTTAAAATACCAGCTAGGTGGCAAGCCTAAGAGTAGTGTGTAAAACAAAACAAAAAAAGTAAAAAAAAAAAAAGTTACTTTTTTTTTTTTTTTTTTTTTTAATGGGCCTATTCCATGGGCCTGGGCCTGGGCCTGGAGCTACAGCTCCATCAGCTCCTATGTTAATCTGGCCCTGGCTGTATGCATGTGACCATTAGCGTGTTACTGTGTGTGACTGTTTATGAAATAGTGTATGTGTGTGACTGTGTGCACAGGACTGTGTGAGTCAGTGTGTATGTATATGACTGTGTATCTAGGTAAATGTATGTGTAAGTAAGTGCGTTTGTATGAGTATGTGATTATTTAGGAGATTCACAAGAAATAATGTTGGTTAAGAGTCAAACAAAATGGTGAAATAGTCGATTAGGATAAACACACAAGAAGGGTCAGGAGACACACAAAGGGACAAAAGTTTTACATTTTGGGAGGCAGGAGAGTGTGTGGTGTGGGGGGCAAAATACATATCTGCCCCGGGTTCCAAGTGATGAAGTGTTGTCACAGAAGGCAGGTCAGGCTGCTGAGAGGTATGCAACAGATGGTTTGTTTGTTTTTTGCTTTTATTTTTTTATTTTTTTACAGTGGCGGGCCATGCCAAGAAGGGTTTCTCAAATAAAAAAAACAGTGGTTTATTAAAATACTGGTTTTGGTTGGAGTAAACCTTTAGGAAATGAAGGCTGTCTCTCCTGCTACCCCCTGCTCATAGTGCCTAGACAAAGCCTAACAAGGCCAAAATGATCGTCTGGGATTGCTGTATCTGTCGCGCTTAGAGAGCCGGGCTGCATTTCGGCAGTGGCGGCCCTATTGAGTGGGATGAGTCTGATATGAAAATGGTCTAGGTTCTCTTTGTAATGGTTAGTTCTGGTATACTTAATGTATTACACAGGAGTGAGGGAGTAGGACTTGCACTAGGCCGCTCAAAACTGGAAATAAATAGGGATTCACTAAAACCTATAAAAGAGATAGTTTGGGAGGACACTAATCACGTATACAAATACCAGGAGCTGGCCTAAGATATGGCTAGAATGTGTGGAGATATAAATGGAATGGCAATATCTGCGTGAGAGAATATGTAAATATGGGTACTGTGCCTTTAAGGAAAAAACGAAAATTCAAATAAAAGTGTAAAAACAAGATAAATGTATGAAGGAAGAAAATAGAACCAGATAAAGTGAATTGGAGATCGGCAAACAGCAAATAAATAGCGAATAAATAGCGAATAAATAAATGAATATATGTCATATGCAATATGTGCGGTGCAAGTGCCTCTATTTCTGCTATAATACAGAGTGGCTGGCACTTACTCCAAATTATATACTTTGTATCATGCAAAGATAAAAATACAAATGAAAAAATCTAAATAAAGTAGAATGATGAGATATTGTAGCAATACAGTATATGGAACTGTATGCTAAAATGTTATACAGTGTATCACAAAATGATTAAAAGCAATGGTTCAGAAACTGGATATAGGTAAAAAGCCAGTTTATTAGACAAAAAATGATAAAAAAAAGTATTTATATCAAAAAAATATATATCAGGAAAAGTTCATACAGTTGTTACCAGTCATATAGAAGTCAGAAGTATGCAGAGACCTTCGGATTATGCTCGGATGGATATGGATTGTGTTCCTAAGTTGCCGCTTGTGTTGTAACCGCCGGTGAGGACAGCGTGTTTTTCAGCGTGCGTCCCAACAGAAGCCTCACTCCGGAGAGACGTGCACTGTAGACGGCTCCGATAAGTGAGCACATCAACAGGTCCTGGAAGAATACTGCCTTCTATTGATGGGTGTATGCTGGATCTGTGTCCTGATGGATATGTCAAATTGTCTTACGCGTTTCGTAGGTGAATCCCTACTTCTTCAGAGACGGATGGAGAACCATTGCTTCAATATTTCTTTATATACACATTCAACTAATTGGTTTAAAAAACTGTCTTTACATACAATAAACCAATTTGTATGATATAAAGTCTTATAAACATATACAAGTAGTACAATGACGTTATATATAGATAGCATATGTAAAAAATAAAATAAAAAATAGATGAATAATTACAAAAATTAATTATGAAAGATACATAAAAGGAAACTATATGTACAGAGTTAATAGCCACAACCAACAATCTATGTTTATCAGTTCATATAACGACATTAAGTAAAAATAAAATAAAAAATATAAAATTCATTGAAATGATGTATGATAAAATTTATAATAAAATTTTATTTAATAAATTTGTAATCAAGGAAAGAAGAAGAATTATTAAAAGTGATTATGTGCAAACTAAGTGCTGTGTTTTTATAATACAATCCAAGTTAATTAATAAAACGGTAAATGTTTGTATAATGTGTCGGATAAAGCAACTAGTTCGCTTAGAAGGAATACTTGGTCTCGTTATCGGCCAAAACAATATAAACCAAGAGAGCACGGAAAAATTATAATTATGATGGTATAGCCAATCCTATAATAGAGAAGTTAAAAATATGTTTATAAATATATTTATAAATGCATTTAAATTAGAATGAATCAGTGTTTCTAATATATACATGGGGTCTTTCAATCAGAAATCTTTATAGGTGTAAGTAGTGTAAAGGTAACAGATTATTTTAACATGTTCCTAAACTATAATGCCCAAAATGGGCATGGACACTTACATAACGGACCCTAATAGATGACAGAAATTATAGAAATTACAAAAATAAAATAAAATTAGATGAAATGTAATAAAATAGATTGTACTGCTAAATATAATACATCATAATGGATACAGTATATGACAATATGTATATCGAGAGATCCACATTCCATTCTGAAAGAGAACGCACATGTTAGTGTTTTAAAATTCAGTAAATGTTTGCAAGAAATATGAATAAATGAAATATAGAATATAAATATATATATATTTATATATATGAATACACATACATACACATATACACATACAAATACGTAGAAATGTAAACGAAAATCCATACATATATAGTATATAAAACTGTAATATGTACATGTAAGGGATAGATAGCCAAAAGTGTGATACAAGTATAAATTCTACTATTCACATGGGAAAAATCCCAAAAATGGAAAAAGGAAGAAGGAGGGACAAAGGATTAACCCTATATATGGGGAAATGTAAAGAAGAAATATTAAATAATAAGTGATGGTGGATACCAAGTGGTTTAAACACTAATGATGCATGACCCTATAGGTAGTGTTACACTACCAATATATAGGAAAATATACAGCATTATACAAACATTATATAAATAACACATTATACACACATTTACCGTTTTATTAATTAACTCGGATTATATTATAAAAACACAGCACTTAGTTTGCACATAATCACTTTTAATAATTCTTCTTCTTTCCTTAATTACAAATTTATTACATTTTATTATAAATTTTATCATACATCATTTCAATGAATTTTATAGTTTTTATTTTATTTTTACTAAATGTTGTTATATGAACTGATAAACATGGATTGTTGGTTGTGGCTATTTACTCTGTACATATAGTTTCCCTTTATGTATCTTTCATAATTATTTTTTGTAATTATTCATCTATTTTTTATTTTATTTTTTACATATGCTATCTATATATAACGTCATTGTACTACTTGTATATGGTTATAAGACTTTATATCATACAAATTGGTTTATTGTATGTAAAGACAGTTTTTTAAACCAATTAGTTGAATGTGTATATAAAGAAATATTAAAGCAATGGTTCTCCCTCCGTCTCTGAAGAAGTAGGGGTTCACCTACAAAACGCGTAAGACAATTGGACATATCCATCAGGACACAGATCCAGCATACACCCATCAATAGAAGGCAGTATTCTTCCAGGACCTGTTGATGTGCTCACTTATCGGAGCCGTCTACAGTGCACGTCTCTCCGGAGTGAGGCTTCTGTTGGGACGCACGCTGAAAAACACGCTGTCCTCACCGGCGGTTACAACACAAGCGGCAATTTAGGAACACAATCCATATCCATCCGAGCATAATCCGAAGGTCTCTGCATACTTCTGACTTCTATATGACTGGTAACAACTGTATGAACTTTTCCTGATATATATTTTTTTGATATAAATACTTTTTTTTATCATTTTTTGTCTAATAAACTGGCTTTTTACCTATATCCAGTTTCTGAACCATTGCTTTTAATCATTTTGTGATACACTGTATAACATTTTAGCATACAGTTCCATATACTGTATTGCTACAATATCTCATCATTCTACTTTATTTAGATTTTTTCATTTGTATTTTTATCTTTGCATGATACAAAGTATATAATTTGGAGTAAGTGCCAGCCACTCTGTATTATAGCAGAAATAGAGGCACTTGCACCGCACATATTGCATATGACATATATTCATTTATTTATTTGCTATTTATTCGCTATTTATTTGCTGTTTGCCGATCTCCAATTCACTTTATCTGGTTCTATTTTCTTCCTTCATACATTTATCTTGTTTTTACACTTTTATTTGAATTTTCGTTTTTTCCTTAAAGGCACAGTACCCATATTTACATATTCTCGGACGCAGATATTGCCATTCCATTTATATCTCCACACATTCTAGCCATATATTAGGCCAGCTCCTGGTATTTGTACACATGATTAGTGTCCTCCCAAACTATCTCTTTGTAATGGCACTAGATGAGCTAAATCCAGCTTGAGATCTGAGCAGGGACCCACCGAAGGACAAGCTACTTGAGCCGTTGTCCGTGCTTCGTATGAAATGTGGTGCCCTGTAGTGTTCTGCATTTATTTAGAGCAGGATGGATAAAGATTAAGTAAGTAGGTGCAAAGGGAGTACATGGTTATTCAGGAAGATATTTCCACTTGCACAGAACAGACCTTAACTGTACTCTTTATAGTGTTTATCATTATGTCTGGTGTGCAGCACACTCAGCAATGTAACACATCTGTAGATTTGGTCTCCATTAAAAACACACTGTTACATTGAATATGACTGGATGTTTGTAGACATATAGTACAGACCTCAGACAGACCCACACTTCCGTGATCTGCTTTTATCATAAGCGTATGGAGAGAAGTGATAACATATAGATGTATTGGGCCTTTGATACAGTTCAGCACAACTGGAATTAGTCTTTTTAATGAAAAAAAAATGTGTTCTTGCACATTGACTTAAACATAGACTGCATTTAGTAGTTGCAAATGGAAATGTTTCAATTTGGTCTAAACAAGTAAGTTGAGTGCCTCAGAGTTCTGTCCTTAGTCCACTTCTCTTTAATATTTTTATAAATGATCTTGAAGTAGTCATTGAAAGTCATGTGTTGGTATTTGCAGATGACACAAAACATGGTAAGATAATACAGTCTGAACATGATACAACTTCTCTACAGAGGGATTTGGATGTCTGCTTAGGGAAGAGGACAGGTTCTTTACAGAAAAAAAAAAAAAAAAACAATAAAGATGTGGAATTCTCTACCAAAATACATTTTCTTATCAGAATAAAAAAGAGCTGGATGTTTTTTTTGCTTGGATGGTTTTGCAAAAACAGTATATTTAGGGGTATAATTAATATGTTGTTGATCCAAGGAGAAATCTGATTGTCATTATAAAGGGATGTTTTCCTTTTTTGTGTCATAATTGGAAATCGCTACAATTTGGCTTTTCTTTTGCCTTCTTTTGGATCAATGGCCTGTAAAGGTTAAAGTTGATGGACTTGAGTATTTTTTCCTTACTTGCTATATAACTATGTAAAAAGAATCAAAGAAAAAACATAATTGCTGCAATTATTTTCTAACATTGCTTTAACCATTTTCTTTCATTTTCTTATTATCAGCTGATGTATTGTTTTTTTCTCTCTCTCTTTCTTTCCAGTCATATTTAAAGAGGAACCTGTCCCAGAGTCTGGCTTGCAAACATATCCTTCTGTCTCTCTTCCTCCTCCATGCCATATTCCTTTAGAGGTGGGACAGATGGAACTAGGCACTTCCTATGTACCACCTTTACAAACAAACTTGTGTGACACTCCCATGGAGGTGTCACCATATTACGCCACTCAACACCCAGAACGAGGATACCCAGGTGGCCATGATTGCACTGTGGGCAGTAATTCCTTCTTGGGCTGCTACTTTAATCCTCCAGTACCTCCTGAGTTTAAATGCCCTCCATCTTATGCTGAAAATGGAAGTGATGTCTCACTTTCTTTGCCCTTTTTATCTAACACCAATTCTCAACTTCCTCCCAGCCCGGTTCCCTGGTCCCCACAGCCATGCTCATCCCAATCTACAAGTCCCTCACCGTTTAGTGGTCCTTTACTGCCCCATTTAACATCACCCAACAAAATGGAGGAAATAACAACAGGATCTCATCAACATTATCTATCTTCTCCGATGCTGTCCAGTTTAGAATTTGATCCTAGCACTAACCATTTTCAGCCAGGTTATCAACTTTTCCCAGCCTGTGCCCCTCCATCATACACTACATTAAATAATGGAGACAGATCAGATCCAACACAACATGAACACACATCCTCATCAGATGTAATCAGGTCAGAGTGTTCTTCCAACCAACAGTTTTCAACTAACTCTTTAATAAACCATGAAGCCCATCCCATGAACTCAAAAGCTGAAGAAGAAATTAAAGCAGTTGGTCATTCAAGATTCCCTACAGCTAATTCCACATTACCTGTTTCTAAAGAAGATGGAGTTTCCCAAACATTTCCTACTTACCAAAGCCTTTCTTCTTGTAGTTCCGCTGCACTAACATCTTTCTGTAATTCCACACACCCTTCTGCCTTCTCCACACCCCCATCTCCAGTCTCAAGTGTCACTAGTCATAACTTAGAGCGGCCCTCAGATGTCACCCATGGTCTGTCACAAAACCAAAATGAAGAGTCCTGTTACCAATCCCCTGGTGGGGAATACTGCAAGACTGCAGACAGTGTGAGAAGAGATACAGTTAAAGATGATGGTCAACAGTTTGCAAGCCCATTTCACCCTATTCCAATCCAGGGGATCACACTAGAAGAAGGTAAATTATGAATGTGGATACAATTCCTCAAAATGTTTTAATAAAAGATATTTGATTTTAGAGTTGTAGAGTTTAGGGATAGATTAGTAGTGTTGTGGATGTCAAATGTGTTGGTGACACTCTATCATGGTGTGATTGTTATACGATTGAACATTTACATTGTGCAGCAAATGTTTTCTTTCTGAGTGGCACAGTGAGATGCATGTGCATGAATCAATCCCAGAATGCCTAGGATGTGGCTGTGACCTTTACTTTGTGCCAATTCTGCTAGGAATTGTGGGCAGACTCATTGCATATGGATATTTGCTGCAAACCTCAGTTTACAATAAAATGCAATCAATACATTCCTTAGCTGCAAATAATCATTAGGCTAGATTGGATCATTTCTAAGATGGTAACATGTCAGTTTTCAGTGAAAGGCAGAAATTAATCATTTGAAGACTGATAAAATGAATGAGAAAAAATATAAAAGGTGATAAATACAACAAAAAAAACTTGCAAAATTAGATAATCCACAGCACAGCATGCTTCTGGGTGAAGCATGCAGGATCCGTCTCTCCAGAGAAACTGAAAATCTGGATTGTCCAATTTCCTCCATATGGAAGAATAAAACGCCTCTGTCCAAAGATAAGGATAAATAAATTACCTGTATTTATCCTTATCCTTGGATTGAGTAGTTTTTCTTCAATATGTAGGGGATCTGTAAACCAGTTTCTCATTAAAAATTGGCGAGCCTTTAGTCAGTCACCATTAAAGGGTTTATTCGTCAAACTCCATATTGGGGGGAATTTCAATTCAAATGGTGAAATCCATGCTAAATAACTCAAGATGTGACTGTGGCTGAGTTTGAGATGTGTACATCAGCTCTTTTAGCCTGCATTTTGCAATTTAGAATATAACTTGCTAAAATTTTGAGTTTATTGAAAAACCATGCCTATGTGTAAGCAAACCTCGCTTTTGTCAAGGCTTGAAAAAGAACCATACGTGTCGAAACAGTTGCCATTTAATGGTGGCTGAATAAAGACTTACTAAATTCATTTAAGGTGTCATAATTACGGAGTACTGTTTGTGGGTGTTGGAGGTACTTCTCTGCACTGTTAAAGAAATACTCCAAGCACTATAACCATTATAGACTGATGTAGTATTAAAGGATCACTATAGGGTCAGGAACACAAACATGTATTCCTTACCCTATAGTGTTAAAACCACCATCTAGCCCCCCTCTAGCATGTAACTCTGCATGCTGTTTGCCTAAAAAAAAAACAGGCAGTCTGCTGACATCATCAGAAGTGGTAGCCTGATCCAATCGCAATGCTCCCCCATAGGATTGGCTGAGACTGACAAAGAGGCAGATCAGGGGCAGAGCCAGCATGATTCAAACACAGCCCTGGCCAATCAGCATCTCCTCATAGAGATGAATTGAATCAATGAATCTCTATGAGGAAAGTTCAGTGTCTGCATGCAGAGGAGGAGACACTGAATGTTTGGATGCATTTTAGGCAGCCATGACCCAGGAAGGATCTCTAACAGCCATCTGAGGAGTGGCCAGTGAAGTTATCACTAGGCTGTAATGTAAACACTGCATTTTCTCTGAAAAGACAGTGTTTACAGCAAAAGCCTGAAGGTAATGATTCTACTCACCAGAACAAATTCAATAAGCTGTAGTTGTTCTGGTGACTATAGTGTCCCTTTAATGTTGTGAGGAGTGCCCAGGTGCCTTCTCAGGGTAAATTGTCAAACCATTTAGAAAAGTTAAACAACTTACTTGGGGTCCACCAGGTGCTTGTCACTGATTCCTCTGTCAGGCTGTAGTACTTGGAGTGTTCCTTTAAGGTGCATGGAAAGTTAAAAAAAACACAACAAATTAACAACATTGGAACAGTTTTCATTACAGACTGTGTACCCTTTTAAGAGGTTATCGTGTAGAAGGTGAATTACGATGTAAAAATATAATTAACAGTTTGAGCAGTGGAGCAAAGAATAACACATTGATCTAGTACTCATATGATTAAAATTATGCTGTTTTGTAGCACAGCTTTTCAGCAGATATATCTAAAAAGGCTTGAATAAATTAAATTACAGCTACATATGATACATAGTGAACTTGGCTATCAAATCGATATCAGATGATTATAAAAACTGTTTGTTTTTTTCTCCCTCTTACAGTAAGTGAATTTATAGGTCAAGACCTTAGCAGATTTCCCGACCCACAACCGAAAGATTAAATCTTGGTACAAGAACAATTTCCATATTCCTGGTTGACTCCATGAATGGACTTATAAACGAACCACATATCAACAATTGGCAGATGTTTCCAGAACTTGCAGATCTAGGTTTTCATGTACCTCAAAATATGACAAAATGTTCAAAACAGTGCTCCTAACAGAAAGAGAAGATTTATGTGTGCAAACAGATGGTTTATGTAAACATCACAACATTCACAAAGCAGCAACCAAGGCATGAAATGTATCTGCAGACAAAGATCTCTCTGTCATATAGCCATATAGTGCCTACAAAGAAATCACTCTCCAATGCTTTTTATACTTGTGTCTGGCTTTAATGATTCCAGGCATTAAGCAACATATAATGAACATGGCACACTTCATACTGTCCGAAGAATAAGATTCAGGAAAATGGGTAACAATATTTTCAGAAAGCTTCTTTTAGAAAAACAAGTTCCTCAGTTTGAAAGTTAGGCTCTGCAAGTATTTGGGACATCAGACACATTCCAAGTACATGAAGCTGGAGTTTACAGTGCAGTCCTGCTTTGTATGAACCCTGTAGGGTCCTGTATTTTTCCTACATTAGGTTTGGCCTACAGGTAGATCCCCACCTGATGCTGACAAAGGATCATGGGAGATGTTGTGTTACAATATGTGAGGATCTACCTTTGCCCATCACTCCCTCACCCCTTTGTGGTGGAAGGCCTCAGGTACACCCTGTTACTGCCACTCACAGCAGTTTGTCACCAGTGTGCTATTGTATCCAGTGGAGCACTAAATTATGGAATATTGCAGACGTAACACTTTCCCCATGAGAAGGGATTTATGTATATTTATATGTGTATTTGTATTATTTTTATATATGCGTACAATTGTATGTTTGTATTTTGCATTCAAACAATCAATTAAAAGATTTTAAAAGTCTGCTGCATGGGTTTGATGTTGTTTCGTGTATTTGATAAATTAACAGACAATGTCGAACTCTAAGATGCAAATAGATGCATTAGAGTGATGAAGAGATTATATGAACAATGCAACCAAAAAACATGTATGTTAACTAAGAAAATTTAGCAACAGTAATACACAGGGGTTAGCCAATAGACACTTAAAGGATTGTTCAGTGCCCTAACTGGATTAAATGTTCTGCATCTTGCTACCCTCACATTATATGTCTTCTCCATTATAATATACCATCCCTTTCACAATAATCTAGAGAAATGTAGTTACAAGTAATGTTGATTAACCATAACACACTTTCCATTCCCAACATCCCACACCAATCTAATTGTGCATATTTCCATACAAATATGTATATGCGATTGCATATGTAATTAGTGTATATTTATAAATCCCAACTGCCCCTGTGTAAATAAGATACAATATTCTTGTTCTAAATTACATTTTAGTTGTGTAAATTTATACTAGTAAGTCACCTAAAATTTCTTAGAGCATCCCTGCCCCTGGTAACACCCCCACTGACACCTAAAATACAGTGTCCCTTTTGTCCATTTTAAATGTTGGGAGGTATGTGTATGTGCCATTGTATAATCTCAGTCAAGGGGCCAGAGCATAAACCTAAATTATGTTTTTAACAGCATAGGGTCAGGAATAAGCATTTGTATTCATGACCCTATAGTGTTCTTTTAAATGCATTTTCTTTGTTTATTTTGGAATTCATGACATCAGTTTGTGTATTCTGGGACATATTTGTATTGAGGGTCTGTATGTGTGTGTAAAAGCATGGTCATATTTGGATGTAGTTTGTGTGGGAACTCAGGTTTGCATGTGTGGACCATGCGTGTGCGTGAACACAAGTGGCATGTAGGTATTATAAAAGCTGTAGTGGTAAAGGGGTAATGGGGGCAGTAGTGGGGGACAGTGGGTAATAGAAGGTACTGGAGGTGCAGGGGAGGAATAGAGGCTGTAGTGGGTAGCAGGGGTTGTAGTATGTGTAGGGGGTAATAGGGATTGTAGCGGGTAATAGGGGTTGTAGCATGTATAGGAAGTAATAGGGGGTTGTAGTATGTGTAGGGGGTAATAGTGGTTGAAGGGGGTAATAGCGGTTGTAGCATGTGTAAAGGGTAATAGGAGTTGTAGTGGGTAACAGGGGTTGTAGTATGTGTAGGGGGTGATAGGGCTGTAGTATGTGTAGTGGTAATAGGGGTTGTAGTATGTGTAGGGGTTATGGGTAATGGGGTTATATTCACTATACACACACTGCACTCACTATACACACACTGCACACACACTGCATACACTATACACACACTGTATTCACTATACACACACGACACACACTGCTTTCACTATACACACACTGCATGCACTAGACACACACTGCATTCACTATACACACACACTGCATTCACTATACACACACTCCATACACTATACACTCACTCCATACACTATACACACACTGCATTCACTATACACACACTGCATACACTATACACACTGCATACATTATACACACAAGCTGCAAACATTATGTCACGATTCGGAACCTAACACGCTAACAGGTCACAGGAAGGAAGGGTGCTATACCGGTCTTTAGAATGGCCAGGTTAAGCACATTGAGAATAGTCAGGAGTAAAGCCAAGTAAAGGGAGCCAGAAAACACGAGAACGAGAAACAAGCCGAGGTCAAAGGAATGGAGAATACAGGAAAGTCGGAATAACGAGCCAAATAAACGGTAACCAGAGAGCAACACGAGCAAACTGCAATACAGGTAACACAAGACCACAACAGGGCACTGAGAGACAAGAAAGGTAAGTATATAACAGCTGTGCTTAATTCTGATTGGATAACTTCCAATCAGAATTAATAATCACACGTGGGAGATATCTATACCTCCCACTGTGATTAGGGTACTGTGACTTTAACGCCGTGTCATGTGAATGACCCTGGCGTTTACACAAATGCGGGGACTCCCAGTGTGCAGCGTTACACATGCTGCCGCTGGGAGGCGAGGAGGAGGACGCGGGCGGCGTGCAACTTAGAGAGGACGCCGCTCACCGACAGGTAGGGGAAGGGGAGACCGCGGTGGCGATGGACTGAGGGTGAGTGCTGCAAGTGGCGTGCAGCCTCCCCTCACAGCCGCCCGTGGAGCCCTGACACATTTTACACACAAGCTGCATTCACTACGCAAACACACTGCATTCACTATGCAAACACACACTTATACATGTGTGTCTGTATGTGTATCTGTTTGTGTGTTGGTGTTTGTTTTGGTGTGTCTGTATGTGTCTGTATGTGTCTGTATGTGTGCCTGTGTGTCTCTGTGTGTGTGTGTGTGTGTGTGTGTGTCTGTATGTGTGTTTGTATCTGTATGTGTGTCAGTATTTGTCTGTGTCTGTGTATGGCTGTGTTTCTATGTAACTGCATGTGTGTACCTATGTGTCTGTGTATCTGTATGTGTGCCAGTGTGTGTATATGTGAGTATATGTGTGTATGTACATACATCTCAGCATTTTGCCAAAACTACACACAAATACAACCCTGCATTCAAATGTCAACACTACATATAAACACACCACCATATTCAAAAAGCACACAACAGAAAAATGCACGCCTGCATTCAAATGCCAATACGTGCAAACACACCTGTACATTCACTCACACATACTCCATACAAAAACATGCTTACATTAAAAATATACAAACACTGCTCAATGCTAAGTACATTTTAAAAAATTGTGGTTGTTTTTTTACATTTTTTTTGGGGGGGGGGGAGATAATAGGGGTGGGTGTGCCAAATAAAGGATCCGCTCTGGGTGCCAAATGCTCCAGGTACGCCCCTGGCTCTTGTGGAGTCCACGCCTCAATGCATCAGAGAATGTATGTGATGCATATATACAGAATGTTTATGCTGCATGTATATAGAATGTATTTTCTGCGTGTATACCATATGCCAAATGTATGTGCTGTAGAATGTATGCAGGATATCATCCCTCCCAACTGTTCTGCTTTTGGTGGGGCAGTCCTGGTTTTGAGGCGCTTTAGTTCCCTGGTGTCCCGTATCTGAGTAAAATATCAATAGACTTGCTCACAATGTACAGCGGGCACTAGTGTCATGCAGGGAGTGATTAAGCAGCGCTTCCTGCATGGTCCTCATAGCTGGGGGCTGGTCAGGTTGCCTGTCAGGTGGTGGACATGTCCCTTTTTAAGGCTGACATTTTGGACGAGGTGGCCTGCTCGTTGTGTGAGTGTCACTAGCATCATGTATCACTGGCAATGCCCCCTTAAGAATTCCGCCCACCAGTCCCGTTTTTCAGAGGAGAAATGTGTGAAGGTATGCAATGCAACCCCTAGATACATACACTAAAGCTCAGAGTTGAAACTAGAAACCACCAGGTCCCTTTGCGAAAATTGCCCTGGGGCCCCCCGTGTGTCTCATTCCCCTCCAGCTCCTCCATGTGTCTCATCCTCTGCCTAGCCCCTCCTTTTGTCTTATTCCCCTATTCTATCCCCCAACCCCTCCATGTGAAAGATTAAACATATTCAAGATTTGTATTATTTTGCTCTGCACAATGTTAGTGAAAATTCAACATAATTCAACTGCATTTTACATGATACTGCTGTTTTCCCTAACTGCTTGTTCTTATATCTTTTTTAAAAAATAAGGTAAAACTTTTAAGAGAAATAAATAGTCACAAAGTTTTATAGTAAAGAACAGAAATATTATCAGCCCTAGACAGAAGGCATGAAAATTCCCAATAAGGAAGTCAACTTTGCTGACATTAAATGTAAAAAAAAAAGCTTACAGAACTACCAAAAAGAGGAGGGGTAAAAAGTAAGGCTGCACTTCTTTCTTCCTGTAATGCCGTTTTATACAGAGGCCTGCACACAGCACAAAATCTGTAACACTGTGTTACTGCTTGCAGGGATGGTGGATAATGATTGCAAGGGAAGATCATACAGTGTAACACTGTAACACAAATGTAAATCCCCAGCCATCACATTAAACAAATCGATTGACAAGTAAGTACATGCAAATGTATTTTAGTGGCCTATGCATTCCTTGTAAATATAATAGTCTGTGATTTCAAAACGTTTTATGGTACTGTACAATTAACATAGAAACATAGAATGTGACGGCAGATAAGAACCATTGGGCCCATCTAGTCTACCCAATTTTCTAAATACTTTCATTAGTCCCTAGCCTTATCTTATAGCTAGGATAGCCTTATACATATCCCACGCATGCTTAAACTCCTTTACTGTGTTAACCTCTACCACTTCAGCTAGAAGGCTATTCCATGCATCCACTACCATCTCAGTAAAGTAATACTTCCTGATATTATTTTTAAACCTTTGTCCCTCTAATTTAAGACTATGTCCTCTTGTTGTGGTAGTTTTTCTTCTTTTAAATATAGTCTCCTCCTTTACTGTGTTGATTCCCTTTATGTATTTAAATGTTTCTATCATATCCCCCCTGTCTCGTCTTTCCTCCAAGCTATATATGTTAAGATCCTTTAACCTTTCCTGGTAAGTTTTATCCTGCAATCCATGAACCAGTTTAGTAGCCCTTCTCTGAACCCTCTCTAAGGTATCAATATCCTTCTGAAGATACGGTCTCCAGTACTGTGTACAATACTCCAAGTGAGGTCTCACCAGTGTTCTGTACAATGGCACGAGCACTTCCCTCTTTCTACTGCTAATACCTCTCCCTATACAACCAAGCATTCTGCTAGCATTTCCTACTGCTCTATTACATTGTCTGCCTACCTTTAAGTCATCAGAAATAATCACCCCTAAATCCCTTTCCTCATATGTTGAGGTTAGGACTCTATCAAATATTCTGTACTCTGCCCTTGGGTTTTTACGTCCAAGATGCATTATCTTGCACTTATCCACATTAAATGTCAGTTGCCACAATTCTGACCATTTTTCTAGTTTACCTAAATCATTTGCCATTTGGCTTATCCCTCCTGGAACATCAACCCTGTTACATATCTTAGTATCATCAGCAAAAATACATACCTTACCATCAAGACCTTCTGCAATATCACTAATAAAAATATTAAAGAGAATGGGTCCAAGTACAGATCCCTGAGGTACCCCACTGGTCACGAGCCCAAGCTTCGAATATACTCCATTTAGTCCACTTGCACCCCATCTATAATTGTGTAGGGTCCTTATAGCAATCTTAGCTTAGCTATATTATATATTAATAATTATCTTATCCATATCAACAGGCAACACTACAAAGTAAAGGAAGCCTGGAAAAAGATTTATTGATTAAACTGCTAGACTGAGTACTGTGTTAAAGAAAACTATTTTAAATAAAGCTGGATGGGAAAGGTATTCGAAATGATTTTCCTTTAACGCTATATGGCCTTTTGTTTTGTCCCCATAAGTATATCCTGCGGCATATCTGCTAATATTAGGATGTTGACTTGATATTAAGGTTGCCACCTTTCTTAGAAAAAAAATGACCTGCCATGTTAATTTCCAAATTAATTATATATGCGTATCATCACAGGATTTGACATCACAGTATGTAAATCACAAGTAGTGACATATGAATAAAAAAAAAATCCACTTGGAAAGGGGAAAATTCTGACACACACACACACACACACACACACACACACTTTAAAGAAACACTATAGGCACCCAGAACACGTCATCTTATTGAAGTGGTCTAGTTGCAATGTCCTTGCACCTGTTAGTCCTGCAATATAAAACATTGCAGTTTTTGAGAAACTGCAATGTTTACATTGCAGTACTAAGACCGCCTAGTGGCTGTCTACCAGACAGCCACTAGAATCACTTCCTGGAGTTTCACAAGTTTGACATCCAGCATCAGAGGACATCCAGAGTCATAGAAAACCACATATGAAAGCATCGAGGCAATACCTTCATATAGGGAAGGTCTAATGTGTGTGCGGCGCTTAATGTTGGAGGAGGTGGACAGTGACCCGGATCCGAGGAATATCCGCACTGGACTTGGGTAAGTGAATAAAGATTGATTTAACCCTTTATGGTGGGAGCTGCGAGGGAAGGGGGGCAAGAGACCACTATAGAATTAGAAATACAGCGTTGTACTCCTAACACTATTGTTTGCCTTTAATTAATAAACCTCTATAGTTTATTCCCTAAACAAAAGAATTTTTGTGCAAAGAATTGAAAACAAAATTAAGTTAAGTCCTAAGGAGTGGATTTGGAAAAATTTCCAGTTCTGCAACAGTCCCAGTATGCCTATTTATGGCTTGAATTTTGCACTTTGTTTTTGATGTTGCATTTAAGCATGTAGGTGTGAATTGCATAAGGCATGTTATAGGCACACTACAGATGCATAAAGCAATTCAGCTTACTGAAGTGCTTTATGTGTATGGAGTTTGTCATTTAAAAAAAAAAAAATAAAGTTTAATAGAAATCAGCACTTTTACACGTGGAAGCCAAACACCCTTTAGCTGTCAGTCATAATGCTGGGAAGTTGACTTCCACTCCCCTTAAGTCGACAGAGCATGCCTGCCTTACTGACTTCTGCTTGCCTAACCCCCCAGTACTACAGCTACAGACAGCAAGCCAGCAGCTGTGCAGAAAAAAAAGATTTGTGTGTGTGTGGGGGTACATCTACTAAATAGTAGGGGGGAATCAACTCAGCTTTTCTTTAATTCAAAGGAATTTTAAAGGATGCACTTGCAATTAGTTTGGACATTTCATATCCAGGCCCAGATTACAGTCATCAGGCAGCATAAGGCTTTCAACAGAATCAGATCATTTTGCCCCATTCGATTCTGGGCCCTTTGGACTTTAGTGAATATACCCAATTATGCCCCATTGTGAATCAGTTAAATATATTATCTGTTACTCTCTCTGCTTCCAAGTATTTCTTGTTACATAAAAAAAATCCAAATTACATTAAAGCTAGGTTTTACACTAAACAAAGGGCAAAACAGCAATTTTATACAAAAAGTACTATTCACAAATTTAAATTATGTCAATGTCTGACTGACAGTCTATAGAGATATCCTTAATAATACATTTCTCACAAAAGGCGATTCTTTCATTTGCCAGGCTGCAATCATTTCTTTTACTATTAGTATTTTTTACATTTTTTCGCATTTCAGTTGACATTTCATGCATACAATAGTTTCTGGAATAACTATCTGGACAAACCAAAAGGCACAAAAATTAGCCAATCAGTGTATATTTTTTGCAGTACACTGACCATTTTCACACTATTTGGTTCACGGATCAAGTGATAGTAAGTAACCAACAGAGGGAAAAGAGGAGCAGCAGTAACATATGATATGTATATATTATATAAATATACATATGTATATTCCTAATGCCCTGATAGTTTGCCATCAATCATCTTTTCGTCTATCAGACATCTCTTTTGGCACAACAAACGGAATTCCAAATCACAAAACAAAAGATTGTTTCATGATTTCTCTATACAGTCGTGTGGAGTTTGGGACTTGAGACCAATCGTCGATTGCCCAAAATTCTGACAAATTGCACTCTGTCTAATACATAACTTTCTTAGTGCAAATAAAATGAGTTTGTGAAGTTGAAAATGGAGGGTTAAAAAAAACAAAAAACAACTTAGTAAGCAATTCACAAAACTGTCAGGGTTATTCAATAAACACTGGATTTTGTCCAGACAGACAAAATCCAGTGAAAATATCCGATTTCCGACTGGAATGGCAATTCTCATATTTACTACCAATTCAGAATTCAGTAGGTCCAACCGGTTTGCAAGAAGCAACTGGATATATTCTGTGCCCAGTTTAAAAGATTAAGTTTGTGTTCTAAAATAATGACATTTGGTCTACTGCTCCCTAGGTGTGATTGGCTTATGAGTAATGAACCAACTGAAGAGTATCTCCTGGAGTTCACTGGAAGAGGTTGAAACAGTGGGTTGTGGAAGCTTTGGAACAATCTACAAAGCAAAGCATAAAGAATGGCAGATACACGTGGCTGTGAAGAAACTAAATGGGTAGGTTTAACTCTGAAAGGGAAATAAATATCTTGGGTTACAGTTCATTAGTATGGGGAGACTAGAGAGTGTATATGTATGTACGCAGTGAAATCTTTATTAATTATATTTGGGAGTGCTAAATGTTTACAATTATTTTCCACATATTTTATTGTTGGACCAAGGCATACATGACCATTTGTGACATGTTTTTGATAGAAAAAGAAAGTAAGATATAATTAAAATTCGGCCGAATTTCGGGTAATTCGGACATTCGGGTGCTTCCGAATGTCCGAATAGCCGAATTGCCAAAGTGCCGAATTGCCGAAGTCCCAAATTTCCGAATTGCTGAAGTTCCGAAGTTGCCGAAGTTCTGAGGTGTCAAAGTGCCGAAGTTCCGAAGCACAGTATTGCCTAAGTACTAATATACTTACCCAGTGAAAGAAGAAGAATGTTACACTGTATACAATTTTAAATAAAAAGTATACAAACATAGCCAGGATTCAGCTGTAAGCAACACTTACAACAATCAAGTAACATAACATTCATATAAAATGTAAGTTACTTGGCCAGTCATGTAATGACAGGAATGAATAAGTAGATAACTCCCTAATTCCCAGGGTATTAGGGAGCTATCTACTAAAAGGCTGAAAGACCTGAATTGGTCTTTCAGCCAAATTTACTTAGACTAAGATTACTTAGTATTAGTAAATTATACCCCTACTTGCTATATCGCGAGTAGGGGCATGTCTATTAAACAGTAGCAGCCTGTGGTTGCTCACTGTTAAAAAAAAAAAGGTCCCTCTCCTGAGCCCCCACCCGCGACGTGCGAGTGGGGGCTTTTAAACTAAAGGGGGGAACTATTGCCCCCCTGCCCCCACCCCTGAGCGGCGGGTGGGGGCCCTAAACAAGAATAAGGGGGGACCTAATGTCCTCCTCCCTGGCCCCCACCCCTGAGCGGTGGGTGGAGGCTCTAAACTAGAATAAAGGGGAAGAGACCTAATGTCCTCCCCCCTGGCCCACACCCTTCAGCGGTGGGTGGGGGCCCTAAATACAAATTGGGGGGGACCTAATATCCTCCCCCCCTGGCCCCCACCCCTGAGCGGTGGAATGGGGCCCTAAATACAAATTGGGGGGGGACCAAATGTCCTCCCACCTGGCCCCCACCCCTGAGCGGAAGGTGGGGGCCCTAATTACAAATTGAACCCCCCTCCCCCCAGGTGACTAGGGATCCCCAAACCCTTAGTTACCCCCTCCCCAAAAACATAAACCCCTACCTACCCCCCTCACCCTAAAAATAATGAGGGGGGACCTTTAACTAAGTACCTATAAAAATAAAAATAAACTTACCATTCAATGTTTTCTTTCTTCTAAAATCTTATTTTTTCAGCCACAAAAAAGGCCAAATAAAAATCCATAATAACCGACGCAATAAAAAAAAAAAAACAAGCGCAAAAAAAAAAATCATCTTCACCCTGCGAGGGCTCTGCGCAGACTGAGCTCTGCAGGATGGGGGAAGGCTTATAAAGCCTTGCCCCGCCCTGCAATTAGGCTCAGAGCACTCTGATTGGTGGGTTTAAGCCAACCAATCAGAGTGCTCTGACAGGTAAATGAAGAGACTGACAGTTAAGTCTCTACATTTACCTGTCACAGCACTCTGATTGGTTGGTTTGAAATCCACCAATCAGAGTGCTCTGTGTCATTTTGCACAGCATGGGAAAGTTCTTTGGAATTTTCCCACGCTGTGTAATTTGACTCATAACTCTCTGATTGGTGGATTAAGTAACCAATCAGAGAGTTATGAGTCAAATTACACAGCGTGGGAAAATTCCAAAGAATCACTGCACAGGGGTAGGGGCCAGTGGCCAAATAAATTATGGTAGCACCTGGGTGTGCACACCTATACTGGATGCGCAGGACTCTTGTTTGTTTTTAGGTTGTATATACACTGTTGGGACTTCAGTGTGGAGTATCTGCAGCACAGGTCTAATTTTTCTTTGTTTATACTTTGAATTTTTTAGGCATTTTTTGCCTCTACCTCACCCTATATATAGTATATATATAACAAGTGAAAGAGAAGAAATGTATTGGGGAAAGATGCATGTGATCTCCAAAATGTTCCTACTCTGCAGTTCTGTCTAATATCAGTTTGTCACCTTCACAAAATCGCCATGTATAAGGTATCTTTCATAATAAAAAACTTTGATCTCATCACTCTTTTCCAGAGATGTGTCCCAGGGTCTGCAAGAACTTATTTCAGAGGCAAAAAAGATGAATCACGCTGCAGATAGTCCTCATGTTGTTCGTATGCATGGGATTTTGAAAGACAATACAGAGGTGGAGCAAGGCATTGTGATGCAATACATGGAGATGGGCAGCCTTTTCTCATTCCTTCAAAGACATAAAAATATTGATTGGGCATTAAAATTCAGACTAATTTATGAAACAGCACTGGGTATGAATTGGCTTCATAATCTTTCTCCCCCACTACTACACTTGGACCTTAAAACCAAGAATGTCCTTTTAGATGAAGACTTTCATGTAAAGGTGAGACACGTACACTCTTAGGGATGAAAGTTATAGCAATTTAAATTTAGTCCTCAAGAGGTTAAACAAAGGTTTAAGATTGTTCTTCCTAACGTGTAGCACATTCATCTACACTCATGATCACATTCAGTCGCATTACATTTGGTAGTTACGGTTTCCTAAATATACACATTCTTTTACAGAAATAGCACTTTTGCAGGCCGTGCTCCTATCAGAACACCTAATGACCTTAGATACTGCCTGTTGTGTGTTTTCTGAATTTTATAGTGTGGTTGCAGCTATGATCAACCACCATCTAGTGGATAAAAATGCTATTGCACCTGAAAAGAAAGCTTTTAGAACGTGTACCATTGCTCATTATTGAGCGGTATAACCTGAAAGAGGCCTATTTAAACCTATGCTTTACACGTTGTACTTTCATGGTGTTTCCTAACTAAGAATATTTCATTGTGTTCCTGTTAAATGCTTTTGCTAGGTTTGCCTTTTTTTTTTATTTATTTTTGTGATCATGCCTGGTCATAGCTGAATTAGAGAATTTTTCCCGGTTCGGCTGTTCCCTGTAAATTTAAAATTTACTTGGAATTCTCACTTTAGTGGATAATCCTGATGAAGTACTTCAGTTTGCTGAAGTTTGTTATGAATGAAGTGTGTCCTCAAAAGAAATGATTACTTTTATAAATTAATTTTATTACACGTGCCCGGTGGTAAAACAGAGACTGTCAAACAGGGACTGGTTGTAACTCAAGCAAAGACAATTGACCAGTGCACCAACCTTGCAAAGGCTTCTCAATAAACTGTAATAGGGAAAGGAAGGGTGAGGAAAAATGTCACATATCCCAAAGAAGGCATGACAAACATATTACATGGATATTTTCTTTGTGGGTTGGTATAAGTAGCGTTCCTTTAAAGAAACACTATAGCATTTGAAATAAAAGCATGTTTTCCTAACATTATAGTTTTCCTCTACCTACAGGTAGCCATGTACCTCACCCACAGTGTTAGGATTTAAAAGGTGAGTTTAATGACCTTACATCCCATGGCAACAAATTTTCAGTTGCAGGGTAAAGCAGACAGGGACATGGCATCCAGAACACTTCCTTGAGATGAAGTGGTCTGGGTACCTATATTGTCCCTTTAAATCAAAATGTCCCTATAGTGTCCCCTGTCAGTATTAATGCCATACAATATTTGGCATATAGTGTGTTTTTGCATCACATTCTGTTGATGTATATGCATTGAAATGCACTTGTCTCTGTTTAGGGGAATGCATTTTTGGCAGACCTAGTTGTTAACCAACTAAGTTTATCATGTTATCATCAATACTACTGGTGTATTATGTATTTCATCCATAAATCTATGCTTTCATGGTCCATGCGCTGCTAATTGTATTAAAAAGTAATGATTAAGATATTGAGAATGATTAGCATTTCTGTCATTTTAGATCTCAGACTTTGGTCTATCTAACTATTCCCCTAACTGTGGGAAGGATGTTGGTGGAACCCTGGCATATATGCCTCCCGAGGCACTTAGCTCTAACAGTGGCTACAAGCCAGACAAATCCTTTGATGTTTACAGGTACTTATTTTATTTTAACTTATTTTTTTCTTTCATTTGCAACTATAAAGGTGACTTCTTCACACTAATAGTTTTTAGATATGATTTTATCAGTATTAGTTTTTTTTCTTATAAATCATTATTTCGATTTTTCCATTATGCACATAGCAAATATCACATAATTTCTTAAATCACGAGTTTGCACATTTCTGATTAAAACAGATGTGAAACATATTTTACAGAATGGTTTCTTTGTTTTTGTTTATCCTAGTTTGCGTTTTTACAAAGATAACAGTATTTTTTTATGACATACAAATATAGCATTCATACAACATTCATACTGGACTCAAATGTTAATTAAATCTAAATTTATAGGCAATGTTATATAAATCAGGTATAGAAAATTAAGTCCTGTTAGAAAGTCTACGCACCCATGGAGCCCCATTTTAAAAAAAATAGTTTTCACAATTGGGCAAAGGAGATAAAATATCCCTCTTCCATATTGTACTGGTGCTCAATTTGATTGATTATAGCGATCCAATGTACTTCCGAGGGAGATTTCGAGTTTCAAAGCAAATTTTTACAGCAAATCGAATGGGAATATTATGGTATTTAGTATATAAAGGAAGCTCCACATTTAATATAAAGGTTTGAGGAGGGATATAATTAATGGAAAAAACATTATTCAACAATGCTATAAGATATTCTTTTAATTTATTGAGTAATATGCATTCCCACCGTATGTGATATTTATGACACTTCACTATATGGCATCTCCAACATTTATCTGAGTATGATATTGATATTTTATATAGTTTTGTTGGGACCATAAACCAGTGGTATTTCAACTTGTAAAATGTTTCAATCAGGGTAATAGCATTTGTAATTATGTATATAGTTTCATACCATTCATCAATTGGAAAACTTATACCTATTTTGTTAAGAATTTTAAAAATATTTTAGAGATCTGTCTATTGCATATAGCACATAGATTTGATGTGATTCTAAAATCTGTTTTAAATGATATCGTTTTTCACTCTCAGCTAAGTGAATAATTCCCTAGGAGGTAAACTAAATTTTTGTTGGACAGAGATAAAAGTTAGTATATTACCATATTCCCAGATATCAGATAAGGTGCAAATTCCACAGATTGACAGGTTTAATACGTTTAGATCATTTATATAATATTTAAATATTTCAATCAGAGTATTAATTAATAAACAATCCATACATTTGAATTATTTCTTTAAGTTTTTAAGAGTAAGCAAGATATTATGAATTATTAGATTATTAGATTTAATAGATGAAACTTTTAACATTTAAATCCAAAATATATTTGAAAGGCTAAGAGGATAAAGATCCACTCTTTCAATCTCAAACCAAGATGTGCTAAAGGTTTTTTTATTTACCCATTGCAATGCGTGGAATATCATACTAGAGTTATACAATTTCATAATATCTGGGTATGCTACACCTACATATTTCTTATTTTTTAAGGATGGTCTGTGCTGTCCTGGGTCTACTGTCCTGCCAAATATATGAGTAAAAGCTTCTTTGAAATTGAAATAGAATCTTAGAATTAACTCTTAAAAGAATAACCTTAAAGAGTTATATTTTCTTAGGGACTATATATGTTAAAGGGATTCTACAGTGCCAGGAAAATATAGCCATTTTCCTGGCAGTATAGAATCCTACAGTGCCCCCCTTCCTCCCGCGGCACTGAAGGTGTTAAAACCCCTTCAATCACTTTTCTGAATCCAGTGCTGATGTCCCTCGGCGCTGGGACAGGCTCTTCCCACGCTCTTACCCCGCTGACGTCAGCCGGCGGGGGAGACCTAATGCTTTCCAATGGGGAAAAATATGACACTGGCAGAGCATAAGGACGTCCAGCAACAGATACCGGACCAAAGGTCCATTTCAATTCAGAAAGTCCCTCTAGTGGATGTCTGGTAGACAGAAAACAAAAGGAAATCAGCGCTAATTAACAAACAATTTGTAGATAGTCAGCAACCCAAACGAAGGAGACCCCTCAAATCCTTCAATAGATGAGACAATACAAAGCAAAAAATAACGTAAAATAGTCCAAAAGATTCTCACTAGAGCAACAATGCTTGATGGGATATAGAAGAGTAGTTGCTTCAGTAGGGGTGCGTCCTAGTGTCTCAGGGTATTTGCATATGTGAAAGACAGAGATACAGGAACAACCAGTAGTGCGATACGTTTAAAATCCAAAGGGTAAAATAGTAGTAGAAGGTAGAAAACTCACATTTAAAAGAGCTATGGCCAGCTCTGGTGTGAAGAGCCTACAACGGTATAATCCCCGCTGCTGGGATGTGTAAAGTAAATGCGTCTATCAGCGCTGTCTGGTCATCCGAAGCTCCAGGGGAAATAAAAAGAGGCGACAATAGTGCTCTCAATTTGATAAAAGTAAGTAAAAGTAACCAGAATAATACTTACAGGTATAGAGCAGAAAATAATGCTCTTTTAATAAAGAGTTGCTGGTATGATCCCCACCTGGGATTTCTTTAAGTGCAGGAACAATAATAAAAAGCCAGGAAAGTAAAAATAGTAGAAGTGCATAAAAATACAATAAAAAGAGAATTGGCACAGTAAAGTAACCAAAAACCTTTAATTGATCTAAAATACACAATTTAAAATAGCCATTACGCGTTTCACCAAAAAGGCTTTCTCAAATGGCATAAAAAGCTACATTTTAAGCCATTTGAGAAAGCCTTTTTGGTGAAACGGGTAATGGTTATTTTAAATTGTGTACTTTAGATCAATTAAAGGAATTGTTGTCCAACCTTACATTCCAATATCCACATTCAGTGGTGAATGGATAATACTGGATTTGGAAACCACTCATGGTAATTTCCCATTCTAAGGCGAGATACAACAGGGACACAGAAGCCTCACAGACAAGTCCAGCACAACTGTGAGGCAGTCCAGGCGCCCACATTAGGACATCACCGGAGGGAGCACGAAAAGCACCCTGTGTTGTTGGGGCTTCCAATAACTCTGAGTAGGCATCTGACTACCCAGCACAGCTGCTGTGCAACCAGAGCACAGTGATCCCAGTAGCCAATTCTAGCCACCAGGGTTAGTGTTGGGTACCTCTAGTACTTTCTTATCCTATATAAATGTTAAACATGTTGCTCTGATTGCTTTTATATTAAAGTAATAAATGGAGACACATTGTAAATGTATTACATTTTTAATCTATTGAGAAAGCCACCTAGAAAATAAATTGTTGCAATCTCACAGACACACTTGTACATGAGATCATTACTGTGGCATTGTTCTCTTTTTTGCTCCCTCGCCCATCCCTCTATCTTTTCTTTATTTCCTCTTTCTTTCTTCCATGAAAATATGCTTTAAAAATGTTATTCAAAGAGATTTTGCTATCCTACGTATGTGCAGTTCACAAACACTACCTTGGACTACTGTCTACGCTGCTATGTAATCTTCTTTTAAATTACAATTTATACAAAAATTGAGAGTGGTACTGCTTATATCATGCATGCATTTTTCATTAAAGTAATATTTACACTCAAGAAAAGTTTTGGAACCTCTGGTTCAGACCACAGATGCCCTCACAGAGTCCGATTAAGATTGCCCAAGGCCCTAGGCAAGAATGGAGCCCCCTCAGAGCCATGGGCTCTGTTTCTGTGAGTGTCATGAGTCTAAGTGTGTGTGTGTGTTTAGTTTTTAATTTACCCCTCCTGCTTACCTTTTGGTGCTTTGGTGTAATCCCCATGGTTCTGTGGAGCCATGGTGTGGAGCTGGATCCCTGGTGGTCTTCACCAGTATTGGGTAAAGATCAGCTCTGACTCACTGAGAAGCAACAGGAGACCGCGAGAGAGCTCTTAACGTGATCTGCACCCAATAGAGGTGCAGACCAGAATGCGCCTTTAACAAAGTGAGGGGGCATAGGGCTGAGCAGGGAGAGCTTTTGATCTCAAGAAGGTCCTCCTCACATCTAGAGTTCCAAATCCTTTCTGAGCCCAGGCCTCTTAGAGGCAAGCTATGTACCCTCAGTAGGCCTGTCTCCTAAAGACATGGCCAAAACAGAAAGTCTTAAAAATGGTTTTAAAAAAAAAAGTATACCAGTCAATACAGTATGGAATAAGTTTTCAGGGTCTACAAATTGTAATATCTAACGATTTTAGACAAGGCTCCATTCCTAACATGCATGCACAGAAGGTTGTTTACAAAGGCAAACCGTTATCGAAAAAGTAGCTAGCACAGATACTAATGGGAAGCTAAACATGGACTCTTTTCTGTGAGTGGCAATTTACTCATACCTACACTTGTAGATCAACAAAGATAAGAGAAATAGAGTTGCTTTAATAATCAGAATCTCTATTTAAAAGGAAAAACTGTGACTAATCTAAAACCTTCACTCACATTTGCTGTATAATTTTATTTAGTTCTTGGTTTTTATCTGCTTCTTTTACCATAAACACTGAGGCTTCTTGTATTGGTTATGGTGCAACAATTTCCCTGGCCTATTCTCCTTTTACTTATTGAGAGAGAGCTGGTACAGCAGCCACACACAAGCAGTTATGGGTGCATTCATTCATACAAAATCTATTTTTCAAGAATTATTACCTAGCAGTAAAGTTAATAATAAAGATTCGGTAATATGGAAAAATGTAAGGTGCTGGTTGAAATTGAATATTAAATATACACTTATTCCATTTCCGAGCTTGATTACTCCAATTTCATGGCTGCAGAAAATGTTCCCTTCTCCTCTACTTGAGGTGTTATTACAAGAGGGCTGTAAATATCTTGGTGACCTATATGTTAATAATAACTTTGTACAATTTGACTATCTACAGAGTAATTATAAAATCGCATCCAGATTATGGCTGGACTATAATAGTCTGAGAACTAGAATTATATTCTCTAGATTCCATTTGAAAGGGACTAGACAAATGACAGCATGTGAAAAGTTAATATGTTCAACAAATAAATCTCATCTGATATCAAAATGCTTTAGCCTAATAAGAGAAAGGGATCAGGATTCTAAACCTTTAAATATAAGATTATGGGAAGAAGAGTTAGATCAATCTTGGCCAATGGAAACCTGGCTGGGAGCAGCTTCAATAACAAATAACTTAATCAAGTATGCAACATACAGGGAGACCCATTTTAAAATATGGAACAGATGGTATTTAACTCCGATCAAGTTATGGAAAATAAAAAAAAGACAATATGCATAGGTATTGCTGGAGAGGCTGTAAACAGACCGGTTCAGATCTACATATGTGGTGGTCTTGCCCGCTTATCCAAATTTATTGGAAGGAGTTTGGGGCTTGGATATCTCGAATAGTAGGGGAAAAGATTAAAATGGGTCCAGAATTAGTGCTGTTTCATTTTCTTCCTAATAACATTACAAAGGAAGTAAAAAGCTTCATCCCTTAATTATAGCCAAATGGCTCATAGCACTAAATTGGAAGGGAGAAAGGATGCCGCTCTGGTCGGACATTGGAATTGTCATGCAGAGAAATAGAGCATTAAAGTTGAATGACAGATATGTAGGTTCATATTATGTCCCGAAGTATAGATGGTTGGATTGGGATAATTATCTTTTGAACCCTGGTCATAGAGTCTCATAGAGACTGTGAAAGGTTGTTTACAAAGGCAAACAGTTATCAAAAAGGTAGCCAGCACAGATACTAATGGGAGGCTAAACAGGGACCCTTTTCTGAGTGGCAATTTACTCATATCTACACTTGTAGATCAACTAAGATAAGAAAAATAGAGTTGCTTTAATAATCAGAATCCCTATTTAAAAGGAAAAACTGTGGCTAATATAAAACCCTCGCTCACATGTGCTGTATAATTTTATTTAGTTCTTGGTTTTTATCGGCTTATTTTACCATAAACACTGAGGCTTTTTGTATTGGTTATGATGCAACAATATCCCTGGCCTAGTCTTCTTTTACTTGTTGTGAGAGAGCTGGTACAGCAGCCATACACGAGCAGCTATGGGTGCATTCATTCATACAAAATATGAATTACTCTACTTGGCAATCTAAAAGACTATAAACAGAAGTTGCTGTTTACTTGCTGAGTTGTTCCATTCATTTATTTGACCACTGCAATTCAGCACACAGAAACCTTAACGGTACTAGAAAAAAACTAAGACTAAACTACTTAATTTAAGTGGCACTAAAAACTATTTAAAATTTTGCAAAACGGCAGTTATAGTTTATCACAACTTAATTCAGAACTAAAACACATATCTATAATAAAATAGAAATTGAGAAACACAAATATACCCATTAAGTAGACTCTGGCCATTATAAATGTAATGTTTACTATTAGAGGCTGTAATCAAAGAGAATGGGACTTCTCCTTGCTGGATAGTATAAAACAGATACAATTCTGTTAAAAAATATACTATATAGTATAATACATGAAACAGTGTGGCAAACAAATCATACCAAAATTATACAAAATATGCAAAACACAATAGTGTGCTCAGAGGTAGATTAACCACCAAGAAAGTCAATAAAAACAGCTGCTGCCAGTCAACTATTGTTGAAAAAATCCTTCACCATCGTGAACATACAATGTCTCAATGTACTACGTTGTCTACAGAGATATATCCAAAATTCAGGGTTCATAAAGATCTTATAGCATGTACCTAATATACTTTATAGTAAAGTACCATTTTTTTAAATGGGCAAAACCAATGGGTACCAAGCTTTATTATAATGGTGCCTACTAAACTGAAGACGGAAGACATATGCATATATGTATATCAAATCTTAAGGTATCAGAAATGTGATAAAAAAGATTATCAACCATACAAGATGACACTTCCTAGTGGCTATGAGCGTATCAACTAAACTTAATCCAATAATACATGAAACAATTGCAATTCCAATTGCGGCCTGTGTTCCGGTTTAATACGGCAAAATCTATATGTTGTGGCCCCCAGTGAATCCTCGAGCGCCGCTGAGGACGTGCTGTCCCACTGAGTTTAAAGATCCAGAGATTCTTTGGATCTTTGAACGCCACAGGACTGCATGTCCTCAATATGCGTTCTTGCGATCTCTTGGTCTCGCGGGATCTCGTCGATGTCACGGGACTGCATGTCCTCAGTCTGCATTCTTGCGATCTCTTGGTCTTGTGGGATCTCGTCGACGTCGATGGATTTGGCACGTTCCTTCTCCCTGTTGGGACAGAAAGATCTGGGAAAGATTCTACAGTAGTAGAATAAAGAGAAAAGGAATAAAGAGAGAAAGAATAAAGAGAAGGAATAAAGAGAGATAGAATAAAGAGAGGAGGGACAGAATACTGAGATTTGAGACAGAATAAAGAGAGAAGACACAGAATAAAGAGAGAAGGTACACATATTTACATTAGACTTGTCTCCCAAGGGAGACTTAGCTGACTCAGCCATGGCTTGTGTCCTTGCGCCAGTGTCTCTCATGGGTCACCGGTTCAGAGTATGAGTCCTGTTCGCCCTTCTAGCTATCGTGGCTGGCTGCTGCCGTGACTGTATACCAGTCTCTTGGGAGCGCCGTGAGGCCCTGGCACACTTGTCCCGGCAAGGTGAAATCCGATGGAGGAGTGATGGAGAGGTTTCTAAGAAACTTAGTTGGGTCATTGCCCAGCGAGCAGGTGTATGTTCTTCCAGCTTTGAAGGCCACCACCTTGAAAGGATGCACCCAGGTGAAGCGGATCTCATGTTGTTGAAGCAGGTCTGCCAGTGGCATCTAGTTGCATCGCCTATGGAGCGTGATAGATCCTGGAAGAGGGAGAGGGCCTAACCCTGGTAGGTGAGCTTGTGGCTTCTGTTGTACCTTAATATGGCTCTATTTATTGCCCACCACTCTTTTTGGGATATCAGGCAGTAGTTTTTGGAAGTTGGCCTGTATTTTTTGTATTAGGGGGCCCTCGTTCGGGGTCTCCGGCAGTCCCCTTATGCATAAGTTATTCCATCTTGAGCAATTAGAGAGGTCCTCTACTTGCATCTCCAGGCTAGTGAGTTGTTGTTCCATGGAGGTGGAGTTCTGAACCATGGAGTTGTGTGCCTGCACCACTGCTTCGACCCGTTGCTCTAGGTCTGATGTGCGTGCCCCAAGGGCCTGGATTTCGGCCTTAACCTCTTGTGAGCTGCGGGTAATTTCACCTGCCAGGAATGACCAGACCTCTGCCAGCTTCTACAGGATTTTTGCATTGTTGCCAGGCTGTGTGGCCGAAGACTGGGAGCCACGTGAGCCCGCCCAGCGGCCATATTGTGCCACCTGAGAGGATTGCGAGGCCGCGAACATGTCGGCCACTGTGGAAGATGGATCCTGTATCTCCCCTTGCTTCTTTCGGCGCAGTGTGGCTCCAGGTCCTATTTGGGACATCTGGGGGTGAGCTTGGAGTTGTGATGCTGCTTACAGGTGCGGGATTGCGGGTGGATGCGCGGGAGCACTCAAGTTACGCTGCCATTTGAGTTGGCTGCCAGACCGCACCCCCCTTTGCATTTAATTTTAATGGTTCAACGAATGTCAGGCAAAATGGTTTTCAATCTTTTCATTCATCCAGCAATAAAGTCCTATTAATCCAGTGAGTCCAAACAGGGCTGCAGCTTGAATCCTCCCGATCCCAAGCCCGAGTGCGCTCCCTGAAAATGTGCCATTATTATTAGCCCCGAGTCCCCTGTTCTGTGCCAGGATAGAGCAAGACACTAGGGGCTAATAATAAACCTTACATGCTCCCCCTTACTGCAGTGTGGCCATGCAGCAGCACCTTCTGTCAGACCAGTTTCAGGCTCAGGGATATTGCTGGAAGTTTTGTGGAGGGGGTGGGACATAACTCACATCATAACCCTGCTTCATACACACCGTGGCTATAAACAGTGTTGAGGGTGGGTTATCCTGTGCCAGGTCACTGAGAGCATTGCCATGGGTTATTGCTGTCATACATGTCTGGGTGCCGGCCAAAAGGAGCTGTCTGCCCTCGCCGAGGGTTTAGATAACCTGCATTTTCCACCGAACTTATCCCCCACTAGAGTTCCTACTACTGCCCTTAACTCCCACTTCAGCCTCTAGCCCCCACCCCCTACCCCAATAGCTATATTGGGCTGAGGGGCAACTAACTTGAATCTCCTTTTCCATTTTGCGCCTGGACACCACCCAATAAAAAAAAGTAACAAAAAACTCTTTCAAAAAAGGGGTTAGCACTAGTGACAGAGAATATCTGCAAGCAGACAAGGAATAAACATAGACAAGCTGAGGTCATAGGTTTCCTAAAAATTGGAATAACGAGTACAAAGCCAAGGTCAGCATAACAGAATACAAGAAATGTCAAACAAGCCAGAGTCGGCCAGATGTACTTTCAGGTAATCAAAAACCACTTAAGGGCAAGAAAAGAAGGACAATTAGGAATCATATATATATCCTGTACTGGGTTGTGATTATGATTTTGATGATGTCACAAGCATATACACATCATCAGAAAGCGCCACATCGACTGACAATATAAAAGGAGACAAATGGAAAGGATCCATGCTATAAATTACATTAGAATGAGGCAGCAGTAAGCTAGGTATGAGTGGGTACAGCTTATCAGAGCACTCTGATTGGTTGACTTACAAGCCTGACTAAGATTCCATAGACTTTTTCTCACCATGCAACTTCAGTCTGAGCAGTACATTTTATCAGCTAACATGGATTTATTTTTAAGTCTCCATGCAGCTCTCAAAATAAAAATAAAAAGTAAGAGAAAAATAAAAGCCCATTGATAGCTCTGTGCAGACTGAGGTTGGATGGCAGGAAAAAATATTGCAGTCTCAGTCAAAGTACTCTAATTGGTTAATTTATAAGCCAACTAATCTGAGCACTCTGACAAGCAAGTTTCATTTCTCTGTAGATGATGGGCTAACATGGATTTTGTTTTCAGGCATCACTGTCTTTTTTTTCTTTAAAGGACCACTATAGGCACCCAGACCACTTCAGCTTAATGAAGTGATCTGGGTGCCAGGTCCATCTAGGGTTAATCCTGCCTGCTGTAAACAGTTTACAAATGGGTTAACCCAGCCTCTAGTGGCTGCCTCACTGACAGCCGCTAGAGGCGCTTCCACGCTTCTCACTGTGAAAATCACAGTGAGAAGACGCTGACGTCCATAGGAAAGCATTGAGAATGCTTTCCTATGGACTGACTGAATGCGCGCGCGGCTCTTGCTGCGCATGTGCATTCAGCCGATGACGGAGGAAGACGGAGGAGAGTCCCCAGCGAAAAAGGTAATACTCACTAGTATTAGGGTAAGGAAGGCAGGTTTTTTTTTATTGGAGGGTTGGATAAGGGTCTTTGGGACCCATAGCCACATTGAAGAAACATATACACACAACTTTGGTGGGTGGATATGCCATTGTATATTTAAATTTCATCTAGATATAATTATAAACCCCACATGCTGTTAATTGGTGAGGGCAGGGGAAAACCTTCTGTTATTGTTAATATGTTATGGTTATTATTCATTTATTAGCACAACTTATGGTTGGGGGCCATTAGATAGGCCATGGGGGGCTGTGCTTTAATAGCAACTTAGTAACAATAGTCTTTTATTACAGTGTGCAGGGTTAGTCTAGTTAGGCTGATAAATATGCATATAAAGCAAATGATTTGGTGGTTGGTTTTCAAAAACTGCAGAAAGCTTTAAATCAATCTGATATTGGATTAAAAAAATAATCCAGAAACAGTCAATATTTATCAACTGTTTCTGACAAAATAATAAACCAAGGACTTAGTCTTAGACGAGTTGAAAATAAGTCTATATGACTAGGATATTCTCCCTAAATTCATCATGATTTTGTCTATTTCTTTCAGTTTTGGCATCTTGACCTCTGTGGTGCTGACAGGAAATGAACCATATCCTGGTATGTTACATTTGTAGAAGACATTGGATTTAGGAAGGTGATTAATGAGTGTGTGTGTGTCCTACCAGTAAGCCAATATTGTTAATCTATGTATCTATTATAAAATGCATTACTATTCCATGTGAAAACAAAGTTTTGCAGACTTGGTGTGGGTAGAATCTTAAGGGGACACTATAGGCACCAAAACAACTTTAGCTCAAGGAAGCAGTTATGGTGTACAGATCATGCCCCTGCAGTCTCACTGCTCAATTCTCTAGGAGTTAAATCACTTTATGCAGCCAAAGTCATACCTCCATGCATGTGACTTCCCATCCTTCCTAAACACTTCCTGTAAAGAGTCATCTAATGTTTAAACTTCCTTTATTGCACATTCTGTTTAATTTAGAATTTTTTATCTCCTGCTCTGTTAATAGCTTGTTGGAGCCTGTGAGTGATTAAAGTTCAATTTAAAGCGCAGAAGATAAACACTTCTAAAGCATGTTAAAATCTGATTGAAAATTAAACCAATTTTTCATGCAGGCAGCATGAGTCAGAGCCAGGGGAGGTGTTTCTAGGGCTGCATGGACAGAAACAAAACTGATTAAGTGGTGAGACTACAGGAGCATGATCTATACACCAAAACTGCCTCATTAAATTAAACATTTAATTAAATTAAAGTGTAATACTTATAGTGTCCCCTTAAGCTATAATATATGACCAGGCTCTCAGTATACACTAGGATTGAGTTACAAGCCAAACATCTGGGTATCGCTTCTTTAAATATTGCAAAAATTGAAAACACAGTGCAGCAATAATGAATACATTCTACTGTATCAAAGTATACAAATTATACCATTCAAAATCTCCTTGTTCTACTCTTGTGCATTGCATAGAGAATCAAGAAAAGCTTTCAAAAATAAATCATCTAAATTCAGGCAATTACTGCTCTAAAACCCTAGTCAGCTTTTTTCCCCCCAAGTGTAGCATCCTTTTAAAACCTGCAGTAGTAGCATGTAATGTACTTACATGCTAAAACCCATTGAATTTGTGAGGTTTAATTTTTTTATAATTACTGAAAATAAAATATTGCACGATTGTCATTGTTAGTTACTAAACTAATAATTCAAAGTGAATTTCAAGAGAGAACAGAATGAAGTGTATCTAATACATGATGCAAAATATGAGCATCACCAAAATTAAAAATAGCCAACAAATAGCCTACTATAGAGGCCAGATAAAGCCACTGAACACAAAAATAATAAAAATGTATTAAGCAAAACAGATATGTGACCCAAACGTGCTACCAAATAGACACCAAAAAATCTAAAATGGTTGCTAGACAGATCTATAGAGAAAAATATAAATCGTCTAGATAGGATAAAAAAGATATATAATTGCAGATCAAAATGTGAGAGTCATTCCTGTCAGTCGTGGCTGGTAATGTGCCAGACTAAAGAAGCAGAGTGCCAATCCAATGGATCGGTCAATAAATAAAGTCTGGTACTTTAAATCTCCATAATATAATGATGGACCATATATATCCTATCCAAAATTATATATATATATATATGAATCAGTATGGAGAATAATTATCCATGGTGATAAATAGTATACCACACTAAAAAATCTATCTGATGATAAATAGATCGATTATAAGGTCTATTCTGCTAGTGAGCTGGGTGAACAGAATATATATGTAAATACACCACAGCCTAAGTAAACTAAACTGACAGTAAAGCAATCATAGAGACATCTAGGAGGAACGGGATAGAGGAGAGAAACACATTTATATAAGGTTGCAATAAACGGTGCTACAAAGTATCTGTTAGGTAGCACACAATGTGTATAGAGAGCTATTAACAATATGATACCCGCTATAAGTATGTGACCCGTGCCTTCGAGGGCACCTAGCTCCAACCCCCCCAGATATCCGATAGATAACAAGATCTAAAAGAAAGTGAAATCTGCAAAACTAAATGAAAATAATAAATTTAGAATATGAACAGCGCGGTCGCCAGTCTGTGTGCTGCACTAAGGATCCAACACGTGCAGCACACCACAGTCCTCTGACGCGCGCGTTTCGCTGCACCTAGCTCGTCAGAGAGGAAACGAGAGGTGTGTTAGCACCGGGTTTAAAAATACAAAGAAATCACCTGATTGGTCCGGACGGGCAATTCCTAATTGGTTAGATAGAATGACGTAACGGAGGACATTACCGAAGATGAAATGGTCTTTCCTAATCCAATAATTAACCCGTTCAGGGTCAGATTAAAGAATACAAAACTGGGCAATGTATAATACTGGCTAGGTCACTACACGAAATATAATAATGGTGAGAACAAGTTTGCAAATGCCATATTGGCTTACAAAATGTTTAAGTGTATTTTAAAAGATAAAAAAGGGGGAAAGATGAAAATAGAAAACCCATAGTTAAATCTAAAGACAATCAAATTATAATTTTAACGAATAAACATCATACCAAGTAATGGTCAAATGATGTAGATGTAATCCCTTAGGCTAGTATTATAGGGAATAGTACATAATAGAAGATGATTACAGTATATACTCGAGTATAAGTCTAGTTTTTCAGCACATTTTTTGTGCTTAAAAACACCCACTCGACTTATACTCGAGTCACTGTCTGTATTATGGCAACTTAGAGAGCCGCGGCCGTCAGAGCCGTGGCAACGATGCGCGCGACAACCAGACCGCGAGACTTACAGTGGAGCTGACCAGAACGGAGGAGAAGGGAGCTGACAGGAGCTGCAGGAAAGGTAAGTAAATGCTTCCTGCTGGCCCCCCCACTTCACAGCCCATGCCACTGGACCACCAGGGATTAAGATAGCCCCCCTCCCTGACTGGTTAACAAGCAGGGAGGGGGGACAATTTTTTTTTAAAATAATTAAAAAAAATATTAAATTTAAAAAAAATAAAAATAAAAATGCCCTCCCCCCATCCAGTTCACACACACTACACAAACACACACTCTTCATTATATACACACTCTGCATTATATACACAGAGTCTGTGTATATAATGCAGAGTGTGTGTTTGTATGAGTGTGTGTGTTTGTATGAGTGTGTGTGTATATAATGCAGAGTGTGTGTTTGTATGAGTGTGTGTGTATATAATTATGAAAATCACAGAATTTCATAGCCCCAAGTTTTACCCTCGACTTATCCACGAGGCATAGCATATTTCACAATTGTTGGTCACAAAACTGCACTCGACTTATACATGAGATCGACTTATACACGAGTATATACGGTAATCATGTCTGGAGCATGATAGCTCCTATTGATCATAGATATAACAGAGAAAAGAAGGTAACAAGTTCAGAAAATAAGTCTTCAATGAAGACTTAGCTACATAGATGGATCACCTATGTAATAGACATTAGATAAGTGATAATTAGAAATTGTATGTCTAAATAAGACATTAATCAATGATTGGTTTACTGTCTCTAGGAACCCATTCAAAGTCCGATTGGACATGGATTACTCATAATGGCTATGGAAATTATATATATAGATTAGATAATCCAATTAATCTTAAATTCTTAATGTATGAAGGGGGTAAAATTGAATTCCTCATTGAGACCATCTGGTGACAATGTCTTTAGGATATATATCCATCTGGACTCCTTCATGAGTAATATTTTATTGAAGTTGCCCTTTCGCGTGTTCAGAGTATTTTTTTCCAAAGCCTGAAAGGTTAATTTCGTGGGGTCTGCCTCATGATAATTACGGACATGATTAGCTATTGGAGTTGAGATGTTCAAATTGGTAATTGAGCATAGATATATTACCCGTGTTGAACTGCAATTGATAAATTCTTTAACTGTGTATTCATTTTTAGTCTTAAAACTTTTGACAGTTTTAGTTGGTTTAATAAACTGGCAAGCTTTGCAGTGCCCACATCGAAATACTCCAGTGGTTTGTTTTAGCCAAGTAGATTGTGGTGACTTAATGGGTTCTATATGACTGTGAACAAGAATATCTTTCAAATTTCTTGCTCTGCGAGCAGTCATCTGAGGAAATTTCTCAATACTATCACATAAATCCAAGTCATGTTGCAGAATGGGCCAATTGCGAGACATGATTTCTCGTATCTTGTCCCAATAGGGATCATATGTGCCAATGCACCGAGTTTTTTTTGTTTCGGTCGTAGATCTAGTATTTCTCAAGCTATCACTCCGGTTGATAGACAGAGCTCGTTGATAGGCTCATTTAAGGACCCTATTAGGATAGCCCTTCTGTTTGAACATTAATCTCAATTTCTTAGCTTCTAATTGAAAGGTTACTTCGTTAGAACAATTCCGTCTTGCGCGTAAATATTGGCCATATGGTATCCCAGATTTTAATTTAATTGGATGGAAACTTTTTTCTCTTTTCTAAAGAGTATGGTTTCAATTTTGCCATCCTCCTGTATCTGAATATCTAGATCCAGAAAAACCAGATGTTCTGGATCTATCACGTAAGTGAGTTGAAGGCCTATTTCGTTGGTGTTCAATAGGTACACTAGATCCTGGAATTGTTTAATCGACCCCAACCAAAAGACCAGTATGTCATCAATATATCTATGCCAACTATAGATATATGTGTCATACTGGTCCTTGGTGATAACTGGTAAAATGGTCTCTTCCCACCAACCTAGATATAGGTTGGCATAGCTAGGGGCACAAGCCGTGCCCATAGCTGTACCCTTCAACTGTAGATAATATTGACCGTTAAATACAAAAAAATTATGAGTGAGGATGTATTCTAGTAATTTGATAATAAAATTACTCTGTACCGATGTAAACTCCGATGATTTGTTCAGAAAATAGGTGGTGGCTTGTATACCCATAGTATGAGGAATATTATTGTAAAGAGCAACAACATCCAGACTGCCCAGTAGGCAGTATGGAGGTACCTCTAGATTTTTCAATAGTATCAATGTCTGTTTTGTGTCCTGCAGGTATGACTTCAAATTGACCACTAAGTCTTGTAGGGCGTTCCCGTTATGCAGTGGTTCGTACCAACCAAATGCCAAATGTGAACCCAACCCGGCATGAGCACCCAAGTTTCCATGATGCACATGGGGAGCAAATGATAGCCTATCTGACCAGAACAGCTACTGTAGCTCAAATTGCTGAAAAACATAATGCTGGCCAAGATAGAAAGGTGTTGAGCAAGCGCACCATTAGACGCATTTATGCCAAGCTCAGGGTACTGTCTGCATGGCATGCCCTTTGTTGGCCAGCCTGCATGATTGTCAGGCAGCCTGTCATGCATTTATACCAGGGTGATCTTCTAATTCTTCAGGCAGACACGCCCCCTTTTTGGGCATGTTCGCCCCTTTGGGCGGGTCTGGTTACATGACTCGCGTCAGTGTCCCACCCTTTTTTTCGCCAACCACCAACATTCTGCTTCACCAGACCTGCTGTTAGGGGGAATGGATTTACTTGAAAGATGAAAGCGAGAGATTAGCATAGCATATATCCTGTGAGATTTCCTTCAGCACCACTACTGCCAGATTCATGACGCATGGGAGGTATAACTATTCATTGTTTTCTGTCAATAAGATTTTGTAATTGTAATAATTGTCAGCACCAGGCACAATGGGCTCTTAATCTGGCCCTGGTTATCCCTTATGTATAGAAAACATTCTGTCAAACCCTTATTAACCCCTTAAGGACCGAGGACGGTTCAGGACCGTCATCGGCATTTTTGCCTTGCCGACCGATGACGGTCCTGAACCGTCCAAACGGTCTGGGGGTACTTACCTGATCGCATGCGTCGTTCCCGGCGGCGATCAGTCGATTTATTGGGGAGACTGCCTGCAGCCCAGACAGTCTCCCGGCGGAATAGGACCTGTGGCCGTGTGATGCTTAACACAGCGATCACATGGTCTAATAAGTGTCATAATAGTGCTGCCTGCAGGGGACTGCTTACTGTGCTGACAGGCAGTCTCCTGCAACCTATAAATCAGAAAAAAATTAAGTTAATGGTAATAAAAAAATAATAATAATTATATATGTATAAATATGATATATGAACATATATTATATCTATATAATATATGTCTACCTCATATATATAATGTCATACTAAATTATATTTTATATTAATATGTACTTATATTAATATAAAATACACCCTCTTCAAATACCTGCGTATATATATAATATATGTAACTATATATATTGTATATATATATTATTATAAAATATAAATAATAAGTAATTTAAAAATTAAATAATTTTTTAAATAATAATAAAATTTAAAAAAATTATATAGCTATATGAAATTTATTCTAACTGTATTTTAAAATTAATATATATATATTTATATCAAAATACACTTAGAATGAATTTGTATATATATCTATGTATATAAAAATAAATAAAAATAATAAGAAATATACATATGTCCATATACAAAATTACATAAATAATTATATAAATATACACGTAGACTTCAAATATATAAATATGCATATATATTTAAATTCTACGTGCGTATTTATGTAATATTTTTACATAATTCAGTAATTTTATTGATTGCAATTTGAGGGACCTGCCTGCCAACCCAGGCCGAAATTCCAGAGAATTTAATTTGCTAGCACTGTATTTTACCCTGTAACGTTCTACGACACCCTAAAACCTGTACATGGGGGGTACTGTTTTACTCGGGAGACTTCGCTGAACACAAATATTAGTGATTCAAACAGTAAAACATATCACAGCGATGATATTGTCAGTGAAAGTTACTTTTTTTGCATTTTTCACACACAAACAGCACTTTTACTGATGATATAATTGTTGTGATACGTTTTCCAGTTTTTAAACACTAATATTTGTGTTCAGCGATGTCTCCCGAGTAAAACAGTACCCCCCATGTACAGGTTTTATAGCATTTTTGAAAGTTACAAGGTCAAATATATGGGTCAAATATTTTTACATTGAAAATGGCCAGGTTGGTTACGTTGCCTTTGAGAGCGTATGGTAGCCCAGGAATGAGAATTACCCCCATGATGGCATACCATTTGCAAAAGAAGACAACCCAAGGTATTGCAAATGGGGTATGTCCAGTCTTTTTTAGTAACCACTTGGTCACAAACACTGGCCAAAATTAGCGTTCAATTTAGTTTTTTTACTTTTTTCACACACAAACAAATATGAATGCTTACTTTGGCCAGTGTTTTCGACTAAGTGGCTACTAAAAAAGACTGGACATACCCCATATTGAATACCCTGGGTTGTCTACTTTAAAAAAAATATGTACATGTGGGGTGTTATTCAGAGATTTATGACAGATAATAGTGTTACAATGTCACTATTGATAAATTTTAAAAATGTATGTTTTTAAACCGCAATATCCTACTTGTACCTATAGCCCTATAACATGCAAAAAAAAAGCAAAAAAGCACGTAAACACTAGGTATTTTTAAACTCAGGACAAAAATTTTGAATCTATTTAGCAGTTTTTTTCATTCGCTTTTGTAGATGAGTAAAAGATTTTTCAAGTAAAAGTCAAAAAACATGTATTTTTTTCAATTTTTCATCAGATTTTTGTATTTTTTTTAAATTAAAATACATGAGATTATATAAATAATGGTATGTAAAGAAAGCCCATTTTGTCCTGAAAAAAACAATATGTAATTTGTATGGGAACAGTAAATGAGAAAGCGGAAAATTACAGCCAAACACAAACACCAGAAAAGTGTAAAAATATTCCTGGTCGCAAATGTACAACATCGCAAAAACAGTCCAGTCCTTAAGGGGTTAATTGGCTACGAGGTAATTAGCAGAAAGGTTTTTCAGGGTGAAAGCTAATGTAGTGCAGCAGAAGTTTACAGTCTGTTGGTTTAGAAATAATATTGGTGTAAAGTTTCTTATCAAAGTTTAGAGAGGTGCAAATAAGCAGCTTAGTTTGCCATAGTGGTCTGTCCAATAATGCTTCTCCTGTAACAGTAACTAAATGTTGATTTTATCCACAGAGTAAGTAAGAAGCAACCAAAAGAGGGTGGAAAAGGAGGAGCAGTAAAAAAGGCTAGAATGATATATTTATATATTATCTAATTAATGTATATAATGTATAAATATAGACTTTATTAACTGCTACTTTCTTTTTCACAATTGTTCTGTGAACAAAATGGTGGAAAAATATGCAGTTTACTGCACAATATATACATACTACTATAATGCATTTTTTTAAAGCAAATTGTAATTTCAGACAAACAGCTTTTGCTTAGGCAAAGAGTTACTTGACTTTTAAAACACCATTTTTTTAGGCAAAAGTCTTTTGCTTAACTAGTATTCAGTTAAATCAAGCACCTTTGGAAAATGGACCCTTTTCACCAGCAGCCACTCAGACAACCTTGGAAAGTGGCCTCTGCATTCCAAATACCTTGAAACCCCTCAAGGATAGTGATAAGTATTGGCAATCAGTGGCCACTTTCCTCACCTAACTGGCAGGGGCCATTTTCCCGGTGCACCTGTGATCTTTATTGGCAAACAAGAGCCAACTTCCTGGGGTTCCTGGTTGCTTATTTGTGAGTTGGAGAAATTATCGTTGAAGGGTTCTGAAGCGGTTATTGGCAATCAAGGAGACACTTTCCGAGGATGCCTGGGTGTTTATTGCTGAACAGTGGCCACCTCTCGGTTGCTTGAGTACCTATTGGTGAGAAGGGGCCACTTACGATTTGCTTACCACATATATATTTTTAAGTACACTGACTGGCCCATTTCTGTGCCCTTCACTGTTTAGTAGATATTTACCCAATGAAAAAATGCCTGCATTTAATTATGCATTTTTTCATTAAAGGTATATCTAAAAACAGGTTGCAAATCCTGCAGTTCTCTTACCTGAAGCCTTTGCAGGCCATCCCTTCTAACCCTGCCAAGACTTTCTGTGGCTGTCCAATCACAGACTTTAAAATGCAGCTCAATGAGTCTTTGCAAGGCAAATATAGTCCACAATATCTTGAGTGCCAAAAGTTGTCTACTCCTGGTCTATAGTTAATTCCACCTGTAGTCAATCTCAGTAGAGTCAGGCTTTAGTTATCAATGCACCTCATTACCAGGTAGAAATTTAGGCGGGGGTTCAGGTCTTTATAATATCGCTTGCTGCACCTGAGTTTCTGTTCCATTAATATATTTTAATGAAAGTAATTTTATCACCAATATTGTGTAAATAGTTTATAAATGGTCATCTGAAAGTACCTTAAAGACAGATTGGTTCTCTTGCTGGATGTAGAAAATCTTTGATAGCTGTTATTACTTAGAGCCTTTACAGATATAAAGAATAAAGGATTTCGCACCGCGTACATCAGTTGGGTTATTTTAAAACTCACTCTGTATTTTATTAGTGGAGTTTCATTCCTGAATGTAATGTTGCTCAGCTTTCCAATCTAGACAGCTAATTCTTTAGATGCCTGACTCCTTACAATGAACGTGCTCTCCGCTTTCAACATTTAATACATCATCCTCTTTTACTTTGAGGTCTATTTCTAGACCAATAGATACAATCAAAGAAATTAATCAAGGACAAGCAATCAATTCGCCTTTGACAAACTCCAGCACGCGTGTTTTCATTCTGCTCTTGCGTCAGTGGCATTAATTAAGACTTTACAAGATACAGAAAGTCTGCGTGGCAATGAAAATGCAATGTGATTATCTTTAATTTTTTTTCTCCCATTCTTCTTAATTGCTACACTGTATCTGCAAAGTAATTTAAATTTGCTGACATTTTTGCCATTTCATTCAACTCAGTTTATTGTACGCAGGTTACTATTAATACTTTGCATCTCATGTCTACATTGTTCTGCTGCTATCATACTGTCCTTTATGATCGTCTTCTAAAAATCTCTAATAGTGTTAACGTAGTTTTGCCGGTTCTTCTTGACCTTCTTTCTTGTTTCGGAACTGTTATTAATTATATACTGCAACACTAAACAAATGAAAAATAATGTAAATACACTGACAAAAAGATAAGTCCTGCGCTCACTCCCATCACTCCTGGGCGGCAGCAACGATCACAGTACACATCTACAAATAATGTAAAATAACTGACAAAAAGTAAAAAAAGATCTCTCGAAACATACAGAAAACTTACTTTGTGTGCTGTATGATGTTGCTACTTGTCAGCACAATGTCCATCATTATAATGATGCTCTTCGAAATGGTTTGGTTAATGCAGATGTGCTAATCTCTCCTGATGGGTAGTAATAGAGATGCACTTTAATCTCAAAGTTCTGCGTCAGTGCATTGACTATTTAAGCAGCATTGTATTTGAAATTCCATTTGCTCCTAGTACCTTTGCTTCCAGGTGCCAGCCCTGCAATTCTATGATTTTCTCTTACGTGACAATTCAAGTATTTCACGTTTTAGCAGGATATTGCACTTTCTGGAGTAGTAACACTTGGTCCCTGAGTTAATGTGGAGGTAGTTTGGTTTGAAATCCATGGCCATTGTGAGCTATATAAACATATATAACATAGGTTCCTCATGTAGAATTATTCTTTAACCTATATAAAACAGATATGCATACACATAGTGTAATCTGTATTTATATGAAATATAATAGGTAGGAGTAGGATGTAAACTCACAATTTTTTGAGCCTGTTAGAAGTTGGCTCTGAACTTATAAAACATTTCATCTCACTCCAGGAGATAAGTAGAAAGAGATATTTGATAGTCACACCCACAGGAACTCAGGAGCTTGGTGATATCAGCAACAAAGATTCCAGGATCCCAGGTGACAAGTATAAAAAGTATTTATTTAAACTTTAGTATATAAAATAAATAAAAGCACAACCCGTTTCAACCTCTCTAAGGTCTTCCTTAGGTGCAGGTTTACTATACACTGGAAATTTATCATATATATATGAGACTTACTTAATTACAGCTGGTGTTAATTGAGGTACAAATTCCCTACCACTTCCAAATATGGTCATGGCCGGATATGGTTCGCCATCCCCAATATGGCGCCACATCCGGTTCATGACTATAGCCTATGCGCTCCCAAACATACAAGACTAATCATTGTGTCCATGCAGTCTTTCTTGCATCACGTCACTTCCGGTGACGTATTCCCGGCTTCCGTCGCGTCACTTCGCCGACGTTTTTCTAACTTTCAGTGCGTCGCGTCACTTCCGGTGATGTATTTCTCCGGTATCACTTCCTATTCTGTATTCACATTTCGGCGATCATTCCCTTGTAAACCTCCCAGAGGAGTGGTATATGACATTTAGGGTCCATTGTGGAAGTGGGCATACATGCCCATAATGTCCATAGTGTCCATAGAATATATGCAAAATGAAGAAAAGTAAGATTAAAAAATGACAAAAGATATTAAATATATATAATTATATATAATATAGTTATATATGTTTATATATCTCATAAGGTAAATTCATTCCTTTATGTGCGCTAAATCACTTTATTTTTTTGTACGATCACGTGTTTTTAAGTGTAATATAGGGACATTGCACTTGGTGGTTTTTTAGCAGCACTAGTCACTTTCTCCTTAAATCTAGCGCTGCTTTATCTTTTGTGTCTTTGTATTACTTTCCACTGTGACACTCTTCCTACTTGCCAAGAAGAATTCATTGTACTGGAATCAGTTTCTGGATGTGTCATTTGGCTTGTTGCCCCTGAATCAATGCGCCATTAATGTAGTACTCTTTTTTTTAATAATTTTATAATTTAAAAATATATATATTTCTGTCTGTCTTTCTTTTCATGAATCTGACACTTACCTCTATTGGTCGGTTTTACAGATTGAACAGTCCTTTTTTGTAGATGTCCTGTCAAACCCTGATTCTCAGGGATGTGGATATCTGTCTGTGGTCTCTCATGCACTTTAACAAACACATTTTTCTTTGTTCTGTTGTATTCATTAATTTATTTGCCCTTAGTGCTTTTTAGTACAAGTTGTTATAGGCTTATCATTAATATTGTTTGTCTTTTCTATGTATCATAAGCCATCAATCCTGCCTTTGTTGTTAATTCTGTTATTTAGGGAATAGGGGCAGTAGTGTGTGTGTAGGGTGCAATGTGTGAAATGCAGTGTGTGTATGAGGGGTGCAGTGTGTGTTTGAGGGGTGCAGTATGTGTATGGGAGCAGGAGGGGTGTAGACAGTGTGTGTGTGTGTGTGTACGTGGTGCAGTGTGTGTGTATTGGAAGGCAGTGTGTGTGTGTGTGTATTCGGGTGCAGTGTGTGTATTGGGTGCAGAGTGTGTATTGGGTGCAGAGTGTGTGTGTGTGTGTGTGTGTATTGGGGGCAGTTTGTGTGGGGAGAGTTATTGGGGTTTGGGGGACAGATAAATATATACTTTTGTTTTAATTAAAATAAATAATTTTTATGTCCCCCCCTCCCTTCTTACCTTTGCTTAGGAAGGGGGGATATTTCCTGCAATCCCTGGTGGACTGGTGGAGAATCCCTGGGGGTCCTAGTGGTGATAGTGAACTCTAGCCTGCAGCTAAGACTAGAGAGTTCACTCTCGCGAGAACCAGAGCTTGCCGTGGTAACTGCGGCAACACTCTGTGCTCGCGAGAGGAGGCTGAGCTCCCAGGTCCTCTCTCCCTCCCCTGCTGGCAAAATGCCTGTGGAACAATGAGGGAGATCACTGATCTCCCCTCCGGTCCTTGAAGGCACCCAGCAGGGCTGGCAGGAGAGAGCAATGCACGGTTGTTTCTCGGGGAGGGGGGGAAGGGTAGGGGGGTAATTGCCCCAGTGGTCCTACAGATGGCAAACTTAAATTGTAAATCAAATTTTATACCACTAAGCAACAAAGGTCAGTTTTACAGTAATCATAGTCTCAATAACCTGCCTGTATTATGTCCACCATAGACACATGTACAGTACAAGTGTTGCTTCCAAATAAGATCCAGTTAACTCTTGCTCAAGAAGCATGGCAAGGACATCAGGCTCCTGGGGAAAGTCCTTTTCCTCTGTCTTCCAATTGTAATTTTGCAAAATGTAGGCCAAAAAAGTTCTACTGATATATTTTCCCTTGCCCAGGAATAATTTTTAATAATAATGATGTGTGTGCGCAGGAAGACGATGGGGGTTTTGTATGTTGTGTGGACTTCTGTGAGTTGTGTGTATGTTGCTTGTAGTATAGTGTAGGAGGATTGTGTGTGGATGGATGCATGTATTGTGTGTATGGGGAGCCTGTGCATGTTGTGTGTGGTGTGGTGCGTGGATGGATAGGCTGTGTGTGAGGGATGCCTACATGTGTGATCTGCATAGGCTGCTTCCGGTGTTGTGTACAAAGGGTGTGGGAGTTGTGTATGTCGAAAGCTGTGTGTTTTGTATATGTGGGGTGTTTGTGTGTGTTGTATTTGAGGGGTCTGTGCATGTTGTTGTAGATACTGATTTGTGCGTTTAAGCTGCTTGCTTGTGTGGGAAACTCTGTGTGTTGTGCTTTTTGTTGCCCCGTTCCTTCTCATTTTTTAGGAAGGAGGACATTGCTCACTGGAGGTCCTGTTGTAGCGTTACTTACCTTAACCGGGGGCCGGTCGCGGTCCTCTCTTCAAGCCGCGCGCGGTCCTGCGGCTGGACGAGCCACGCGCGGCTCATCCGACTGCTTCAGATGGAAGGCGGGCAGTGACCGCGTGAAGCGGTCACGTGTCCCGCCTGAAACTAAGAGCGCGCCGCGAGTCTCGGGCGCGCTCTTAAAGAGACAGTGGGAGCCTAATTGCCAAAAGGCTCCCATTGGCTCCTGTCATACCACACTCCCTATACAATTACCTATAGGGGGTGTGGAAGTGACAGGAGCCAATCACTTTCGTTTAAAAGCTATTTAAACTTACCTTTTTCCCTTAGCTCGTTGCCCTATCGTGGTTTCTGTTTCAGTTCCCTTTAGCGCTTGTGGTGTTCAGTTGTGTTTTCTCGTATTGACTTTGGCTTCGTATTCTGACTTCGTTTTCGCTTTATCCTTATCTGTACTGTTTGCCGGCTTGCTGTTTTCCGTGTACCAGACCCCGGCTTGTCCTAGTTTACGCTGTCTCTCTGTGCCCTTGACCTCGGTTTGTTCCTGGCTCTGTCTCCTCTCATATACGTCGAGTCCGGCCATTCTAAGGTCCGGTAGACGTATCTCTCCTCTGTATTTGCCTCTGTTTAGCTGGATCCTGCGTGTAGGGGTATATTCTCGTTACATTACGATAGGGCCATGGACCCCGCAGATTTAGCTCAACAGATGGCGTCCCATGAGGCAAGATTTGTAGAGCAGGATCACCGTATGGATCAGATAGCCCAGGCTCTCCAGACGCTCCTAGCTAGAACCGTTCCAGCAACCACACCTAACCCTCCTATGCCCCTTCTCCCTGAAGTATCTACTTTGCCTAATACTTCGGCCCATTTAACACCTCCTCCTAGGTATGGAGGGGACTCTAAGACTTGCAGAGGGTTTATTAATCAAATTGAATTCCACTTCGAAATGTATCCATGTTCATTTCCCACAGAGAGGTCTAAGGTTGGGTTCTTTATGCACCAACTCACCGATAAGGCACTTGAGTGGGCAAATCCTATTTGGGAAGCTAATGGACCTATGGTGCATGATTTCAACAGTTTTCTTACGGCTTTTCGTAGAACTTTTGACACAATGAAAAGGTCAAAGAATGCCGCGAGAGCATTAATGAGAATTAAACAGGGTTCTAGGTCTGTGGCTGATTATGCTATTCAGTTTAGCACTCTTGCTTCGCAGGTAGATTGGACCAACAATGGGTTAACTACTGCCTTTATGGAAGGTTTGTCAGATACGATATTGGATGAGGTAGCAGCTAAGGAGCTTCCTATTGCCTTAGAGGACCTTATCGATTACCTCATTGATATAGATAATAGAATTCGTGACAGGCTCTATACCAAGAACAGGAATAGACGTTTTGTTACACCCATTAACCCCAGAGTTAATATACCAGAGAGTGTTAAAGTGTCTGAGGAGGAACCTATGCAATTAGGGGTTGCCAAACTCTCTGATACTGAGAAATTACATAGGAGAAGGGAGGGACTCTGCCTATACTGTGGTAGGAGAGACCATATGGTAAAGGAATGTCCTTTACTCCCGGAAAACTCTCGCACCTAAGACCTTATAGGGGACTGGCCTTGGGTGTGATATCTAAGTCTCCTAAATTGCCTCCTAACCGCTTGCTTCTCCCGGTTTCTTTATATATGGGAGAGATTTGTATAGTTGACAACATATATGCTCTGGTTGACTCTGGGGCAGCTGAAAATTTTATAGACTCTGGCTTTATAAAGAGAAACAACATTCCCATCAGAGAGAAGGAGATACCCTTGGCCGTTGAGGCCATAGATGGTAGACCATTAAGTTCTCCAGTTGTTACTCATGAGACTGTACCATTACACATGTACACAGGGGTTTTACACTATGAAACCATTCGATTCCAGGTCATCACCTCTCCCTCTTCACAGTTAGTATTAGGGTATCCATGGTTACGTGCTCACAATCCCATTTTTGACTGGGAGACAGGGCAAATAAAATCATGGAGTGAGGCCTGCCACGAGTCTTGTACGTTGGAAGTCACACCTTTGAATTCTATTGAGGTACCTACCAGTCCTCCTTTGTCTACGGTTATACCCCCTCAGTATTTATCTCTAAGACTGTTTTTGATAAAAGGGAGGCTGAGAAATTACCGCCTCACAGACCCTATGATTGCGCTATTGACTTGTTGCCTGGCACTATACCTCCAAAGGGCAGGGTGTACCCCTTATCGGTTCAAGAAAACCGTGTCATGGAGGAGTATATTAAGGAATCACTAGAAAAGGGGTTTATTAGGAGATCCTCTTCTCCAGCTGGAGCAGGGTTCTTCTTTGTATCGAAGAAAGAAGGTGATTTAAGACCGTGTATAGATTATAGAGGTCTAAACAAAATCACTATCAAAAATGCATACCCTATACCTTTAATTACAGAATTATTTGACAGGCTGAAACATGCCACTGTGTTCACTAAATTAGACCTTAGGAGTGCATACAATTTGATACGTATAAAGGAAAATCACGAATGGAAGACTGCATTCAACACTAGATCCGGTCATTACGAATATACTGTTATGCCATTTGGGCTTTGCAATGCCCCAGCAGTATTCCAAGAATTTATTAATGATGTCTTAAGAGATTTTATTCACACATTTGTTATCGTATACTTGGACGACATTTTAATATATTCTACAGATATACACACTCATCACAGACATGTTACGACAGTTTTGAAGACCCTTCTTGCTAATGGTCTTTATTGCAAGCTAGAAAAATGTTTGTTTGACCAAACCGAAGTCCAGTTCTTGGGGTATTTGATTTCCGCTAAAGGTTTTCGTATGGATCCCCAGAAGCTTGCTGCTGTAATAGAATGGCCTCTACCGCAAGGTCTGAAAGCTATTCAGCGTTTTCTTGGGTTCTCCAATTATTATAGACGTTTTATCAAAGGTTTCTCGTCCATTGTAGCACCTATTACCCGTATGACTAAAAAGGATGGCAATACTCGTGTTTGGTCTACCGAGGCACTTCAGGCTTTTGAATTTCTTAAAACTACGTTCGCCTCTGCACCTATTTTACAGCATCCTGTCCCCTCACTGCCCTATATTCTTGAAGTTGATGCTTCGGATATTGGGGTAGGTGCTGTCTTATCCCAAAGAGAGTCGCCTGAAAAGCCATTGCATCCATGCGGCTTCTTTTCTAAACAAATGTCCAAAGCAGAGAAAAATTATGATGTGGGTAATCGCGAACTCCTTGCTATTATTTTAGCACTTAAAGAGTGGAGACATTTGTTAGAAGGAACTAAGGATCCTATCCTCATTTTTACGGATCACAAGAACCTATCCTACCTTAGCGAAGCCAAAAGATTGTCTTCCAGGCAGGCTAGGTGGTCACTATTTTTGTCCCGTTTCAATTTTATTATCACCTATAGGCCAGGTGATCGCAACACTAAAGCAGACGCTCTGTCCAGACAGTTCGAAACTACTGACAAACAGGAGATTGATGTTACTCCTGTCATTCCCCAGACAGGATAATAGCTACTACTATTTTGTCTATTTCCTCGTCCCTCTTGCAGGCCATACAAGCGAAACAAAGCATGGCACCTAGCGAGAGGCCTAATGATAAACTGTTCGTTGATGTTCCTGAGAGACGGGATATTATGTCATTATATCATGATGCTAAGACTGCTGGACATCCTGGTATTTCCAAAACGGTGTCAGCTGTTTCTCGGTATTTTTGGTGGGATTCCTTACGAAAGGATGTCACTGACTATATAAGTGCTTGTACTACTTGTGCCTGTATGAAATCCTCCCGTAGAGTTCCTTGTGGGCTGTTGCATCCGTTACCCGTTCCCGAGAGACCTTGGTCTAACCTGTCCATGGATTTTATTGTTGAATTACCCCCTTCAAGTGGTAACACAGTAATCCTGATGATAGTGGATCGGTTCTCCAAAATGGCTCACTTCGTGTCTCTTCACAAGTTTCCCACATCTAAGGAACTGGCTCATATCTTCGCTAGAGAAGTATTTCGATTACATGGGATTCCCGTATCTATTGTATCCGATAGGGGTAGCCAATTTATTTCCAGGTTCTGGAGGGCCTTTTGTTCAGAAATGGGTATTTCTCTCTCATTTTCTTCCGCTTATCATCCCCAGTCTAATGGGGCTGCTGAACGTGCCAACCAGTCTCTGGAGCAATACCTCCGTTGTTTTGTGTCTCACCATCAGGACAATTGGTCTGACCTGCTTCCTTGGGCTGAATTTGCTCGGAATAACGCCACTCATGATTCTTCCGGCAAGACCCCTTTTTTCGTTGTCTATGGCCAGCATCCCGTTGTTCTTCCGGCTGCATTCTCCTCACAGGGCATGCCAGTTCTGGATGAGCATTTGGCTGGTTTGCGTAATACTTGGGAGCAGGTTCAGCGTTCTTTGGTGGACTCTGCTACTCGCCAGAAGGCTCAGGCTGACAAGCATCGCAGAGCAGCTCCGTCCTATGTTGTGGGGGACAGGGTTTTGCTTTCCACGCGGAATATTCGTCTCCGGGTGCCTTCTATGAAATTGGCTCCCCGCTTCATTGGACCTTATCGTATTATACATAAGGTTAATCCTGTTTCTTATGCCTTAGGCCTGCCTAAGAATCTACGTATTCCTAATGTTTTTCACACCTCATTGTTGAAACCTTTCGTACGCAACCGCTATACCCGGCATACTCCTCCTCCCCCTCCTATCTCGGTGGAGGGTCATGAGGAGTTTGAAGTGTCTGCTGTTCTTGACTCTCGTTTCCTTAGGGGTCGACTTCAGTACTTGGTACATTGGAAGGGTTATGGGCCTGAGGAGCACAGTTGGATTTCGGCTGATGCTGTCCATGCTCCCCGTCTTGTGCGCTCTTTCCATTCTCGTTTTCCTGCCAGGCCTGGTCCTACCCGCCCGGGGGGCGTGTCCTCAGGGGGGGGTACTGTAGCGTTACTTACCTTAACCGGGGGCCGGTCGCGGTCCTCTCTTCAAGCCGCGCGCGGTCCTGCGGCTGCACGAGCCGCGCGCGGCTCATCCGACTGCTTTAGATGGAAGGCGGGCAGTGACCGCGTGAAGCGGTCACGTGTCCCGCCTGAAACTAAGAGCGCGCCGCGAGTCTCGGGCGCGCTCTTAAAGAGACAGTGGGAGCCTAATTGCCAAAAGGCTCCCATTGGCTCCTGTCATACCACACTCCCTATACAATTACCTATAGGGGGTGTGGAAGTGACAGGAGCCAATCACTTTGGTTTAAAAGCTATTTAACTTACCTTTTTCCCTTAGCTCGTTGCCCTATCGTGGTTTCTGTTTCAGTTCCCTTTAGCGCTTGTGGTGTTCAGTTGTGTTTTCTCGTATTGACTTTGGCTTCGTATTCTGACTTCGTTTTCGCTTTATCCTTATCTGTACTGTTTGCTGGCTTGCTGTTTTCCGTGTACCAGACCCCGGCTTGTCCTAGTTTACGCTGTCTCTCTGTGCCCTTGACCTCGGTTTGTTCCTGGCTCTGTCTCCTCTCATATACGTCGAGTCCGGCCATTCTAAGGTCCGGTAGACGTATCTCTCCTCTGTATTTGCCTCTGTTTAGCTGGATCCTGCGTGTAGGGGTATATTCTCATTACACCTGTGGACTGAGCTTGTGTTCTGCACCTAAAATGGGTGCAGATTTTTGCAAGTGCTTCTTCTAGTCCAGTGTTTTTGAATGATCAGCAGCGCACTGCACCTACCTGAGGTGCAGGTAACACGTTATAGGGAGCAGGCATAGGTCTGGTCAGAGAGAGCTTTTAATATTCCAACTTTGATAGCAAATATCAAAATATTTTATTTAGTAGTCATATTGTCCTGGCTAGACAGGAGTTGTTGGGATAAGAAAAATCCTCATACGAAATAAGAGATTTCTGTTTGGTGAATCCTCTTTTTGAAGTAGAATGGTCTGCCTGTTGTAGTATGAACTTTGAAGGTAAGTATAAATTTTTCTCTCTTATTAATTCATTTTTGCATATTGCATCTCTATCTATTTCATACATTTAAATGGGGGTTCCATTCTACTTCTAGAGTAGCCCCTTAAAAATTGAGTTTGCAGCAGTTTTACAATTCCAATTATATTATTAACTTGGGATAATAGCTGGTGTGGTGAAATGGCTAGATGCATACCGATAATATTCATATAACAAGTTTAATCAGAGAAATTTGTCGTGAGAAAATTGTAAAATTAGTGGATTGTGTTGGTAACCCAGTGCAATAGGACATAATTGGCTGGTGCTGTTGGGTATTTTGGTTTTGTCAGACAATTGACAGATATGTCTGCTCCCGAGTCCCTAATCAATTTAGTATGAGTGGGGAAAAAACATATGATGATCCTGATGGATATGTGTACATTTTTTAACAGCAGTTGCACTAATAGCATTTAATTGTTGGAGTAATGTGGTGCAGAACAAGTTTCACAGTCAGAACTGCAAAATAAACAATGCGCTCAAAGTGTAAACTCATAGCACTTAATGTGCCTTAATTGATTAGATAAAACAGATCTGTGTTCTAATTGAAATTTCCCTGTTCTAGTCAATTTGATCTTGATTACGTTTATTAAAATGTGGGGCAGAGAATTTTTGTGATAACCTTTCAATGTCTTTCTCATCCTATCAGATGCTAGATCTTTCCTAATAGTTGAACGTATTCCTAAAGGGGACAGGCCATGTCTAGAAGCCTTGAAAAGAGTACTTGAAAAAACTACTGTGACGTATTTAGATAAGGCAATTGAATATACTGAACTATGCTGGCACAATGACAAGAACAAGAGACCTCCCTTTAGTGGTGAGTATTGTGAGATATGTGGCTTTAAAAAGCAGAGGCGTTGGCTGTATAATACATATGTAATAACTGTCGCAAATCTCAAATTATGGTGTGCCAAATACAGTTTGGGACCCTTATCCTACTGCACAGGGTTATTCAAGAAGTAAGACACCATAATAGGGTTAATCCAGCCTCTATAGCCTCTAGTGGCTGTCTTATTGACCGCCGCTAGAGGCGTTTGCGTGCTTCTCACTGTGAAACTCACAGTGTGAAGACGTCAGCATCCATGGGAAAGCATTCTGAAAGCTTTCCTATGAGACTGGCTGAATGCGCGCCGCATTCAGCCGAAGAGGCAGAGAGGAGGCGGAGAGGAGGAGAAGAGCTCCCCGTCCGGCTCTGGAAAAAAAGGTAAGATTTAACCCTTTCCTCGCCATCCAGCCTGGCGGGAGGGGGTCCCTGAGGGTGGGGGTACCCTCAGGGCACTATAGTGCCAGGAAAACGAGTATGTTTTCCTGGCTCTATAGTGGTCCTTTAAGAAATAACTATATTTATGCATAAATTTGTCTTAAAATTTGGTTTGATGTTCATCTAAGATACACTATCCTATCCAGTTTCACACCTCCAAAGGCAAGCATTGGGAGGTTATTACCTCATAGAGATGCATTGAATCATGCAGAGCGTGGAGACGCTGAATGTAGATACTGCACACTGTGCAGCACTGAGTTAGAAAGCACCTCTGAATGACTGGAACTAGAGATGTTACTAGCCCACAATGTAAATACTGAGTGCTTACATTGGAAAACCTGCTAGGGCATGTTATAGACACCAGAACAACTACATTAAGCTACAGTGGTTCTGGTGACTATAGTGTCCATTTAATCCCATTCTTAAAAAGCCATCTCTTGATGGCTAACGACTATCCCATATCACTACTCCCCTTTACTTTTAAGTTTCTAGTGTGGCTTGTATTTACCCATCTAGCATTCTCAACTATCTTTTCTTGACCCCCTTAAATCTGGTTTCTGCTCCCTCCACTCAACTGAAACTGCTCTTACCAAAGTGACTAATGCTTTAATTGCTGCTAAATCTAAACATCATCACTCGCTCTTAAAGGGACACTCCGGTCCACTAAAGCACTTTAACTTGCTGAAATGTTTTATGGTGTGGTTGTGTGCCATCATTACTGAACTTTTTAGTAACACATTTAAAGTAAATGGCAAATATTTAAATTGTACAACAAATGGCTAGTCCTCCCCCCGATCCCTCTCTTTGCCACTCGTAGCTGTAAATTCCTTTCTTCCTTAGGCCCAATTTAAACTTCCAGCCCTGCAACTAAGAATTTCCATTTCTACTCAGCTTTAATTATATCACTGTTCTATTCTGTCGTAGCTGTTACCATGGAACCTTTTTTCTGGTGGTAATAATTGTAGACACGAATGTAGATATACAGTCTCTGGTAATATTTTAAAAGAGCAAAGTATAACACTTCAATATTTTTTCTAGTAGAAAGTTGAGGGGAACTTTGAATGTTCATATATTATCGGTTATGGCAGTAGATGTAAACACATTCTCTCTATATTTGTGTAGATTGCTGCAACAAATGGGAAAGGTTGTATTCACCCCATAAGGCTGGGGTACGCAGAGCAGTGATGTCTTTAATTGATCAGGTGAGTATGTGCTGGACCTGGCAAGTTCATGATAGAAGAAATGACCAATGTGGCCTATGTGATTATTTATTTTTTGTTCATGGATAGTGCATCCAGGGTTTAGGGAAACAAAAATACTGCATAATATTTATTAATATGATTCAGTGCGTACCTCCTAACTTTCAAAACAGCCACTTTCTTGAGTTATGTTCCCACCAAAACAGCATATGTGAGAAAGGCTGAACTGGATGGACGTAAGTCTCTTTCAGCTATGTAAGTATCTCTTAAGTGAAATTAAGAGATAATGCATTATTATAACATACATGTGTTAATCATACATAAATATTTTTCCCAAAAGTAAACACACACATTTAACCTCTTCACTAACAAGCCATTTTTTTATTTGAAAAAATATTAGCATAACATTTATTTGAAATAAATAATATAATTTGAAACATTTATTTGAAACAAATTGATGCATAGCTACCACATAAACAAATAACAGTTTTGTCTACCCATTGCTCTTCAGACAAACTTAATAGTTAAAAATTTAATTTACAAAATGTTATTTGTCATTTATTCATTCATACTTTAAGATATTTTTATTTTTAATAAAATAAATCACAATGTTGCACATTAGAACAAATCTCCATCTGCTCGACCAATAAAAAGCAAAACAATAAAAACATATAAATCATAAAGCAATCTGCTGGCACATGGAATTTGTTGGCGCTATATAAACAGTTACATAATAATAATAATAATAATAATAATACACAAAGACCACAGAAATTATTTTTATAGAGTCCTAATATACAGAGTTAGCAACAATAGTCAAAAACGTACAAAGGCAAAAGGAATATCCAGAGAATGTCAGTCCAAAGGAAGAGGGATAGTGACAATTGCAATCAGCACCTTCAATCAGCAGAGATAACAGCAGAAAGGGCTCCAATAATAAAACAATAAAAGCAGCGTGCCTAGGCAATGGTCAATATCCTTATCTTGGCAGACTTTGCCAAAGACTGGCGTGCGTGTCAACAATAAATTGTCAACAAATTGTGCGTGAGGAGTATCTTAGTTTAACTCCAGTTTATAAAAGTGCAGGTTTCTATGAAAAGGCGTGCATGCCTCCACCCACACAGACCTCAGACCAGACATGCGTGTGTGTACAAGCCAGTGAGCGCACGTATTGGTGCACCAATTCAGGGGCTTCTCAATGAGAGGTTATTTTCCTGTGAAGAGTCTGAAAGTGTCTTCTGGAAAAAAAATAGCAAGAGCTTCAGAGAGTTGAGAGGAGAGTTTATAAGATCTGCGGCGCTTGCAAGCTTTTTTAAGATAACTCACCAATGAATACATGCATGAACAATTTAATGCATGAATTCATTGGAGGTATATCTACTAAACTGTAATTTTTTTGCCCATTTAGGCAATAGAGTGTCCCTTTAACAGTGCAGGATATAAGAAATTCTAAATTAAACAGAATGTACAATAAAGGAAGTTTAAACATTAGATCTCACTTTACAGGAAATGTTTAGGAAGGCTGTGAAGTTAGATGCAGGAGATGTGGCTATGTCTATAAACAAAGTAATTTAACTGCTAAATAGCATATAATTGAACACTGAGATTGCATCTATATACAAAAACTGCTCCATTATGCCAGTTGTTTTAGTAATCACAGTGTCCCTTTAAATTTATAAGCACAACCATTCACACTCTTTTGTAAATTCAAATGTAATGCAAAATAGCCGAATTGGAAGAATTCTCAAAGACTTGCTACCAGTTCAGATATCTTGACCAGAAATTTTAAATTTACTTTGAATTCACACATTAGTAATTAATTCTACAAGTGAAATTAAGAGATAATGCATTATTATAACATACATGTGTTAATCATACATAAATATTTTTCCCAAAAGTAAACACACACATTTAACCTCTTCACTAACAAGCCATTTTTTTATTTGAAAAAATATTAGCATAACATTTATTTGAAATAAATAATATAATTTGAAACATTTATTTGAAACAAATTGATGCATAGCTACCACATAAACAAATAACAGTTTTGTCTACCCATTGCTCTTCAGACAAACTTAATAGTTAAAAATTTAATTTACAAAATGTTATTTGTCATTTATTCATTCATACTTTAAGATATTTTTATTTTTTTTGTAGAATGAAAAACATTATACTTTATTCAGTGTACTTGTCTTGCAATATTTCCCACAGGACCTGAAGTGGTAGTAAACAATCAAAATGTCTCTTACACGCAGCTGTGACAAAAATAGATAATATATAAATAAAGATATAAAAACCTGTTAATACTATATTGTAATGACCGGGAAAACATTACTAGCAGTACAGCTTATTGAGAATGGCTAGAGAGAATGTAACAGGAATGTCTACATTTAGGTATAATGCCCACATAGATAAAATACAGTTAAAAATGATACTTCTAAAATTAAGGTATTTAAAAAGTGCTATTCCAATTTGCATAAATCTATGGAATGCGTTCCTCCTTGGCTGTAGGAATGGTAAGAGCCATTGAAAGTTCCTTTACCTTTTGCAAAAAGGGGTTAAACTGACATTTTCAGCACACTTGCAGGCATTAAATGACTCACTAGTAGCCTGGGGCAGAGAACTTTGTTCTTCTTCAGGCTGGTAATCATTGTTGGAGTATAAATAAGGGTGACTGAGGCTTTATGGACTATCATGAAAGTAAAAACATTTATACACAATTCTGGAAGTGCTAAGGTAAGATGAAACCTGAGCGTCAAAGAGGCAAGCAGAGGCATAGTCAATAAGTATATGTAACATAGGAAGGTAGACTTACCCACACTGTGTTAATTGTATATATTAGAGAAACCCTTAATTCTAATACTTTGTGAAATGTAAGTAAACACATACATTTTAGATTTAAGACAAAGGTAATTTTATTTCAAGTGCAAATCATAGCAAGCAGAAGTATTTATTTTTATATTGTTTTTGTTTGGTTTATTAAGTTGCCAAAGACAGCTCCTCCAGACACACCAGATACATCAACAACTGCCAGCAGCGACATGACAGGAGCCATACAAAGATTTGCGCATGTGCTAAATATCACTCAGGAGCCCTCTTGTAAATTAAGTGAGTAAAGATTGTCAGTCACACTCATATAATTCCTTTTAAAAATGTGTGCCTTTGTTTAGTAAATAACATATATTTTCTACATCACATAATAACAAATAATCAACAAGGACAGTCACTGACTAAGCTACTGTACACAAGTTTTTCATTGTATACTTATGTCTGTATGTAATATAGATTATTCGCTTACAGATGCAGCACCTGTGAAGAAAAACCCAACAGATTCTTACAAAACATCGAATGAACAATATTCACAGATCTCCCGATATCCTATGCCCCAACATTTTGCAAGACCAATGGTAACATGTTGTCTATTTCAAACACATAGAGCTTGGAACCTGAAGCTAAATATAGAATAATGCATTTGTAATAAGTAAGCATGTTTAGGCGCTTGCAGCAAATTACACGAGGGTGTGCACTGAGAGAAAGTGACCTCATAAACTTTACTTGAACAACACTAATTTAAAAACAAAAGTTTAATATACATTTTGCATTTGTAATAACTACATGTACACATAGATAAGCTAACCCAACATAACAAGTTTACCCAAACTAATGCTCAAAAAATGCCCACAGAGACCAGATTAGGGACACAGAGTGCACTGCAGCAACTACATGTGATGTCATGTCTACAAATGCTCACAGTTTAGGGAATAAGATCCATGAACTTGTGGAAATAATGGCAACTGATAGTGTAGATTTAGTCGCTGTTACTGAGACATGGTATAATGAGAAAAATGACTGGGACATAGCAATACCAGGGTACTCTTTATATAGGAAAGACAGGGAAGGCAAGAAAGAGGGATGGGTGGCTCTCTATGTGAAGGATAGCATAAAATCTAACCTAATAAAAGTTAGTGAGGCAAACAGAATCCGTTTGGGTTACGTTAGAATTTGGTGATTCATGTAGGTGTGATTTATAGGCCCCCAGAACAAATAGAAGAGTTAGATAATCTACTAGTTTAGGAAATAGCTAAAATGACAATGAAGGGGGAAGTTATCATCATGGGTGACTTTAATCTTCCTGATGTGAACTGGAAAACAAAAATAGCTGCTTGTGCCAGGAGCACACATATTCTAAACTCCCTACTGGGATTGTCTCTAAAACAAGTTGTTGAGGAGCCAACTCGTAAAGAGGCCATACTAGATTTAGTGTTAACAAATGGAGATTTGGGATCAGATATTATTGTAGGTGAAAGTTTAGGATCCAGTCATCATCAGTCAGTGTGGTTTAATATAAGAACATTGACTGAGTCACTTTTCTAAAATTAGAATATGTTTAAAGGAGTCATTATCAGACTGGAGCAGTTTAAATGGAGTCCAAAAAAAAAAAAAACGGGATTATTTAAAAGTTGCACTGCTGAAGGCAACAAAAAATTGCATTAGGTTTGTCAGTAAAAGCAAAAAATGTAAGAAACCACTGTGTCCAAAATAGTAAAAAAAAAAAAAAAAGTTAGAATTTAGTAATTATAAAAAAAAACCAGAGTGAGGAAGATAGACAGATCTATAAGATTAGGCAGAGAGAGGTTAAGCAAGTTAGTAAGAGCTTCCAAATCATACACAGAAGAGAAAATAGCACAGTCAGTAAAAAAAGGGAACAAAACATTTTTTAGATACATAAATGAGAAAAGGAAAGTAAAACAAGGATTAGTTAGATTAAAAACAAAAGAAGGAAGGTATGTAGAAGAGGATAAAGGTCTAGCTGACTGCCTCAATTAATATTTTTTTCCAAAAAAACAAATGTGAGGAAGGCTGAACTTGATGGACCAAGTCTCTTTTCAGCTATGTAACTATGTAAGATAATGCATCTTGGACGTAAAAACGCAAAGGCAGAGTACAGAATATTTGATAGAGTCCTAACCTCAACATCTGAGGAAAGGGATTTAGGGGTAATTATTTCAGATGACTTAAAGGTAGCCAAACAATGTAATAGAGCAGCAGGAAATGCTAGCAGAATGCTTGGTTGTATAGGGAGAGGTATTAGCAGTAGAAAGAGGGAAGTGCTCATGCCATTGTACAGAACACTGGTGAGACCTCACTTGGAGTATTGTACGCAGTACTAAAGACCTCTAGTTTATTTCAAAATAAGTTTTGTAACGCACTTCTGCATTTATTTTTTAAGATTTAGTGATGCGTTTACTTTCCTCTTTGACATTTCAGATCTCGATATAAAAACTTTATGGAAGAAAGTCATTTTTAAATTTTAAATATTTGTTCCAATCAGAACTACAATTTTACCAGGAAAGTATCAATATCCTGAAGGATATTGATACTTTAGAAAGAGTTCAGAGAAGGGCTACTAAACTGATTCATGGATTACAGGATAAAACTTACAAGAAAAGGTTAAAGGATCTTAACATGTATAGCTTGGAGGAAAGACGAGACAGGGGGGAATATGATAGAAACATTTAAATACATAAAGGCAATCAACACAGTAAAGGAGGAGTCTATATTTATTGGGCAGTCTAGATGGCTCAAATGGTTCTTATCTGCCATCACATTCTATGTTTCTATGTTTAAAAGAAGAAAAACTACTACAACAAGAGGGCATAGTCTTAAATAATAGGGGCAAAAGTTTAAAAATAATATTCGGAAGTATTACTTTACTGAAAGGGTAGTGGATGCATGGAATAGAGGTTAACACAGTGAAGGAGTTTAAGCATGCGTGGGATAGGCATAAGGCTATCCTAGATATAAGATAAGGCCAGGGACTAATGAAAGTATTTAGAAAATTGGGCAGACTAGATGGGCCGAATGGTTCTTATCTGCCATCACATTCTATGTTACTATGTTTCTACATTAGGGTGTTTCAGGACAAATTTGGCAAACCCCTGTGAAAGCCTATATATAAGCACCACTAATTACACAAATTGCACCATCTCTTCAAACAAATGCAAAACAAATGCTAACAATAGAATATAATCTATACAGATCCAATAAAGAGGGCAGAGCCAAAAAATGATGATCCATTTTCCACTCCTTGATAGGACCTGGTGAGAAGGTTCCATGCAACTTCCTTTTTAAGGAATACCCCTCCTCTAACAAGGAACCAGATAGCCTCTAAAATGTATGATTGTTGCTCTCGAAATGCATTTGCATTAAAAATGCTTTCCAGCTAACAAGTTAAAATTCACTTCAGTCATTGAAGACAGATGTTTTCTCATTCTATATTTTAGTGACTGCACTCAGGTGTCCACAGAACGTTTTCCAGTAGGAAGGGTCAAAGCCATAATGTATTTTGGCGCTGTCACTCTTAGGCCTCATTTAAATCAAAGTGTAGGAAGCTACCAAGGAGCAATGGCCTCCTCTTAGCCTGTGCTTGCCAATGCCTATGACTGCACTGTTTACATACAGCAATAAACATACCTTCCGAGGTAATCAAGTAAATTACATAATTTATATATTCCTTAATAGAATATACATTGTCTGTTCTGGTACAACAAAATGTATAATACACTTTACTATGTTAGCAACAGGTGTATCTTCCGCTAGCACACTAAAAAGAACATTTGTAGGTAGCCAACACCTAGACTTTAAAGAAAATAAAACAATAACTGGGACATTAAGATAAACTTTCCAAAGAACATTTCACATTGAGCCACAAGTAGGAAAGAAAGTAATTAACCATTAACAGAATGAAATGCACTCACCTGTGTTAGTGTTCCAGACTAATAGGACAGCTTCACACCTTCATGTGAACAAATTGAAACACTTAGATATCTCTACTGTGTGGATGGGAAGCATTAAAAAGGAACACTCCGAGCACCATAACCACTACAGTCTACTGTACCAGAGTAGTTTGTCTAACTGTTTTAGAACATTTCAACAAATTAGCTTTGTGCACTGGTCGCCTCCCCCAGCTTCTCCTGCATGTCTACAATGAGCTGAAGAAGGTCCGATAAAGGGTCGCACTCATTGGATGAGATGGTTCAGCTGATGCTGCCTGTCATCCAATAGGTAGAGCCCTGCACAGGCTTGCTTAGCTAAGTGGCGTTAACTATATTCTCCTGCAAAGAGAACCTGGAAGCAGGGGTTTCAGGTGTGTGCACCATGCAGGACCCAAGTAAGATTTCAAACTATTCTAAAATGGTTTGATACATTTCTCTGGGAGGGTGCCAGCAAGCTATAGCAGCCTTGGTGCTTAGAGTGCTTCTTTAACTTAGTATCTAACATTGTACGTTGCTGACTTATAAATCTATTCATAATTTAATTATCTATTTCATTTTTTTTTTTTTGTTTATTTTAGATTTATGGTCAAAGACATTCACATATATTTCAACAACCAGGTAAATGTATCTTCATTCTCTCTACTTGGGGTTTGCCTTGAAATCATCTTTATCTCTTATTCACATTTATCTTCTTGTTCGGTATGTAACACTTTCTTTGCCTGATACAATTTTTTTTATTTTTCAATGGATCTGCTTCCAGTGGACTGAAAACTTGAAACACATTAAATAAATATGGAAAATGTAATGTGTTTGCATGGATTAACTACCTGTATGTAAGACTAGTAATTAAGTGTCGTAATCTGATCAAAACTTTTTTAACAGGTTATCCTTTTCGTCAGCCACAGTTCTTTTATAGTAGACCACCATCTCAGGTAAATTACAGATCTTATGAATTATTGTAAGCTTACAATGTAGAATACATATATAATATAATGCACATGTATACACTAACATCTATCACCATAGCAACTCAGTCTGTATGATAGAATAGTGTTATTCAACATTTTCATTTAAGGGCTCTGTATCTCTCCTCCAGTGTATGATAAGGAGATGGAGAAACCAAACTAAACATGTAGAGCTATATTTTTCATTAATACTGAGGGCTGCAAAGAAATAGGCTACAACATTTTCCACATTGTAAATTATATTGTATATAGCTATACTGAACACCAAAACAATATGACAGAAGTGTGAATATGTCAGGATCGTGACAGGGATCCAACACGCAGAATACAAACAGGAGATAGGTACGTATACCGGACCTTAGAATGGCCGGACTAACGTAAGGAGAAAGCAAAGAATGGTCAGAGACAAGCCGAGGTCGAGGGAACGAGAGAGTAGGTAAGCGAGAGACAAGCCGAGTCAAAAGGACAAGAGAGGAAAGCAGGGTCAAAAATACAAGCCGAGTCAGGAACCAAAAGACAATAGAGGTAAGAGCACTGAGTGACCAGACTAGCTAGAACCACGACAGGGCAATGAATCATTCCACAAAACCCTCTTTTATACCTTGGCTCTTTAACTGTTGGCCCCGCCCCCAACGAGTCCTGATTCGTTGTTCGGCACTTGGTTGCCGTGATTGACGGGTCGGAACGTGATTGCCGTCATGACGTCGGCTACTGAGCGCCGCGTCATAAAAGGAGGCGGAGCTATCGCGGCCGGCGTGTAAACGGCCGGGAGGACTGCGAGGATCGGGTGAGTCAGCCCCCCTAGGAGGATGGACGTCTAGGTGTCTAACCTCCTCCGAGGTAGACACCAGAGGTAACCTGACAGTACCCCCCCTCTCAGAAACGCCCACCGGGCGGAAGGAACCGGGGCGAGACGGAAAACGAGCATGAAATGCCCGGAGGAGACGAGGGGCATGCACATTTTCACGGCCCACCCAAGACCTTTCTTCAGGCCCATACCCCTTCCAGTCAACAAGATATTGCAACTTCCCCCGAGAAATACGAGAATCGAGAATGGATTTGATTTCATATTCCTCCTGACCCTCAACCTGGACAGAGAGAGGGGAGGACTCAGCGGAGGAAAATCTGTTACAAACCAAAGGCTTCAACAAAGAAACATGAAAAGAGTTAGGGATGCGCAGGGCAGGCGGAAGGGCAAGACGATACGCAACCGGGTTAATCCGACACAGAACCTTGTAAGGGCCTATGTAACGAGGGGCAAATTTCATGGAAGGAACCTTCAAGCGGATGTTTCTGGTACTCAACCACACCTTATCACCCGGGGCAAAAACCGGAGCCACCCGTCTCCGTTTGTCAGCGTGTCGTTTGAACACCATGGAATTCTGAAGAAGAATTCGTCGAGTCTGATCCCACAACTTTCTCAGATTGGCGACATGAACATCAACCGACGGTACCCCTTGGGAAGGGGAAACCGACGGAAGAATGGAAGGATGAAAGCCATAATTCAAGAAAAAGGGGCTAGAACGAGTAGAATCACAAACGAGATTGTTGTGCGCAAACTCTGCCCAAGGAATCAGACCAACCCAATCGTCCTGGTGTTCAGAAACAAAACAACGCAAATATTGTTCAATCTTTTGGTTGGTGCGTTCGGCAGCTCCGTTGGACTGGGGATGATAGGCAGATGAGAAATTCAACTTGATGCCTAAGTGAGAACAGAAAGACTTCCAAAAGCGGGAAACAAATTGGGAACCTCTATCAGAAACAATTTCAGAGGGAATACCATGTAAACGAAAAATCTCCCTCGCGAAAATCTCAGCTAATTCGGGAGACGAGGGCAGTTTAGGCAAGGGCACGAAATGAGCCATTTTAGTAAACCTGTCAATCACCGTGAGAATAACAGTATGTTTTTTAGAAACAGGCAAATCGACAATGAAGTCCATAGCCAAACAGGACCATGGTTTCTCGGGAATTTCTAAGGGGTGCAAAAGCCCACATGGGAGCGCATGAGGTTGCTTAGTCTTCATACAGACAGCACATGCCCCGACGAAATCCCTTATATCCTTACGAAAAGAAGGCCACCAGAAATCTTTAGAAATCAGGGAACACGTTTTGCGTATGCCGGGGTGCCCAGCAACTTTACTGTCATGAAAGCAATGCAGCAGTTCCACTTGGAGCTCAGGAGGAACGAAGTACCGAGCCCCAGGAACAGGTTTGGGAGCTAGATGTTGTACTTTCTTGATCTCAGCAAGCAACGGCGAGTGTATCCTGACACACGTGTTGGCAATAATATTACACTTGGGAACGATAGAAGACAAAGCTGCTTCAGACACCGTAGAAGGTTCATGTTGGCGGGACAATGCATCTGCCTTAGAGTTCTTAGAACCAGGTCTATAAGTGAGCACGTAATTGAAATGTGTAAGGAACAAGGACCAACGAGCTTGCCTGGCGGACAAGCGCTTGGCCTCCCCTATATAGGACAAATTCTTGTGATCCGTCAAAATAGTAACCGGGTATAAAGTCCCTTCCAACAAATGTCTCCATTCCTTTAAAGCCATAATGACCGCTAACAGTTCCCTGTCACCAATGTCATATCTACTTTCAGGCCCAGATAATTTCTTGGAAAAAAAACCACATGGATGTAACGGTTTATCCAAACCTAGCCTTTGGGACAAGATAGCGCCTATACCTGTCTCCGAGGCGTCTACCTCGAGTAGAAAAGGCAAAGAGGTGTCAGGATGAACTAATATCGGTGCTGAGGCAAAATGTTCTTTGAGTGTTTTGAAAGCAGAGAGAGCCTCTGTAGACCAAGTCTTGGTATCAGCACCCTGTCTAGTCATATTGGTAATAGGAGCAATAATAGAAGAGTAACCTTTAATGAAGCGCCTATAATAATTGGAGAATCCGATAAATCTCTGAATGGCCTTGAGTCCCCTGGGCAATGGCCAATCTAAAATCGATTGGAGTTTAATGGGGTCCATCCTAAATCCGTCTCCAGAAATAACGTAGCCAAGAAAGTTTATCTGAGATTGGTCGAAGCTACACTTTTCCAATTTGCAGTACAATCCATGTTGTAACAGTTTGCGCAGTACCCTTCTGACTTGTCTGTGGTGAGTCTCAATCTCTCTAGAGTGTATTAGTATATCATCCAAATATACTATAACGCATTCATGCTGAAATTCCCTAAGAACCTCATTAATTAGGTCCTGGAATACTGCAGGTGCATTGCAAAGCCCGAAGGGCATTACCGTGTATTCATAGTGGCCATAACGGGTATTGAAAGCTGTTTTCCATTCGTCTCCCTGCTGAATTCTCACCAAGTTATAAGCTCCCCTCAGATCTAACTTGGTAAAAATCTTGGAGCCTTTCAGTCGATCAAAGAGCTCAGTAATCAAAGGAATAGGATAAGCATTTCTAATAGTTATCTTATTCAAGCCCCGATAATCAATGCAAGGCCGTAGAGTGCCGTCTTTTTTATCTACAAAAAAGAAACCGGCCCCGGCCGGAGAAGAAGATCTCCTAATAAATCCTTTGTCTAGGTTTTCACGTATGTACTCCTCTAGGACTAAGTTCTCCTTAGTGGATAAAGGATATACCGTACCCCTCGGAGGCATAGTACCAGGCAGGAGTCTAATTTTACAGTCGAAGGACCTATGTGGAGGTAAAGTATCAGCCTTCTTTTTGTCAAAGACTGCCTTTAAATCCAGGTACTGAGACGGTATCTGTAAATCTGTAGATTGGGAAGAGTTAACCGGGGCGTCAACCATGCAAATCGGTGAGACTTTCTGTAAACATCCTCTCTGGCAACCCTGACCCCAGGAGACTATCTCACCCAGTTCCCAGTCAATAGTAGGGTTATGCTTCTTAAGCCAGGGATACCCCAAGACTATTGGAACTGAAGGAGATGAGATCAGCATGAGGGATATTCTTTCCTCGTGTAGGATACCAGTGGTTAACTTAATTGGTATGGTTTCACGAAAAATAACAGGTTCAGATAATGGTCTACCATCTATGGCCTCAACGGCCAAGGGTGTATCCCTTAGCTGAGATGGGATAGAATGGTTAGTGACAAAGGCTTGGTCAATAAAGCTTTCAGCTGCTCCGGAATCTATCAAAGCCATAGCATTAAGTACTCCCTTTTCCCAAGCTAAAGAAACAGGTATCAGAAGCCTATGATCTTTATAATCATATATAGAGGACAAGATAGAAACACCCAAGGCCTGTCCTCTTGAGAAACTTAGGTGCGAGCGTTTCCCGGCCGGTTAGGGCAATTTAGGCGTAGGTGACCTCTTATTCCGCAATACATACAAAGCCCCTCCCTTCTCCTGTACTGTCTTTCCTCTTCTGAGAGTCGAGTGTTACCTATTTGCATAGGTTCTGGGAGAGCTAAAGTAGTAGAATCAGAACTCTGAAATGAGGGAGCTAGTCTTATGGAGGATCTGCGGGTTCTATCCCGAGTATTCTGCCTCTGTCTCATACGTTCATCTATTCGGGAAATAAATGAAATCAAATCCTCCAAATTTTCAGGAAGTTCTCTTGTGGCAACCTCATCTAGAATCTCATCAGATAACCCGTTTATAAATACGTCCATATAAGCCTGTTCATTCCACTTGACTTCTGCCGCCAAGGATCTGAACTCTAACGCATAATCCACGAGGGTTCGGTTATACTGTCTAAGACGTAACAGTAGTCTAGCTGCATTGGCCTTTCTTCCTGGGGGGTCAAAAGTTCTCCTAAATGCAGCGACAAAAGCATTATAATTGTAAACTAACGGGTTATCATTTTCCCACAGGGGGTTAGCCCATCTAAGTGCTTTGTCAATGAGCAACGTGATTATAAATCCAACCTTCGCCCTGTCAGTAGGGTAGGCGTGGGGTTGTAACTCAAAATGAATACCTATCTGGTTTAAAAAACCTCGACAAGTGTCAGGAGAGCCGCCATAGCGTGAAGGGGAAGTAACACGGGAAGAAGCAGCCACTGTGGCTACCTCTAGGCCTGTACTTACAGGAGAGATAGATGGGGTACGCATCTCCTCTGAGTGATTACTAGGACGAGATAGCAATGCTTGCAGAGCTAGAGCCATCTGGTCCATTCTATGATCCATGGCCTCAAATCTAGAGTCAGGAGAACCGACCTGAGAGTTTGTACCTGCAGGATCCATTGGCCCTGTCGTAATGTCAGGATCGTGACAGGGATCCAACACGCAGAATACAAACAGGAGATAGGTACGTATACCGGACCTTAGAATGGCCGGACTAACGTAAGGAGAAAGCAAAGAATGGTCAGAGACAAGCCGAGGTCGAGGGAACGAGAGAGTAGGTAAGCGAGAGACAAGCCGAGTCAAAAGGACAAGAGAGGAAAGCAGGGTCAAAAAATACAAGCCGAGTCAGGAACCAAAAGACAATAGAGGTAAGAGCACTGAGTGACCAGACTAGCTAGAACCACGACAGGGCAATGAATCATTCCACAAAACCCTCTTTTATACCTTGGCTCTTTAACTGTTGGCCCCGCCCCCAACGAGTCCTGATTCGTTGTTCGGCACTTGGTTGCCGTGATTGACGGGTCGGAACGTGATTGCCGTCATGACGTCGGCTACTGAGCGCCGCGTCATAAAAGGAGGCGGAGCTATCGCGGCCGGCGTGTAAACGGCCGGGAGGACTGCGAGGATCGGGTGAGTCAGCCCCCCTAGGAGGATGGACGTCTAGGTGTCTAACCTCCTCCGAGGTAGACACCAGAGGTAACCTGACAGAATACAAGACAAAGACTATTTTTTGCTATTACGTTATCAATATCCCGTCTTCCACTGAGCTAAAGTGTGCAATAGTACCAACTGATACATTTATCAGGAATACCATGTATTAGGGTATTATTAAAAGCTAGATCCTAGGACATTTACTGAACGTAAACAACTTTAGTATTATTTAAAAAGCACTCCTGGTTTATACATAAGTACAGTTATGTATAGCGCTGAATTGTAGTATTGCCAGTTTAGATTTTGCCAGTTCCCTAAAATAAATTGTTAATCTACCAACAATTTACTCTTCACTGCAACTCTTCTCTGCCCGCCATAGATTATCAGTAATGGTGATTTCCTAGCCAATAGAGTGCTACCCTTAGCAAGAATGCTGCCTATTATGACACAACGTGCATGCACAGCCATTCCCACAGCTATTGATCCTGTAATGCTTCTTATGGAGAATTGGAAAAATTATTGTTTGTCCATGAGAAGCCATGTGCTAGAGTACAAAGTAAGAGAGGAAGTGCACCCGTCCGGTTGTCTGATTGAAAGCAGCTTAGCCACTTTGTAAAAGAGCTGACTTCTCATGAAATCAGAACTTTCATAAAGTGGCAAAGAGGGGACATTCTGTTAAACCCTAAAGCACCTCAGCAAGCTAGAGTGTTTGAGGGATGTGGAGGGGTCTTTTAAATTATCCAGTCTTTGTCAATGCTTACTAGCACATACCAAGTGATGTGGCAGATGAAATTGATGAAAGCAAGACTTCAGTGTTAACATCTTAATAAATACAAAAATAATAGGTAGACTTATCAACTCTTAATCTTGCTAAATAAGGTAAAAATAATATGTTACTTCTTTAATACAAAAAAAAAAACACACACACTTTCCAATGGTACTTCTCATACATGTCATGAAAAATATATTGGTAGCTTCCTACACTTTGATTTAAATGAGGCCTAAGAGTGACAGCGCCAAAATACATTATGGCTTTGACCCTTCCTACTGGAAAACGTTCTGTGGACACCTGAGTGCAGTCACTAAAATATAGAATGAGAAAACATCTGTCTTCAATGACTGAAGTGAATTTTAACTTGTTAGCTGGAAAGCATTTTTAATGCAAATGCATTTCGAGAGCAACAATCATACATTTTAGAGGCTATCTGGTTCCTTGTTAGAGAGGGATATTCCTTAAAAAGGAAGTTGCATGGAACCTTCTCACCAGGTCCTATCAAGGAGTGGAAAATGGATCATCATTTTTTGGCTCTGCCCTCTTTATTGGATCTGTATAGATTATATTCTATTGTTATAATTTGTTTTGCATTTGTTTGAAGAGATGGTGCAATTTGTGTAATTAGTGGTGCTTATATATAGGCTTTCAAAAATATCATCACATATGCAGATCATGATAAAATTAATAAACATGCTGATTGGTATATAATAAAAAAAATGTAAACATGTATTAAAGCCACTAACAGTAATATAATACACATTAAAAAGATGTTGCAAAACCAGCATGTGGGAAATTGTATGGTGCTATTCTTCAGAGACTGCGTTCTACTGCCAGAATAGTGATAGAGATGCTTCAAAATTCCTCTAAATAATGTTTAGATTAAACAACAGCCAACAAACACATTTCTATGGCATCAGCACTGACTTTTTTTTATCAAGGCCTAATACAAATCAAAACGGCATTGTAATATAAAACTGACACTCGCACTGAAAATGTCCCATTCATATTTGTAAGGACCAAACAGTTCTTTGTGACTAACTGAATTGAATATCCCGTGACAGTCTGGTCTAGAAATGTTCCATTACGAGAGATAACTGAGGCCCTGTAAGTCAAGCATGTAATGATTCATGTTGTTTACATTCATGGTTATTTCAACATGAAACCCAACAGGTTTGATCTTGCATGAAACACGTCAAACATAGAGCAGACTAACAAATTAACATTTCTGTGACTTCTCAGATTTAGTGCTTACAGGATTATTATCTGAGACTGTACATTTAAGGTTCAGTTAGCTGGGAAAATAACCCAGTTTTGCTGTTATTTGCATTTGCCTGATCAATTTCCATCAGTTCCAGGTTTGGTGAATAAAATTGGTAGTCTGCTCTACTCCCAGACAGCTCTAACGTATTATAACAACAGAACGTGCATCTTTAGTCATAACAAACCATAGCTTTCCCATAGAATCCAAGATTCCCAATAAAATTGCATTTGGTTTAACTGCTGAGACAGCCGATTTCCAATGACATACTTCGGTCAGGTGCCATTACAAAGAGAACCTATACCATTTACATATCAGTCTGATTCCACCCATAAGGGCAGTCCAAAACCGAAATGCCGGCAAGTTCCCTCTGCGCGAGAGATACAATTGTTAAAGCCACTAGCAATAATATATTATGCATTAAATGATACTTCAAAATCAGGATGTGGAAAATTGTATGGTGCTATCCTTCAGAGAGTACATTTTACTGCCAGAATAGTGATCACTGTGTTTGGAACATTGGGATCTCACCTTCTCTTTATCCATTTTCTTTTCTATTTACACTAGTACACTAGGTTTTTAATGGGCAGTGGGAGATCTACAAGTTTCTACACGCTGTCCATGTTATTGTTGTAATACACATTACTATATTGTGAAAGGTTTTAACCAATTCTAATACATTCTTTATCATATACCGGCCCTATCTATCTTTATCGTACTAACAAGTTGATCCTAGATGCATATGGTATTTAAGAGAGTATTTAAGGGGGGGGGCGGAGCCAGCAGCCATAGTGAAAGGACGCATCTCCCTCGAGCTCCGAGCCAAAACACCGAAATTGAACATATTTCACGGGAAATCAATCACTCGCCTGTACACAAGGCTGCTACGTACCTCGCTGAAGCCATGGGGTGCCGCAATAAGAAATATAAACTTGAGAGACCCCCTGCAACAGCCGACATTGGGGAGCTCCTGAGGAGGCCGCAATCCACCGGAAGGCCTGAAATGGCACCAGTGTCGTACGGGCTTTCATCTAGTGACGAGCTCTCGGCAGACGGGGGGAATATGACACCGGAGTACCTACCAAACCCGTGCCACTGAGGCCCACGTCCACAGCAAACACTCCAGTCACAGAGGACACTTTGCGGAGCCTCCTGGACGAGCTACGCCGGAACATAGCGACCGATATTGGGCAGTTCCGGGAGGAAATTAAAGGAGTATCGGCATGCCTACACCGTACAGAGCTGAACTCTGCAGACCAAGAGAACTGCATACAATCCTTGGAGAAACAACTAACAACCCTACAGTGGTCACAAATGCTGGCCCAGGAAACTATGGCGGCAATGGAAGATAAGAGGAGATGGAAAAATATTAAAATCAGAGGACTGCCTGACACTGTGGAGCCTACAGAACTTCCACACCTAGTTCGCAGACTACTCACCACACTATTCTCTGCCAGACAAGCTAAGGCGATGCCTCTGGACGGGTGGTACAGAATCCCCAAACCAAACACAGGCACCCAGGGCACTAGCAGGGATACCATTGTCCGTTTCCAGCAAAGTCGGGACCTACTGGCCTTCATGGCGGCCATCCGCAACAGGTCACCTTATCAATTTGAGGAACACTCCTTAAAATTCTTCCCAGACCTGTCCAGAGCCACCCTGGAGTGGCAACGCTCTCTGCGTCCTCTGACAAAGGAGCTCCTCACCCACACAATACCATACCGCTGGGGAACGCCAAGAAGCCTAATCATCCAGAAGGACAATGGCGACCTGAAAGTCACTACCACTGCCGAACTCCCTGACGCTCTACGGGCCCTAGGGCTGTCCACGCAGGTAGCCACAGAGCTGACTCAGCCGCCACCTTCAACAACCGCTTGCTGGGATCCCGCGAAGGTTTGCCCGTTCGTTCCTGTGGCTCAGAGAGGAGATCCATAGGCAGCTCTGGGATCCTGAACTGTCAACAAATATTCAAAACCTTTTTATTATTTAAAAAAAACCTTAAGCAGTTTAAATGTTTTTTCAGTTCCATTTCTAATTTACTTTAATTGTTTCTCACGTGTTCTCACATAATTTGCTCAATTCCCCGGGAGGTGTTCCTTTGAACACAGTTTATAGCTCTGACTCCTATCATTGTACATCACAGTCGGCAAATGCTTCACATTGACACTGACCCAACACACACTACCGACCATCCTGAGGGGGCCCTGGCCTCTACCAAATCATAGCAACCCTACTTAAAGACCTTCATGGACGTGGAGGCATCTGGGTGCTTCCCACCTTTAAATGCACCGGTACTACCTTCCTCACATCACTAAGAGGGGACAGCATTCCTAGCGACTTCTCACTTCATTAGACATGCTGTCAGTCACTTCTAAACATACTCTGGTCTTATACCATGTCGAATAGCCTAGTTTCTCACCCTTCTATATGTCTGGATAGCACTTGTTGAATATCTAACTTGTTTATGTCTAACTCAGACAGATTTGACTAGCCTGAATACTCACTATTCTAAAAATAAATAAAAATGTGTGCAATAATCACTTGTACCTCAACCTTGTTAAAATGTGTATTTTACAATTCTTGTAATAGCTGTTGGGGCATTACAAGAGAGAGTGTTACATATATGCACCGAAAAAATAAAGAATTAATAATAAAAAAAAAAGAGAGAGAATTTAAGTATCAGAGAGGCATCTGATATGGTGAAATGCCTTATTTATCTTATTATTTTGTATCCTTTTTTGTTATTTCTGCTTATTATTGATATAGAAATATTAAATTACAATAATCTTTGACAGATTAAAATGATGATCACATTTTTAATAGCAAACCAGAAAGATATGTTGTATCCTGTCTTGTCTCGTTAAAATAAATGTATTTACATTACATCTTTTCCATTGCAGGGTTATGGAGATCCCAATCAAGCTCCTAGTAAGTACAGTATCCTAGATATTCCTAAATCATTTTATATTAAAAGTGTCACTAATAGAAAATAAAGAGTGCCTCTTTAAACTTGCTGTGATAAATTAAATGTGAATTCAAGAGAATAAAACTCTAAACTCTACTGGGACAAAGAAACAAACAGGAAGTATAAACAGAATAACAGAAAGCACAACAGTAAATGTAACAGCGTATCAGACCACAACATTTCAGTTTACCATAGGGCACCAGTATAAACTTTTTATTCGAATTCAGACACTGTCTGCAGCTCCACTTACTGGTTTAGTATTTAACTAGTTATATATGATGACAAAAATGATGACATTTGATATGGGTAAGTCCTATTTACTTGTAACTTAATATAATGACACTTTCTTTATAAAAAAAACACTTTACAGATTTATCTTGTCTGTATTTTCAATACAAAAAAAATATTGAAACATGTAACTCTTTAGGTGCATGCAATGACGTGTAAGACAAATGTGTTGCATGTGCAGTGTCTGTTTTTATTCAGAATGTCATAATAATAGATCATTTGCTTCATATTTCAGCGTATTCAATAAATATTCATGGGTCTCTTAATGGAGTTCAGATTGGGAATAACAATGTTATGTATGTAAAAGAAAACAGACAAACATACCAAAATCCAACTACCAGATTAAGGACACCCAATCAGCCGCGTGGCACCCCAACAAGACAGGGCACCATTCCGAAGGCAACATGGCAAAGCCAGAATGTTGGACATTCTCAAACTGTACTGCGAAATGAGCAGCCATCCAATACCTCTATTGCAAAACAAACAACAGGAAATGTACCTTCAACACAGATCTGTCCTGCACCAGCTACCTCAGTAAACAATTTACAGCTAAGTAACATCCCATGTCAGCATGATAAAAATGCTATAGTTCAGGAAAACACAGAAAGCTGTTTAGTGAGGTCTCAATCTAAATCCCAGGATCCCCAGCAAAGTCAGCAAACACCACCCCATAAAAATACCCAACAAGACAAAAACAACAAGTTTAACTGATAGTCTAAAGTATTCACCACAGTTAACAGACTGCAATGCAGTTATAGAGCTGTATGGGCATCACTACACTACCAGATACACCGCTCTATCCATTTTTCTAAAAACAGAGTACAACAGTGCTCTGTAATGATTATAGTCCCATGTCCTCATGTGATTTACAATCCAGGAAGGTAGGTTTCCTGATGTCCCCCTAATACTAACTACCCTAATGCAGCAAGCTTCCTTAAAGAACAACTGTCACCCTCAAATTTATTTTTTTATATAATAAACCTTTCATCAAGTTTTTAAAGGAAATTGATTTTTTTTTTTAAATTAAGTATGTTTAAAATTAATTTTAAAAAATAGATAAAATGTCATCCCTACCTATAGATGACAGGATCCTTCAGACAGTGCTTAAAATTCCGACAGTCTCCATGATCCTCCCTTTGCAGAAACAGAGGAGACCATAGAGACTAGATGTGGCTGAGGATTTTCATTTTTTTTTTTACATATACATCATTTTTAAAAAAACATGTATTTCTTTTCAAAACTTAATGAAAGAATCATTATATTAAAAATTAGTTACAGTTGTGATTTAACTAAACTTAAAGGGACACTATAGTCACCAGAACAACTACAGCTTAAAGGAACACTCTAGGCCCCCAGACTATCTCATTGAAGTGGTCTACGTGCACTGTCCCAATCCCTTATACCTTGCAAAGGTAATTATTGCAGCTATTGAGAAACTGCAATAATTACCTTGCAGGGTTAATGAAACCTCTAGTGGCTGTCTATAGATTTTGGGTCCTTAGTGGAATTTTGATCCACTAAATGATGCTGGCCAACTTCATGCTTGCATGAGAACATCCAGCGTCAGCTAAAACCCCATAGGAAAGCATTGATTCAATGCATTCCTATGGGGAAGTCCTAATGCACATTAGTTCCCCCCAGTGGCTGATGTCAGGGGAGGAGGAGCAGAGCAACATCTGGGCTGGAATCAGGTAAGTGACAAAAGAGTTTTTAACTCTGTCAGTGCTGGGAGAGAGAGGATACTATAGTGCTAGGAATAAAACTTAGTATTCCTAGCACTATAGTTTCCCTGTAATATAGTTGTTCTGGTGTGTATAGTATGTCCCTGCAGGCCTTTTAATGTAAACACTGCCTTTTCAGGAAAACGCCAGTGTTTACATTACTACCTCGGATCACCTCTAATGGCAGCCACTCAGACGGCCACTAGAGGTGTTTCTTGGGTCAGTGCTGCACAGTGTGCAGCACTGACATTCAGCATCTCTATGCAGAGCTTCAATGCAACTCTGTGAGGTTTGCCGTGCATATGCAATAGACTCTCAATGTTTTTGTATGCTTTCCAAGGAGGCGGAGCGGGGCCTGCGCAGCACTGAAAAATTCTGGATGAAATACCTCAAACATCTCCCAACATGGGGCATCGCCAGTTACGCGAGACGTGTCACTAGAGATGCCCAGTGGGTGGAGCCACCTTGAAAAGGGGTTGTCTCATCCAAAAAGGTGTGTGTTAGCTTGAAAAAGGAGCAGGCCCATTGTGTTTCTTTTGCTGCCATGCAATATAGACAGATATATACAGAGGCGTAACTAGAAACCACAGGGCCCTGGGGCAAAAATTGCCCTGGGCACCCCCCATACATCTACCTCTTACCCCACACGTCCCTGCCTCCCCCACACATGCAGACAAACAGATACACATGCAGACACATACATACAGACACACACACACACAAACATACAGAGACCCATACATACAGACACATGTAGAGACACACACACATACACTCATATACACACACTCAGACATATACACATGTACACTTATAGACACATACACTGTCACAGACACACACACACTCAGAGACACACACACATACACTCATATACACACACTCAGACATATACACATGTACACTTACAGACACACACACTCACAGACACACACACTCACAGACACACACATACACACAGAGACTCACAGACATACACTTACAGACACACACACACTCTCAGACACACATACACTTACAGACACACACACTCACAGACAAACACATACACTTACAGACATACACATTCAGACAGACACAAATGCGTACAGACACACACATACACATACACTTACAGACACATACACATTCAGACACACACATACACATTCAGACACCTACACATTTAGACACACCTATACACCTTCAGACACACACACATACACATTCAGACACACACATACACATTCAGACACACACACTTACAGACACATACACATTCAGACACGCACACATACACTCAGACACACACATACACTTACAGACACATACACATTCAGACACACACACTTACAGACACATACACATTCAGACACACACACATACACTCAGACACACACATACACTTACAGACACATACACATTCAGACACACACATACACTTACAGATACATACACATTCAGACCCACACATACACTCAGACACACACACTCACAGACAAACACATACACACACACTTACAGACACATACACATTCAGACACACACATTCACTTACAGACACACACAAATTATAAATATTAAAAGTCCACCCAGCCTCCCTGCCTGGAGAGCTAGCATGGATCTGTCCCTGGGGTCCAGTGGGGCTTCAGTGCGGCGTGCCGCAGACTTCCTGTCAGACGTGGCGAGGGAGCTGTGTTCTCTCTGCTCTGCCCCCTCGCGGGTTATTTAGCCGGAATATGACATCAGAGAGAACACAGCTCCCTTGCTGCGTCTGACAGGAACTCTGCCGCCCGCCGGGAGGGGTCCATTAGGTGGCTAGTGGAGGGGGTGGCATCTAGGTGGCCCACGGTCGCAGTGAGGGGCCGATCGCAGCTGCGACCTCTGTGACCGAGGTATTTATGCCACTGGATATTTAGCAACACACACCCATATTGGCACACAGTCACAGAGAAATGCAGGCACACAATCAAACAAACACAGTCATACGGGCACACAAAGTCGTACAATCTACACATAAAGGTACAATGTCATACAAACAAAGACATAGAGACACACACAGAGACAATCAGACACTGTCATACAGAGACATTCACACACTGTCATATACACATACATACACAGGCATACAAAGACATACATACCCAGTCATATAGTCATACAGATACAGGCATACATAACAGGAGCGTATTCAGAACCTAATCTCGGGAAGGGCACTGGCTGTAGTTAGTTGAAAAGTTAGAGGGCGTAGTAGGGGCTGTAGTTGGGTGACAGGGGCTGCAGTATGGACTGTAATTGGGGGTTAGGAAATGTAGTGAGGGTTATGGTCGGAAGTAGGTTGATGGCTGCAATTGGGAAAGAGGGGCTGTAGTAGGAATGATATGGGACTGTAGTGGGAGGTAAGGATTGTAGTGGGAGATAAGGACTGTAGTAAGGGAGTAGGAGCTGTAGTGGAGGTATGGGGTGTAAAAGTGGGGTTAGGGCTGGAAGTGGAGGGATAGAGGCTGTAGTTGGAGAGATGTGTAGTAGAGAGTTAGGGCTATGGTGGGGAGCACAGGGGCTGTGGTGGGGGGCACAGAGGCTGTGGTGCAGGGACAGGGGCTGTGGTGTAGGGGACAGGGGTTGTGGTAAGGGACACAGGGGATGAGAGAGGGGACAATGACTGTAGAGGTGGGGGCAGGGGCCCAGGTGCCGTAGAGTGGGGCAGGGGCCCTGGTGGGAGCACAGGTGCTGTAGAGGAGTGCACATGGGCTATAAGGCATAAGGGCTGTGGTGGGGGACAGGAGCTGTGGTGTGGGGGCTGTGGGTGGGGGGCAGGGGCTTTGGTGGGGGGTAGGGGCTTTGATGGGGGCACAGGGACTGTGAGGAGGGCAGTGGCTGCGGTGGGGGCAGGGGCTGAGAGGGGGACAAGGGCTGAGAGGGGGGCACAGGGGCTGAGAGAGGGGGGACAGGGGTTTAGAAAGGGGACCAGGGCTGAGAGAGGGAAAAGGGGCTGTTGTGGAGGGCACAGGGGCTGAGTGAAGGGGGACAGGGGCTGAGGTATCAACTGTGGTGGGGGCACAGTGGCTAAGAGATGGGGCAGGTGTTGTGGGGGGGACAGGGCTGAGAGAGGGGGCACAGGGGCTGTGGTGGGGGGCACATGTGCTGAAGGAGGAGGCAGGAACTGTGGTGGGGGCACTGGGGCTGAAAGAGGGAGACAGGTGCTGCTTTAAAAAAAATGGATTTAAAAAAACAAAATAAAAAAAACAGTGTATTCCTTACTTTGGGCCAGGGAGGGGTGGAACAGGAGCTGGAGGTAGCACACAGCAGCCTGGGAAGTTCAAGTCATCAGAATAGGCCAGCCGACTGCAGAGGCAGGGGTTTCTGATTTTTGCTCCCGCATGCTCTGGCGCCCTAAGGTGGCCGTCTGTGCCACCTTATGGACGAGCCGGCCCTGGTGAGGTACCGAGAGGTATTATACTTCCTAAACGTGTGTACATTTTCAAGGGACACTGTAGGCACCCATACCACTTCAGCTAATTGAAATGGTTTGGATGCTGTGACCCTTTTACACTTAGTGCTGCAATATAAAACATTGCAGTTCCACGTTTAATGCTACTCAACTGTCCTTCAGCATTTGGCACTCGTTACTAGCTAGGCTACGATTCAGCAGTAAGCTGTTACACACTGCTCCACTGTCAGCACTAGTGTCATTTCACCAACTCTCTCCCACCATTATTAAGCCAAGAAAGGAATCACATAAAAAGCTCAATTATTTCAACAATGCAAACCCTTCCTTTTGGGGATTTGCAACAAACCTATGCACTACAATCCCAATATATATATTACATTTTCTACAACTGAAAAGCTTGTTAAGTTATGTTTATACAACCAAAGGAATAACCATGGACACACTTAGGGCATATCAACAGACACTATCACCCTTGAAACCTAAACTCCTTTTGAAATTTTACTGTTTAGTGCAGGGATACTTCTCTCCTCAGAATGTAAAAATCGGAGTTAGGGTGCGAGTATATGGATGGTAGCAATCAATGTACTAAAAGGGGTTACCTTTTGTTATAATCACATTGAGGCTCACAGAAAACTTATATACAGATGGTACCTATCTCCCGATAGATTATACCACATATATCCAGAGGCTTCTACATATTGTTGGAGATGCTAATTTGCACCAGGTACTTTACAACACATTTGATTGACTTTCCCTACACTCACAACATCTTGGTCACGAGTTTATAAACTATCCACCATCTCTGCTTGTCCCACATTCCCCAGTCCATAGAGCACTCACTATGGCTCTCATTTGATAATGACATACCTTATGTTGATAGGGCAGCTAGTTGCCATAAACTAGTAGAGCACATTCCTACACTAACAAATTTTTAGATAGAATATAAATTAACTACACTTTTGAAAATAAGGCAATATTCACACATAGACAACAACATAAATTGGAGAAATATTGGGACCCACAGAAGAGGCTGCTGACAATGACCCAGAACCCACTGAAAATTAGTAACAGTGAAAACTCTACACTAGGCTTAGCATGGGAGAGTCTGTTGCAGGCTGGGAAAAAGCTGGGAGTGTCTAAAGTTGAAAACGGCTGTAAACTAACATGCACTTTTTTGTTATGTCCAACTACTATATACGGAAAAATCTCCCCGTTTTATAATTGTATGCTTATATCCAGATTATTTTCATGAAAAACTTGATGCTGTTATTCTTTTTTTTCTCTGTGGATACCCCCTTCCCTTTTTTCTTTTTGTATCCCTTAAAACATATTCAATAAATGACAATTATAAAAAAAATAGATATGTTTGCTTAAATATGGTATTTCCTCTAGAGACAAAGTGTGATTATTCAGAGCGTGTGCAACTAATTGTATATCTTGTCACACAAATGCATACATGCATGCATTATTTCTACACCCATACATATATATTCACACACATTGCACACCTTAAATTATTATCTGTAAAGGATATGTGATAATGTGTATGAGAAGGGCACCTAAAACCTAAATAGCTCACTGGACAAAGATGCAAGTGGGGATTGTAAGAGCCACTGGAACGATTTCAGAGCAGAATTCTGAGATTATTCTTCAGGTACAGTATATCCAACAACTTTAGGGACAGTGATCTTGGACTTGAGAGAAATAGCAGCGGCTTTTCAATGTGTCTCTGTGCAGAATAAAGGATACCCTAAGCACTATAGCCAGTACTGTCTAGCCTTGTGTGGACCCTTGTTTCATATAAAACTTCTCGGAAATAGTTTGAAAAAAAACCCAGTAGATAGTGCCAGCTACATACTGCTACCATAACCACTATAGCATGCTATAGTAGTTTTGGTGTGTTAAGTGCCCTTTTAATAAGATCATCCTCCCACCCCCCTTTTAAATTTTTTACCACCTTTAGCCTCATTTGTGTTTCTTACATCCCCTTTTGTGTGTCTTACACCACATGTCTCTTACTTCCCCTCAGCCCCTTTGTCTGGCTCTTTCTCCCAGCTGCATAGCAAGAGAAGGGAGGACAGTTTGCCCTGGGCTGCACTTCTTGGGGGGCGGCCAGTGTGCCTCCTTCCACCCTTTCAGTGAGATCTGTCAGCGATCCTGCTCTGCTTGCCAGGTCTCCTCCGTGCAGTGCAGCGAGCAGGGCCGGCGCTACAATAAGGTATAATTTAAGGTATAATGTCAGGCTGTCTGGCAGGAGGGAAGCGCTCTGCGCTACCCTCCAGCCAGTTACTTTATGAAGCGTGGCAGAGCGCAAGCACCTCCCCTCAACGCATCCCAGCCTCTTACCGCCTGCCCAGCTTATTGCCGCCCGAGGAGCCTCCTACACTGGTGGCTGCTGCAGGCTGTGTTGAGTGGGCGGGTATGAATGACATCATATCCCTGCTTCCTGTGTACCACACAGCGCGGCTGGCGCCCTGTGATGAGGCTAGGCTGCAAGACAGGACTCCACAGAGCTGTACAGCATGCACCCCAGGGACCTTTATGTACAGTAGTTATGTAATTGTGACTGTCTGTGTATGTATGTCTCTGTGTGCATGTATGTGTCTGTATGTCTCTGCGTGCCTTTATGTCTCTGTATGTTTATTTCTGTATGCCTGTATGTCTCTGTATGTGTGTATGTCTCTGCCTGTATATCTCCAAGTGACTGTGTCTGTATGTCTCTGCTTGTGTGTCTATATGTCTCGGCCTGTATGTCACTGTATGATGATGTTTGTATGACAGTGTGCCTGGAAAACAATGCCTGTGTGCCTCTATGATTGTGTAAGTATTTATGTATTTTTGCCTGCATGTCTATGTTTACATGGCTTGGAAGGAAAGACACACAAAGGGATCTGGAGAGGAGGGACACACAAAACGGACTAAGGGGGGAAAGAGACACAGAAAGGGGCTGGGTGTAAGTAAGAGACATACAAATGGGCTGTAAGACACACTAAAGAGGGAATAAAATACACTAAAGCACAAAAGGGGGGGTGGGGGATTACAAGACACAGGTGAAGATGCACTTTTTTTTTTTTTTTCAGGGTAGGGGGGCGGCAAAATGCATCTTCTCCTGTGTAGCTAAAAATCCTTGTACTGGCCCTGGCAGTGAGTGAGAGGAAGAGGCGGGGCAGGAGGAATGGGAAGAGAGGTCACATCCTGTGCGCTCCTGTCCTGCAGAGTGAAGAGGCAGAGCAGCATGCTAGGTTTACTCTTCCCTGCACAGCCCCCTCATCACTGCACCCTTACAGATTCCCTCTCTCCCTGAACAGTCCCCCTCCCAGCACAGATCCCTCACCTTCACATATCCCCCTGCCTCTCTGACAGCCTCCCTACCTGCACAGATCCCCCTGCCTCCCTTACAGTCCCCCTTCCTGCACAGATCCCCTCTTCCCTGCCTCTCTGACAGCCATCCTCTCTGCACAGATCCCCCTCCCCTGCACAGATCCCCTCTCCCCCACCCTCCCCTGCACAGATCCCCTCTCCTCCCTCCCCTGCACAGATCCCCCCTCCCTTCTCTTCCCTGCACAGATCCCCCTCCCCTCTCTTCCCTGCACATATCCCGTCTCTCCCGTGCACAGATCCCATCTTCCCCTGCACCCTGACAGTCCCTCTCACTCCCTTATAAAGATCCCCTAACTCCGTTGTAACATCCCATCTACCCCTCCCTCCGCTGCACAGATCCCCTCTCCCCCTGCCTCCCTGACTGTCACTCTCCTTCCCTGCAAAGACCCTGTCTCACGTTTAAAACAGTACTCCCTATGTACAGGTTTTATGGTGTTTTGGGAAGTTACAGGGTCAAATATAGCATGTTAAATTTTTCATTTTTTTCCCCCATGATGGCATACCATTTGCAAAAGTAGACAACCCAAGGTATTGCAAATGGGGTATGTCCAATCTTTTTTAGTAGCCACTTGGTCACAAACACTGGCCAAAGTTAGCGTTAATATTTGTTTGTGTGTGAAAAATGAGTCAGGTCCCCAAGGACAGCATAGAATGCCCACAGTCCTTAAGGGGTTAAAAGAGGTATGTCTGGTGCAGCCATGGACTCTGCAACGGCATCGGTCTGCTACTGCACCAGACATGACATGGGTCGAGATAGGGGAGGCAAACTCAGGGGCAGCCCCAGGTGGCAAAAGCTTTAGCTATGCCACTGCTTACTCTTCCCAATCCTTTTCTGTGCCTCTTTCTCCCACCCCACCCCCTTTGTGTGGTTCTTTCTCCCCATATTTTGTATTGTTTCCTCCCCACCCACAGTCCCTTTGTGTGTCTCTTTCCTCCCCAGCCATACAAACATAGATATACAGGAAAAAATATATCAGTGCACAAGGACATAAACATACAAACACAACCATACAGGCACACATACATAGTTATTCAGGTACAAAGTCACGAAGATATACAGGCACGCATTCATAAAAGGCACACAATCAAAAACCATCATACAGGCACACAGTCATACAATCTACACATACATGTACACTGTCATAAAGACACATACATACAGTTACAGATAGACAGTCATACAGAGACATACAGACACTGTCATACAGAGACATACAGACAAGAGAAACATTCACAGATATACAGTCATACAGAGACATACATATACAGTCATAAAGACACAGATATACAGCGATACAAACTCAGGAATACAGACATGCATGCAGTCAAAATTACATATTAACAGCTAAGCCCTGTGTGATCAGGTCCCTGGGGAGCATGCTGCCCTGCTCTGTAATCCGTGGATCCAATTCAGCAGCCCAGCCCCATCACTAGGCACCAGCCTTGCGGTATGCTACACATAAAGCAAGGAGGTGATCCATATCCCCAGCTCCTCCACACAGCCTGAGTCATGAATCAGAGCCAGAGGCGGTGCTGAAAATAGATGCTGGAGCTAAAACACGCTACATGAAGTGACTAGCAGGACTGCAACGCTGAGTGCTCTCTTCCAGTCTGTCACCCGGACATTGAGCCCCCCTGGTGGGTGCGCCTGAGGCCGGCTGGCCCTGTTTCTGAGATAGAATAACTTAATCTTGATTTTAGATATTGGGATAGAGGAATGATAGTAACGATACTGGAATTGCAGCAGTAACACACGAGGGCCATATGAGTGCAATGACAGCTTCTTTCACAAGGATATTTCTTTACTGAGTCAAACAAACTAATAGCTTGCCCTGACAAAAGGAAGCTGCCTCTGAAAAAAAATCTCTGCAGAGTGCAGTGTATGATAACACACACTAACAAGTGAAAATAAGTAAATAGCACTAAAAACATCAATATGTACAGTCAGATACTCATAAAATGTTTCTGGAAAAATATATGTATGATTGGTTTTACAGGAAAGGCACAGCCACATGTATACACATATAAAATATCCAGTTAGTAAGTGACTAAGCCATAACTAATGCATACATTCCAACATTTCAAATGGGCAAATAGGGACACTTTCATTTTAGGGGTGTGAGTGGGGGTGTGGCTGTTCTGAGAAGTTTTAGGTGTTTTACTAATAACAATTTATACAACTAAAATATAATTTATTACAAGAACAACATATCTTATTTACATCTATTGTACTTTAAAGACACATTGCTGTGGAGCTCTGTTATACAATCAGACACACCAACAATATTGAGCTCCTAGAAAAGAAGGACATTGTGCCAGAAAGAGGGACAGAGGCATGGCTAATACAGCATTTTCACCTCTTTCAGAAGTGACACCTTGTACTAAGACAGCACTGCCCCCTACCTGGATAAACATGTGCACTGCAGCTTCCTTTTCAAATTATGTTACTGTGGAGACAAAATTTGTGAGCATACCGAATTATGTTTCACAGTGTACGTGTACGTTATCTACTATATTCCTGTTTTGTTCACAAACATGAAAATGTGCTTTTAAACTTGGCATTTGCCGTATTGATGCATGATGAAAATAAAAATAAATAAGACAAATTTAGTTTTTCCATAAAATATAAATTGGCTATTCACTAAATGGTGCATTTTTTTAATTTTTACAGTCTGTGAACTAAAAACATAGCTGACTTAGAAAATGTTCATAATTCAAAATGTAAAATTCATATTAGTTGCCAAACAATTCACACTTTAGTATATAACCCAATGTACAGTCTGGTTTCTTTGTTAATTAGAGTCTAAACTTGCCAAATCCCATTTCTATAATGGTTCCCCTGCCCACTCTACACTTAAATCAGCTATGACATCCAACACCCCACACCTCCAAAATGTAAAGCTTTTTGTAAAGATTAAATCTTTATGAAATGTTCATAAAGACTAGCCTGGAGTTTTATTGAAATTCCAACATAGT